TTGATAAAAATCTTTCAAACAGAGTAGAAAGCTATAGTAAACAAACTGGCATAAACACAAACAGAGATTGTTGGAATAAAAGCCCTTAGGTATGATCAAAGGACCTTCAGCTCAAGTACCAAGATAACCCAATAGGATTATCAGTCTTCTCAACAGAGTGCTGGGAAGACTGCATATATACGTGGAGGAGAATGAAACTAGACCCCTGATGCCCTGACATGTACAGACATTAACACTGAATGAAATAGAGATCTAAAATAAAATGTAGGAGAAAAGATGGGAGAAAGGCTTCAGAACATAGTTTTGCCATAGGTTTGCGGAAATTACAGGCAATCAAAGATAGGCAGATAAGATTATAAAAATCTAAAAGTTTTCTGTGTATGGAAGGACACTATCAACAGTGAAAAGGCAAACTATGGCTTAGGAGGAAATATTTACAAATCACATCTGATAAGAGGCTAATTGCCAAAATACATTAAGAAATTCTACAATTCAACAGTAACAACCCAGTTTTAAAATGGACCATTGGATAAACATTTATTGTTAAATTGTCAACCAATAATGTCACTATGAAATTAGAATGACTACTATAAAAAAACAACTGTTGGTGAGCATGTACAGAAGCTAGAACCCTGTGTGCTGTCGACAGTAATGTAAAATGATAGAGCTGCTATGAAAAGCAGGGTAGTTCCCCCCAAAATTAAAAATAAAATGAATCCTGTGATCCAGCAATCCTATTTCTGGTTATATATCCAAAAGAATGAGATATTTTTTTTTGCATGCCCATGTTGATTACAGGGTAGTCAAAAGGTAGAAACAATCTAAATGTATATACACATAATATATGGGAATATTCAGCCTTAGGAAAGAAGGAAATTCTTATGCATTATAACATGAATGAGTCTTAAGGACATTATGCTAAGTGGAATAAGCCAGCTAAAAAGACAGATATTATATGGCTTCAGTTATAAGAAGATATCTACAGTCAGATTCCTGTAAACAAGAATTGACCTAATTCTATTGTTTATCAACTTTGGTTCTCTAGCACAGGATCTACTGGCTATCAGTCAAGCAAACCGCCCGCACTGACCCCCTCTGCCAGCACATTCCTACATTGGGGGTTGCAAATCCCTGCACCAAAGCAGGGGTGAGGGGAGTGTGATTGGGGCTTTAAAAGTCACAAATCGAAAGCTGCACAAAAAGCAGGATGCCGTAGAGATTATGAAGTTACTGACCAACTTGGAGGATAGTCATTTCTGACTAGCCCTATGGATTATCCCCAGAGTTATCAATCAGATAACAGGGTGACACATGTCACCCTGCCCTACAGTGCCCCATCAGGTGTTGAGCACCCTCTGAATCCTTTGGAGCCATCTTCAAGAGGGGCCTGAGGATTTGAATTTTGAACACACTCAGGTTATGCCGGACTGTGACTCATACTGCAGTAGGGATTTAGACAACTGAACTGGCAGGCTGCATTACCAAAGCAGACCTGGATGAATGCTGGAGTGTGTGCCATTCTCGGTCACGCACCCATTTTGAGGATCCCAGAAGGTTTGAACATTAAGTCCATGGTCCCTAAATGTGCCTCCACATAGAATCACTTGTCAGGTACGTGAACAAAGCCCAGGCCATGTTCTAGGCCAGTTAAGTCTCAGTATGGAAAGAAAGCTCTTGCAGTTTTCTGGTGCTCACTAGGGGTTTGTAATTGTGAGGTAGGATAGATAGAAAAAGAGACAGCAGGGAACTTACAGTATTTTAAAGAAATAATAAGTTAAAATTGGCAAGTAAACTGAAAAAAAAAATCAAAACAGTTGAGTTCCTCTCCCAGCATGCCTTCTTCTGAGTGTTAAATTCCAAGGTTTTCAAAGGTCCCAACTTCATTTGTGAGTGGCTGGAGACAAGAAGAATAAAAGGCATTTCTAAGCAATCATGTCTGGTAGAACCTATCTACTTTTCCCACCCAAAACTGCTAGCAAGTTAGTAGAAAAGCGGCCAAATGGGGAATGGTAGCCTATCAAACTTGCAGATGGTAGGAAAAGCTGATAAACCAAAACCTGCCTGATTAGACAGTAAATTTTTGGATCACAACTTTCCTGGGAACAGCAAGGAGACCCACGAACTAGAAAGCCATCCATTGTCACCCTAGGGCAAGTTCTGTAAGGAGGAAGACAGTGATTTGGGCGGAGGTGCTATCTTTGTGTGGTACCTCTATGCCACGTGCTCTCCTTCTCTGTCATTTTTCTTATAAACTTCCTTGTCACCTTTGCAAAAACACATCCGGTAAACAGAAAGCAGAGTAACAGTTTCCAAGATCTGGGAAGGGAGGGCCTGGGGTCGTAACTGATACAGGATTTTACTGGCTGATTGTACTACAGTGTGAATATACTTAACACTGTCTAGATATACCCTTGGTTAAGGTGGTACATTTTGTGTTATTTTTACAAGTCTGGAGAAGTGATGAAGCTTTCAGGAGTTTGGAGCATCTGTGCATTTTAAAATACTCTCGTGTAAAATGAGCGAGCCAAATCAGGGATGGAATCACAAAGTACCAAGTAAAGGATCAACATTTTAAGTGTCATTTCACAAGAAAGCTGTAGATGACAAAAAGAAACAGGGCACAGCCAGAAAAGAATAGCACCCAGGGGGGCTGGGTAGGGATAGTCGTGAAGAGTGGACACTTAGTCTTAAGTTTTGCCCAGATGGGATGGAAATGTGAATGATAGGGTTATGTGTATGAATAAAAACCCTGTGCAGATACCGGAGCTTGAGCTCAGTGCCTGAGCACTGTCCCTTAGCTTTTTCACTCAAGGCTTACCACTTGAGCTTCAGTGCCACAGTCTTTCCTGCATCTGCTAACCTTCAATCCTCAGATCTCAGCATCCTAAGTATCTTGGATTAAAGGCATGAGCCTCCAGCATCTGGCCCTTTTCACTTTCTTAATTATGTCCTTTGTAGCACAAAGTGTTTAATTTTGCTGGGCACTAGTATCTCATACTATAGGATTGCTGTTAGAGGCCACCCCTGGGCGAGGTTTTGCTGAAGTTGTAGAACATCAGCCTTTCAAGCATTGAGGCCTTGTGTTCAAAGCCCAGTACCATCAAATTAAAAATTTTGATGAAATTTAATTACTTATTTTCTTTTGTTGCTTGTTTTTTATACTTTTTCTCAGAAGTTTTGCCTCCCCCTACTTCATGAAAATTTACTCCCATATTTTTAAGAGTTTTACAATTCTAGTTACATGTAAATCTGCAATCCATGTTGTCAGTCTTTGTACAAATTAAGGGTTGACTCATTCCTGTTTTATATGTGGGTATCTGTTATGCCACTGGTTGAGAGGATCGTTCTACCCTCATCATATGGTGACAAAGCCCCTGAAAACTGGATCTTGTGAACCTAGCTCTAAGGAAAGATGCAGGCAGTTAGATACCAGGATACAGAAGAAATGGAGAAAATCCATTGACAATTTTTTAAGTTGAGCCCAAATAAATCCTATTGTTAACTTTCTATTGCTGTGTCATGCTGCTCCCAACCTCAGTAGCATAGTACAGGAAACTTGCTTTCGGAAATAAATTGAAAGACTCAGCCGGGTATAGTTCTGATATGGAATCTTTTATTAGGTGACCAACAAGTTGTCATTGGATCTGCAGTAAGGCCTGGCTGAGGCTAAGATAGCTCACTCAGACTGTATCAGAAAGCCTCTGTCCCCCGGCCCAGGAACCGGCTCCATGGAGCTCCTTCAAGTGTTCTTATGTGGCAGCTGGCTTGCCCCAGGTCTAATGACCTAGGAGAGGAAAGTGGGAGTTGAACTATGACTGTTACTCTCTTGTGTCTTCTTCTTTACATTAAAATAGAATCACAAAGTCAAGCTCATGGGCTGGGGAGTTAGGCGTAATTTTTTGAAGGAGCATCAAGTATCTGTGGATGTACTTTATCATTATTTTTAGTTGTATAAACAACTTGTACATTTAACAAAGCAGTTTATGAACACAATGCATCTTGATCAATGTCCTCCCTTTCAACATTCTCACCCATCCCTTCCAACATACCTCTTCTTGATTTTGTAGAAGATAGCATTGAATTTTTACTACATTTTCACTCACATACTTCTCTTCATCTACCCCTCTACCTCTTTCAAGTACTCATTTCCTAGTGTTTATTTTATTGAGCTTTGACTTTGCCTTTCTAAGGAATTACACAGTTTGAGTTCTCCTTTGAATCTACTATATTTAATACATGTGTATGCACTTGCATACCACCCATTGTATTTATATGTTTATAAGCTAATTCTAGTTTCCACATGTAAGGGAAAGCATGCAACTTCTGTGTCTCTGGACCTGACTTCAGCTTCATTTAACTTTTTCCAGGTTTTACCATTTCTTTACAAATGATATATTACCATTCTTTCTAAAGGATGAGTAAAATTGTATTATGTATATATACTACATTTTTGATCCATTCATCTGTTAAGAGGAATGATAGTGCTATAATGAATTGTACTGGTTGTTTTACTGTATCCTGTGGATGTATTTTAAACTGCCACATGGTCGTGTTCCAAATAAATATCTCATGTCCCTTCATATTTGATGCCCACTTACTACTTAATAAAGTGATCTTCAAAATAGGCCATTTTCTAGGGTTTTTTCTTTACTCTCCTCTGCCCTTAATGTTTGCATTTGAACCAGTGTCATTAAATTTTAGAACCAAAACAATGTAGAAGAGTAGCAGAAATGTTCTCACAATAGACATGTCAGAAACAACATTATTTCTTTTCTGCAAAAAGAAGGCCATTTTCTCAGTTTCTAGGAAGGAATGCACAAGTCATTCTCTCTGGGGCAGTCTTCAACTACTGTCAGCATCCTATGAATTAGCTGATCAGAATGTTGACAGCTTCTCACTTACACATCTTAAAACTAGCCATTACCTCTGTATCAAGACTATATGAATCCATGTCAGTACTTCATTTTGTGACTTGGTCCCTCTGGCATGCTCTGTTGCAGGGAATGGTTTTGCATGACTTTGGCGCTGGCTTCTAGTGGACACTGTGTAGGGGAGGATGAACACAGAGGAGCTGGAGCTACTGAGTGACCCCAAGTACAGGAACTACGTCGCTGCAATTGACAAGGCACTAAAGAACTTTGAGTACTCCAGTGAATGGGCAGATTTGATATCAGCACTTGGAAAACTTAACAAGGTATTTGTCTCATTCATTTTATAGGAAGAGTATAAATCAGAAATCCATTTATTCTAAGATTTCTTTAAATCTTAAAGTGAAAATGTAAACAGCAAATGTTAAGTTACTTCTGTTAATACTATTTTATTTAACGAGTTGTATGCCTGTACATTTAGGCACTATAGAAGTCCAAATTCCAAGAAACAACATTTCTTGAAAAACACAGTAATTATCATTGTTATTATCTATTAAAAACAAGTCTGGGAAGCAAATACACTAACTCTGAGGCCTAATAATTGATCATTGGAAACTTCTGTAGATCTTGATACCACAATGAAAAACTGTAAATGGAAAGCAGTAATTATTGTGTCTTTTGAAAATGACAGGTAGCAGCAAAAACACTATATCCAGGCAACCCTTAGTTACAGTTTGGTACTTTTTACAAAGGCAGCTCTGTATTCAATCAACTGGGCCTTGAAGATTGACTATGATGTGATTGGTATTTGCCGTAGTGATTATAATAAGGTCTCAGCTTTTCATTTTGACTGTGCATATGTGTGTATGTGCACATGCACATGCTTCTGAAATGGCACCAAGGACTGAACCCAGGACCTCATGTTCACTTGGCTTTCTTGCTTACGACTGGCAGTTTACCACTTGAGCCATGCTTCCAGTCCAACTTTTTGCTGATCAATTGACATGGAGGCTCAAAGACTTTTATGTCTTGGCTGGCTTTGAAGCTCAGTTGTCAGGTATGTTTCCTGAGTATTTAGGATTACATACATGAGCCTCGTTCCCACTTTGACCCTATTTGGGGGGCTTTATGGGATTGTTGCTTTTTAAAAGTATACCTTAGATCCCGTTATCAAGGCAAGTTTTATATATTTGTTGAAAATATTCTAAATACTCTCTTCTTTGGTGGTACTGGGATTTGAACTCAAAACTCAACACTTAGTGGACAGGTGCTTTACTCTTTGAGCCACACCTCCAGCTTTTGTCTGGGAGATTAGTGCTGACATTTCCACTGTACAGACTCAGGTTGTCATTTTATATATGTTTATGTGTATATGAAGCATTTAACATTCCATCTAGTTTATGTTAGATAGGAAACATTTGCAAAGATCTGAAACAGCTTCTCTCTAAGTTTGTTTTACAAAATAAGGTTTTTATTAAAAATATATTTCTGCCAGGCACAGGTGGCTCACACCTGTAATCCTAGTCACTCAGGAGGCTGAGATCCTAGGATCTCGGTTCAAAGCCAGCCCAGGCAAGAAAGTCTGTGAGACTCTCCAAATTAACCACCAGAAAACCGGAAGTGGTGCTGTGGCTCAAGTGGTAGAGCACTAGCCTTGAGCTGAAGAGCTGAGGGACAGCACCCAGCCCCAGAGTTCAAGACCCCACGACCGACAAAAAAAAAAAAAAAAAAATTATACACACACACACACACACACACAAACACACACATATTTCTAACATGTTATCAAGTATGCTTTAAACAGGTTAATACTCTTCCTAAGTTTTAATTTCAAGTGAAACATTGGTAGATGGGACTGACAGAAACAAAAGGCTATAAATGTATTTCTTACGCTGTGTAGGAAAATGGAAATAAAATATTTTTCTCAATTGCATAAAAATTCTTTCTTCTAGGTTTTACAAAATAATGCCAAATACCAGGTAGTACCCAAAAAGCTGACCATAGGCAAACGTCTAGCTCAGTGTCTGCATCCAGCCTTACCAGGAGGAGTTCATCGGAAGGCACTTGAAACATACGAAATTATCTTCAAAATCATTGGACCAAAACGACTTGCCAAAGATCTTTTTTTATATAGGTAAGAATAATTGTACCAATTACACATAATATAAATAAAGTATATCACTACATTAATTTGTGCATCCTACACTAATGTCACTAATGTAAACCCCCTTAAAATTTTAGTTTTTTTATATAAATCTTAAGTATTTGATTTAAATGAGTTAGGGAAACTTAGGACATTTCCTTGTTTTTTATTTAGATACAATTTATAAGGTGAAACTTATAAGTTATATCTAAGCATAAAAATGCTAAAGTTTGGCCTGTTCAAAAACTCATTCTCTGTCCCTCTATACTTGCCCATCCTATGTTGTACTAAAAGTCAGTAATTGACTCCATCTGTCCGCTTACACCTGCTAAGATCAGAGTTACATATGTCCTGTTTCTCACACCTAGGTACAGTCTTGTCACTCAGGATGAGTTCTGTCTCATCATGGTTAAGACTAGGGGCCATAGCATCAAACCAGCTCTGTGATCTTGGACCATTTTCCTCACCTCTGTTTGTAGCCCCATCTGAAAAGGGAAATAAGATCACCAACTTCATAGTTGATACATGTAGCCAGGTGCTGATGGCTCACACCTATAATCCTAGCTACTCAGGAGGCTGAGATCTGAGGATCGTGGTTCAAAGCCAGCCCAGGCAGAAAAGTACATGAGACTCTTAACCTCCAATTGACCACTAAAAACTGGAAGTGGCACTGTGGCTCAAGTGGTAGAATGTAGCCTTGAGCACAAAGAGGCTCGGGGACAGTACCTAGGCACTGAGTTCAAACCCCACAACTGACAAAAAAGTTGATACATGAAAGGTACTCAGAACAATGTTGTGTGTGGAAAATGCTCAGTAACTTCACTATTCTTCTGACACATTTACTTCTCTGCACTTTGACTGTCAGTTTGTAGTCTAAGCATCATCTGCGCTTTGTCACTAGCTCCCTGATATTTATACAACCGCTTTTCTTCATTTTTTTTCTTTGATGGTACTGGATTTTGAACCCAACTTGAGCCTGCTAGACAAGTGCTCTATCATCTGATTCACACTTGCAGCCCCTCTTGCTTTAGTTTTTTTTTTTTTTGGACTTGGTTTTTACTGTTGCCAGCCTTGAACCAGGATGCACATATCTACACCTTCCACACAGCTGTGATTGCTGGAGTGACACACTACAGTCTTGCTTGTTTGCTGAATGAAGTCTTTATAATTTTTTATCCATGCTGATTTCAAATCAAAATCCTCCCAATCTCTGCCTCCCAAGTAGCTAGGATTGTAGGCATGTACCATCTTCCTATACTCTGTTCTCTATACAGTATCAGAATTGTCTTTCTAAAACTTTAAACAAATGATACTACTTGGGGCTTCTAAGGCCTTGTGTACTAGGCTGTGAATAAGAAAATTCAGACTGAATTTCCTCTACTAAAGCCTGAATACACAGATTGTCTGTGGGATTATTTCTTCCCACCAGGAAGCACACAGGTAGCTCTATGAATGACACTGGCTTTGCATGCTGTGATCCAATTCAGTTCTGAACCTGGAAATCACATCACATCTCCTCAGCAGATGGCTGCCTCCAATTCTGCTTCCAGGAGCAAGTCTAGGCCTCCAGAACTTTTGGCCAACTAACTGGCTATAATGTGGGGCCTCAGCAACCCTCTTTTGAGGAAGCTGACTGAACTGGGGTAAAGGAATCCACTGACTTCTTATAAAGGACCCTAGATGAGGGATGCATAGGACAAGGTCCAGAAGACCCCTGTGGATTTGGGATGTATGATCCTCTCAGTAAGAGGGCGAGTTCTTATTTACCTTTCTAAAGATACCATGTGTATGTGCTGCCCAGAAGCTTTCTGACCCCTTTGTACTTTGGGGATTTATGAACACTTTAGTTCATAGGCATGATTGAAAAATAAGCAAGCACATAGACATGTGATTGAGAAAAAGTATGGGCCAATGCTAATAAGCTGGAGATGCCAGCAAAGCCTGTTTGTTCACACTATATATATAACATGACTTAATCCTAGGTGAGGGTCAGAATCTTGTCACAAATAGGCTCTTCTGATATACTGTCAAGCAAAATAGATAAAGGAATTTTTTATGGCTACCTTCAAGTCAGAAAGACAAGGAGAGATTAATTTCTATGACCCACATTGGGGAAAGCAAATTCTAGATTCTTTGGCCTATCTTCGATAGAAAATGCAGCATGTGATAGGAGGGAAGTAGGTAAGAAGACTTTGATTACTAAAGCCCAATGCTCCCCAACAGCATAACTGGAAAGCCACAGAAACTGTGGCTATGGCTTTAGGTCAAACTATGCATAGAATTAGAGTCAGGATAGTGGAAAATCGAAAGTAATTTCTATTCTGTATATAAACTAGGAGCAGGAGTCTCAATTCCATTGTTAAGCACTTCCTAAGTATAGAACATAGTGCTAGGGACTTGAATGCAAAAATGAAAGACAGCCTGGTCTCTTGGTTTCTGGTGTTTAAAAACAACTCAAAATGATACTCTTTTTTCTTGTCGGTCGTGGGGCCTGAACTCTGGGCCTGGGCACTGTCCCTCAGCTCTTCATCTCAAGGCTAGTGTTCTACCACTTGAGCCACAGCACTACTTCTGGCTTTTTCTGTGTATGTGGAGCTGAGGAATGGAACCCAGGACCTCATGCATGCAAGGCAAGCATACTACCACTAGGTCACCTTCCTAGCCCATCAAAATGATAAATATTCTAATAAAACTATATTAGTACTATCAGAATATCATATAGGGGCCTGATATAATTAGGGGACAGTCTTCTCCAGGAAATAATTCAGGATGAAATTTGAAAGTTTAGAAATCACTCAGACATACAAAGAAGATGTAAGTACAGGGGTGGGAACTATATCTGGATTATACCTTGTGCAAAGGACTAGACACTGAAAAGAGCTTCTGAAAGGAATGAGCAAGGAATCCTTCAATATTGCTGGAGTAGAGAGTGCAATGAAATTGATTAGTGTCTACGGGCTGTACAGATAGCCAGTAGCCAAATCTTAAAAGATTAAAAGATGCTAAAAGTGCATTGGCAACAGAAAACTTAATAATGAGAGTAGTTAGTTTTACTGAGAGAAGCTACTTCAGGGCAGTACTTGTTATGACAAGATAGTGAAGATATGATGGTAGTCTCTCTATGGAGCTGGAGAAAATTTATTATATTACTAATAATATGGCTCAAGTGGTATTATGCCTACTTAGCAAGTATGTGGCTCTAAGTTCATCACCAAAGAAACCAAACCCTAGGCAAGTGACTTGGAGAGAAAACTTAGTGATTGATGGAAAGTTGGGATAAAAAAATTCTTTAAAAGAGTCAAGAATAAGCAAGGCATTGGTGTCTCCATCCTGTAATCCTATCTATTCAGGAATCTCAGATCTGAGGATTGTGGTTCACAGCCAGTCAGGGCAAGAAAGACTGTGAGATTCTTATTTCCAAGTAAGTACCAAAAAAGCCAAAAGTAGAGCTATAATCGGAAGTGGTAGAGCACTAGCCTTGAACAACAATAACAAAAAGGTTAAGAATAGCTTCAAGATTTCTAGCTTTTAATTAGCAGGGTACATAGTAGGCTGTATTTTTTAGTGTCAGTTACAGGGAAGGGTTTGAAGAGAAAAGAGAATTCTGTGTTGTAATTAGAAAATATGAGAGCTTTGCAAAAGAGCCTAAGTACTGCTGATTTACAAGTATAAAGTTCAGGCAGGTGAGAGCACTAATTCAGTAAATGTGTAAGTTAATACATACAGGAATCATTTTATGCTAGTCAGTGTAATTTATTCAAAAGATAAAGGAGTTATATATACATAATTACATATGGATTAAAATCTTGTCACTATTTTGATTGTTTTATCTTTTTTTTTAACACAGCTCTGGATTATTTCCCCTTCTTGCAAATGCTGCTATGTCTGTGAAACCAACACTGCTGAGTTTATATGAGATATATTATTTACCTTTGGGTAAAACACTGAAACCTGGTCTACAAGGATTATTAACTGGTATTCTTCCTGGCTTAGAAGAAGGATCAGAGTATTATGAGAGGTAATGTGATATTTGTTTTCACGGTGTAACCACATCATCCTTGCTAGCAAACATCTTTAAATATATTTTAGCATCTCTAAAATGAGTGATTCTTACCATACTTATCCCATCAACATTTCAGTAAGACTCGAAGTTCTATCTAGTGCATGGTTCATACTGAAAATATAACTGCATCATTTAGATATAGATGTAGGTGGATGAGCAGCACAGTAAGGACAATGTGAGCATGGAAAGTTGACGTGTTTGAACTTTATTCTCCTCATCAATAAAAGAAGCATAAAGCCTATTTCATTTTATTACAGTAAAATGAAATGCACTCGGTCCAGAGCCTTGTAAATATGTCACTCCAAAACTTGTGACCCATAATTTAAAATATAATAGGACATAGAGATTAATGAAAAGAATGGAAAATAGGCCATATGCCAGTCTTTAAATTGCTAACAGGAGAAAATGTGCAACATCAAGTACAATGCTGTTTTACTAACTGGTTACCTGGTACTTTTAATATTTGGACTTTTGAAAGAAAATGATCTGATCAGTTTTGAAGCCAATTTATGTGTGTCCCAGTCCTGGGGCTTGAACCCAGAGTCAAAGGGGTTTTTTGCTCAAGGATAGCATTCTAGCACTTGAGCCACAGCCCCACTTACAGCTTTTGGTTATTGGAGATAGGAATCTGGGCTGGCTTCAAACCTAGATCCTCATATCTCAATCTCCTAAGGAGCTAAGATTTACAGGCGTGAGCCACCTAGTTCCCCAATTATTTTTTAAACTAATAGTTATAGACAGTGTTTGATGGTGTTATATATCTATAACAATTTTATGTCATTGCTGATATTCTTATTTAAAAAATAGAAATTGTTTGGTAGCAAAAGTAGATGATGTTAAAATTACTTCATAAGAAGACTTAATGATTTAAATTAAATTTATTAAGTTTATTGTATCACAGCTATTTTTATTGTATCACAAGGCAAAAACAACGTATTGAATTATTTTTATTGGCTACTTTGGAAAAAAAGATAATTTTTTCCTCAAAGCTTATCATTCTGTTTTATGAACTTATAATTTATTTGCATAAAATGTTATAAATATAGCAGGGTGCCAGTAGCTCACACTTGTAATCCTAGCTACTCAGGAGGCTGAAATCTGAAGCTCACACTTCGAACAAATCCAGTCTGGACAGAAAAATTCTTTACTCTTATTTCCAATTCACTGGGAAAAGCCAGAAATAGAGCTATGGCTTAAGTAATAGGGCACCAGTCTTAAGCAAAAAAGCTAAAGGCCAACCCTCAGTCCCTGAGTTCAATCTTAGTACCACAGTGTATTATGAAATTATTATATTTGGCTTATAAATCAATTTTTCTTAAACTATTCACTTCAGAGAAGAATAGAATCATCACCATTTTTTGCAATTAAATTTAACATAGAAATTGATCAATGATCTTTATGGCTACAAGTTCTATGAAAGGTTTTATAAATGTACTATGTACATAGATATATAGATAAATTGAGTTCAGAAGAAATTAGTATTAAATCAGATCATATGTAGACTCAAATTCTCTTTTGATGTACTATGCTAAAATTTAATAGACTTACATATTAAATTTAATAGATTTATATGTTTATGTTTCTCATCTAATTCATTGAAGTTACTGTGAACTATATAATGGTGATTTAAAAAACAAGCACTTACAGATGTCTTAAGATTTTATAGAAAGCCAGTGATATACATGATAGATAGAATTACTATTAGCTAAAATTACAACAGATATGTGGTGTTTTGGTTGTGGCTCCCTTCATTTTATGATCCAGAACTTAAATCGTGGAGCCAGTCATTGACTGTAATTCTTCTTCCATTCCTGCTTGCTTGTTCCAGGGTTCAGCAGCATGCATGTGTATAGATATTTTACTTTCTTGTCAGCATGACAATAAATGTTTTCCTTCTAATGCCACTCTATTTTGTCCTTTAGAACAAACACGTTGTTGGAAAAGGTTGCTGCTGCCGTTGACCAGTCAGCGTTCTACAGTGCCCTCTGGGGCAGTCTGCTCACCAGCCCTGCTGTGCGTCTACCTGGGATCACTTATGTGCTTGCTCACCTAAACAGGAAGCTCTCTATGGAAGATCAACTTTATATTATTGGCAGTGACATTGAGCTAATGGTAGGTCTCACATCACAAATACTTCTTTAGAGCAAGCTACCAGATAAATTTGAGGATCATGTGATTCTTTTTTATCAACACATAGTAAGGGATAATCAGTCATTAAAAGCGTATTTTTTTCCATGAAGAGGAAATTACTTATATCCAATGTCATCTTTTTTTCAAGAAAACTAGTATTGCTATGTTGAGCCCATTGTTCACATAGCCATATTTATAATTACAAAGTGAACCTTCTTTTTGATGTTTTCTTTGTAAGAAAGGTGTGTTAAATAGTGACAATAGTAGATTCCATGGAGAACATGTATGACAGGATGTAATACCAAGGAAGATATTGTTAGTAGAAAAAGAGTTACGCTTTTGCCCATGGCTCACACCTGTAAGCCTAGCTACTTAAGAAGCAGAGATCTCGGGATTGCAATTACAACCCAACCCAGGCAGAAAAGTCCATGAGACTCCTGTATCTAATGAACTATTTAAAAAGCTGGAAGTGGAGCTCTGCCTCAAGTGGTAGAGCACTAATCTTTTAATCTTTATTTTTTTTTCTGCATGCAATAATGATGTAACTGGTATTTCATGCAGAGTTTTAGTTAGATTTACTGAAGTTTGATTTACATTCTCTGAATTAGTCCACTATACATGAATAGTTTTATGAATCTTTTTTTTTTTTTTGGGTCCGGTCGTGGGGCCTGAACTCTGGGCCTGGGCGCTGTCCGTCAGCTCTTCAGCTCAAGGCTAGTGCTCTACCACTTGAGTCACAGCGCCACTTCCGGCTTTTTTCTTTTTGCTTATGTGGTGCTAAGGAATCGAACCCAGGGCCTCATGCATTCAAGGCAAGTGCTCTACCACTTAGCTACCTTCCCAGCCCCAGTTTTATGAATCTTGACAAATACATACAATCACATAGCCACTACTACAATCAAGGTTCAGCAAGTTACATCATCCCAAAAAGTTGTGTACCCTTCTGTCACCACACTTCCTCAGTACTTCCTCAAGTAACAGGATTTTGAAAACACTGGTCTGTTTCCTTTTCTCTCATTTTACTTTCTTACAGTGTTATATAAATTGAATCATTCTGTGCAATTAACCTTTAAGTATGGTTTCTTTCACCATATAGAACATATGAGATTCTTCTATGCTTTTGTATCAGCAGTTTCTTTCTTCTTTTTTTGTCGGTCATGGGGCCCAAACTCTGGGCCTGGGTGCCGTCCCTCAGCTCTTGAGCTCAAGGCAAGTGCTCTACTACATAAGCCATAGCACCACTTCCAATTTTTTTTTCTGCTTATGTGGTGCTGAGGAATCGAACCCAGGGCCTCATGAATGCAAGGCAAGCACTCTACCACTGAGCCACCTTCCTAGCCACTAGTAGTTTCTTTATTTTGTTGTCCATTTCTCTATTGTATGACAGTACCACAATTTGATCATTCAGCAATTAATAGACAGTTTGGAGCAATTATGAGCAAAACCTCTATAAAACATATCCTGGGACTGATGATGAAAAGTTAACAGAAACTTCCACAGGGTATGTAGTATTAACACTAAGAAAATTGTTTTAAGAGTTCCTTGATTTTTAGAAGCATAATTTTATTTACTAGAGGAAATAAAAAGTTGTTACGATTTCCATTTTTCCCACCATAATAGACCTCTGTTGTTAAAGGCTCTCTTATTTCAGGTCGAAGCAGTAAGTACATCAGTACAGGACTCAAGTGTACTTGTGCAGAGGAGCACCCTGGACCTCATACTCTTCTGCTTTCCATTCCACATGAGTCAGGTAAGACTTCCGTGCTAGTGTTGATCATGTAAGGCATTCTGGGAAAGTCAGTAAACCTTAATGTTGGTGTTGCTCATGTAAGTCATTCTAGGAAAATTAGAGGCTTGTGGTATGATTATTTTTTAAAGACATTATGTTGGATTATTTTGCTTACAAATAATAGTACTTAACAAAAATAATAAGTTGCAGAGAAGTTTAACATTGAAAAATTAAAATTACTTCCAAAAAGGGATTAGCAGAAAATACTATTACTTGGATTTTTGTAATGGCTGTTAGTTCAAATCTATAATGAATTTTTATTATGACTGCCTAACTTTATTACTGTATTCACATTTTTGCTGTATTTACATATTTCTCTAACAGTTGGAAGATTTTTCTACTTGATTGCCTGTGTTGTTACTAAATGGGACCCAAACTACTTCTAGTTTCCATTTTTAAGTTCTTATCCTTAAAGAAGGGGCCTTATTCTGCCCTTTTGAGAGAGAGAGAGAGAGAAATGGGGCTTGAACTTCAGAACTCCAGATCTCACACTATCGGCTTGATTCTTTCCTATATTTTACTAATATATATGTTCCAACATCTTGATTAGTTATTTACTGGCTTACTGATTTTATTTTGGTCGGTCATGGGGCTTAAACTCTGGGCCTGGGCGCTGTCCCTCAGCTCTTCAGCTCAAGGCTAGTGCTCTACCACTTGAGCCACAGTGCCATTGCTGGTTTTCTGAGAGTGGTTTATTGGAGATAGAGTCTCATGGACTTTCCTGCCCAGGCTGGCTTTGAACCATGATCCTAGATCTCAACCTCCTGAGTAGCTATGATTACAGACATGAGCCACCAGTGCCCAGCGATTTAGAGTTTTAAATGTGGATCTATTTCATTATATAATGTTGAATAATTACATTTATTAGAAACTGTTGGTCTCAGTAGTAAATACTGGGAATCTTTCAAGCCCAGTACACTTCAAAAAATAAAACTTAAAAATCAAGTTTTCCAGTATTCTTGTTTTCTATTAGAATCTCACATATTATCATTTGTAGCATACCATTGCCTTGAAGTACTAATGTATCTTGCTTATTTGATGACTACTAAATATCAAAGTTTGAGTAATCATAGTTCCAGTTAGTCATTCTTTCAGGCAAAAAATGACATTCTGTTAAAAAGCTGGCTGTTCAGCTCACAGCTCTAATGATTGGCACAAATGCTTTTCCTTGAGACATCCATCATATGTATATACACATCAAATGTGTGTTAGTGTACGTGACATTCCATTACACAGAAACAAAGGCCTGTCTTTAATACTGGACCTTGAATAACAAGTTTTTGTTGTCCCCTCAACAACATTCTCAAAGAATTGTGAAACTGGCTTTAATGTCGTTTTTCTTTTCTTTTTAGTGCTGAGAATTTAACCTGTTGCCTCACACATGCTAATCTGCCAGCCCTCAGCTAGTTTACAACCGTGACCCATTTTTTATTAAATACAATGATTACTGTACAAGAGGTGCCACTGCTCTATTGCTTCTCTTCATAATTAAGGTGCCAACTGTTTAACCTACTCATTGCCTAATCAGGAAATAGTGAGCACACAAAGGAAAAAAGAACACCTTGATATTGTTAGGAATATTCATAATTGATTATTTTATAAGTATGTATAGCTGAATTTACCCTGTAGGCCTCCTGAAATTTTATCACATGATCTTCAGGGGTCTGGCAGCACACTTTGAAAACTGCCTAGATGAATAGAAGATATTCATGTTCATAGGAGTGAACTTATTTATCAGCTCTGGATAATCTGTGTTCTGTAGCATCTCAGTTATTTCCCATTTGGATGAATTATTTTATGTCTGTATCAGCAAGCATAGAATAGAAAAAAGTATGCTGAGCTGGGTGCTGGTGGCTCATACCTCTAATCCTAGCTACTAAGGAGACTGAGATCTGAGGATCGAGGTTCAAAGCAAGCCTGAACAAGGATAGTCTATGAGATTCTTATCTCCATTAAACTAATAAAGAAGCTGAAAATAGAGCTGTAGCTCAAAGTGGTAGAGTGCTAGCCTTGAGCAAAAGAAGCTGAGGGACAGTGCCTAGGCCCTGAGATCAAGTCCCAGGATCAGCACTAAAGAAGAAGAAGGAGGGGGAGGGGGAGGAGGAAGGAGGGAGGGGAAGGGATGATAATGACATTTGAACTTGGCTAGTCTTTTAGGTCCTAGGGTGCTTAGGTCCTTGTATTATAAAATAGTTGTTAAACTAGTCCATTCCCAACTTCTAATTCTGCGATTCCAATATCAAAAATCCAATATTAACATGAGCTGCCTTTTCATGTTTTCAAGAAAAACTTTACCTCTCTTAGCTGAAATCAGGTCTTTAATCATATACCTAATTAAGATTATGGGAAAGAAATGAAGAATTATTTAAGAGCTAGAAAAAAAATAAAATTTAAAATGTGTTAACCCTGAATGATTCAAACAAAAAGGCACTTTACATTGTTTTGTGGGGTTTTTTTTTTGTATGTTTGGAATATATGAGTAGAAATTTTTTTCGAGGTGGCAGCTCAGATTTTTTTTATTATCTTGTGTTGTACAAAGGAGTTGCCATTTAACAAAGCAGTTTGAGACAATGCATTTGGTCAGTGTCATATCTTTCAGTATTCTCACCCACTCCCCGAGATAGAGAGAGAGAGAGAAAGAGAGAGAGAAAGAGAGAGAATGAGAGAAAATACGCTGGGGCTTGAACTCAGGGCCTAATCACTGTGTCTTAGCTTTTTTTGCTCAAGGCCAGCACTTTACCACCTGAGCCACAGCTCTGCTTCCAGCATTTTGCTGGTTAATTAGAGATGAGTCTTACAGACTTTTCTGCCCAGGCTGACCACACTGCCATCTTCAGACCTCAGTATCCTTGAATAGCTTGGTTTATAAGCATGAGCCATGGACATAAAGCTTACAAGTAGGATTTCTAAAAAGAAACAGCTTTGGAACTGATGAAGATGGTGGTTTTCTAGCTTGTCTGTTGACAATGAATGTGAAAGACAAATGGCACAGGTTTCTAGGATCTCCAGTCTTGCCTTGATTTCCTTGTTTTAGGTCAGATTTTAGATGTTAAATAATTCAAGTATAGTGTCAGCTATGAATCCAACTTGTCATGTGACCTAATTTTCTATTTCTTAATCTGTAAAATGGAAGTAATACCTGCATTTGGAAAATCAAATGAAACTATGCCAGTGAAAATAGCTTGTGTACCCTAATATTCTGAGTACTAACAGCATTTTTTTTTCTAAGAGGAAAAAAACAGTGGCATGTTTTGCATGTGCTTTAACTACAACCACATTCTTAACTTTTCCAGGCCACTCGACCCGACATGATCAGGATCTTGTCAGCAGCGTTACATGTAGTACTGCGGAGAGATATGTCCCTGAACCGAAGACTTTATGCATGGCTTCTGGGTAAATATTGGATGTATATGCTCATGGTTGGGAATAAATGGAGAGATACTTGCTGTACATAAGGTATCAAATTGTGTGTATGTCTTTAGTGAAAAACTTTTTAACAAATTACATAAATGGGCAATAAATACATAAACTATTGGTAAATTATATGAAGAAATTTCATAACGTTTTTTAGTCCAAAAGGCTGTTTAAATCCACAAGGTCATGGTCCCTTTGACAAGATAATTTTCCATCTCACACATTGAAATTGTTGTACTGAAAGTACTAAAATCAAAAGAATGACAAGCTTTGCAAAGTGTGCAAGTCATGAAAGGAATCAGGACTAGCAAGCACCTCGGTCATGCACTGTATCAGTCTCCTTTCAGGCATTAATAAAGCTGCGCACACTTCGCTCTTCCCTAATTTTTCCAAATGTTTAGCCTGTCCTCATGACTCCTCAGTACCTATGGTGACAGGACATTTAAGTTCAGTGGTCTGAGTCTTCACTTATTTCACTGGTGAGACTGGGGAAAAGAAGACAAACAAACCTGGATAACTCTGGAAGAATACTATGATACTTATGTATTGAATTGGTTTCCCCTTATTAAACTATCTAAAATGATCTCTTTTGCTGACATTGAATGGGCTACTAATTGGTAAGTGTTTAGTGCTGTTTTTGAGATATTTGCTGTTTTGGTATTAAGTGGACAATAGTTTTAAGAGTTTCATTTTAATTCATTCTGTGATTTATTTCCATGGAGGTTTTGATAACAACGGTGCTATCGTAGGACCCAGGAGCACAAGACATAGTAATCCTGAAGAACATGCCACATACTATTTCACTACCTTTTCAAAAGAATTATTGGTTCAGGTAATGAGTGCTTTTGTTATTCTATGTTTACTCATCATTAGAGATACTTAAAAATATAAAGCAAAGGTCTTACCCTTAACATGACTTGAGTCAAAGGAGTGGCAACAGACTAAGAACTCCCTAAAAATGATAAGCAAATGGCTACAATAAAATAAGTAATCAGAAGTCGGATTCGAGATAAATCCAGAGATATTTTTATATGTCTGCCTGTCTTTGGGCTTGAACTCAAGGCCTGGGTGCTATCCCGGATCCTTTAGGCCCAAAGCTGACTTGCTTTAATGCTCTACCACTTGAGCCACGGCTCCACTTCAGCTTTTGGTGGTTAGTTGGAGAAAAGAACCTCATGGACTTTCTTGCCTGGACTGGCTTTGAAATGTGCTCCTCAAATCCTAGCCTCCTGAGTTGCTAGAACTACAAGTGTGAGCCACTGGCACCATGCAAGATACATTTTTTTTCTTTGCTGTTTTCATGACTTCATTAAAACATAGAGTTCTTACTTGTCTGCCTATGAAAGTTGGAGCTATTCCAAAAATAGACTAAGACCTATACTGTAAAGCTCTAGGAAAATTTGGGCTTTCACAATCATCTCAATGTGGTAAAATTGCTACTGTAGTGGAAGTATTGAAATGATCCATAGTTTATTTCCTATCATTTTTACTTCAGTTATATTTACCCAAATTGTCTTAAATTAAACTAATAAAAGACATGCTATCAGAAACATTTTTTAGTGAAATAGTATACTGAGTTTTAGCTCACTAGTGAAAAAGTAATTGCCAATACTACAGTGATGAGATAACATAGTTCAGAGTTCATATCTTAAGTAGCATCTTCATCTGGAGCCCAAACTATTCTTAAATGTACTTTTCTTCGTTTCTTTAGCTCTTCTACCTTCCTGCCAAGGAAAATTAAGAACCTGTTTTTTTCTCTCCAGCCAGATGAATATAATTTTCTTTTTTCTGAGCACAGGAAAATGGATTCAGAAAAGCAAAATATATAATCTCCATTATATATGATTATACTTGTGAAAACTTAAGGGAAGTTCTTTGAATGTATTTACTAAATAACAAGTGTTCTTTTCTTTTGTAAAGGCAATGGTAGGGATCTTACAAGTGAATGGATTTGGAGAAGAGAGCACTCTAATGCAGGATCTAAAACCTTTTCGGATTTTAATCAGCTTACTGGACAAACCTGAGCTAGGTAATGTATACTACTGTCCCAAGGCATAGGTCACATGCTTTTGTATTTTTTCATAAGAAAAATGTGACAAAGTTATTAGGAAACTTGTTCTTTGAAGTAGCTTTTAAATCCAAGTTCTCAACAATTTCCTACCAAAGTCCACTGGACCAAGTTAAGATACAGTTATTGTAAATTATAGTTTATCATCATGCCTCATTCCTTTGCACTGCTAACCGAAAAATCACTTTGAAAGATGAATTCAAGTTCTTCTTGATCCTTATGACATGACTGAAAGAAATTAAGGACTCTATGACATGTCATAACTTACAGTTTCAGTTTACAGAATTCAAGTACTTCAACAAATATTTCAATTATACTGTCTTTTTTTTTCTTGGTACTGAGGTTCAAACCCAGGACATTGCACTTGGTAGGCAAGTGCTTTGCAACTGAGCTGTATCCCAGCCTGTATTGTACCATCTTTGTAACAGTGCTGTTTTGTATATTTTCCTTTTAATCTGTATTATATGTTAAATCTATTGGAAAGTTGATTGTGATAGTTGGGACAATTTTTTAACCTGAATATTAACTAAAATGAAATTATAAAACTTAAATTCGTAAAATCACAATTACAAATTTCTTCAGGTTATATGCAGATATTTAGGCAAATATGGTACAACTCACAAGCTCTTAAAAGTGAAGAGATGCCAGATGCTGGTGACTCATGCCTGTGATCCTATCTACTCAGGAGACTGAGATCTGAGGATCATGGTTCAAAGCCAGCCTGGGCAGGAAAGTCTGTGAGACTTTTATCTCACCAGAAAACCAGACGTGGCACTGTGGCTCAAAGTGGTAGAAGGCTAGCCTTGAGCAGAAAGAACTCAGAGACAGTGCCCAGGCCCCAAGTTCAAGCCCCATGATGGACAAAAGAGAGAGACAGAGAATGAAGAGGCAAGGCTCATGCCTCTAATTCCAGCTACTCAAGTGGCTGAAATTGGAAAGATCATGTTTGAGACCAGATTGGGCAGAAAAGATCAAGAGTTAGGCTCAGTAGTGTGTGCCTGTTATGCTAACAATACAGGGAATACTAGAACAGGTGGATTGTGATCCAGGTGTACAGTCAGGCAGGTGCTATCTCAGAAATAACCAGAACTAAAAGGGATGGAGGTATGGCTTGGTAGTATGAGCACTTGTCTTGTGAATGCCCTGAGTTTAAACCTAGTATCCTAAAAACACAATAATTTTAGAAAATAAAAGTGAAATATGAAGATGATGGGTTATATCAGTGATAGTAGATAATAGAGAACAGTAGATTAAAGTCTTATATTTCATAGCAACAAAATTTAGCCTCATGAATTTTTGAATTATTTAATTAATGATATAGCATTTATTAAATAGTCATCATATTCTAAGAATTATGCAGACATCTTACAAATATTTTTCCTAATCCTCAAAACTGTCACATAACTTGGTATTATTATTCTCATTCTGGATGAGAAAACTTAAAAGCTCAAAGAAGTTAACTTGTCTAAGGTGCCAGAGATATGATTTCACCAAACCAGTTTTCTAGATTCTGTTCTTTCTGTGAATCTATACTTTAAGTAGGCATTTGGGAAAACAAGTACTGCTTTTAAAAAAAAATACCTGTTTTAAAATGTCCTTTATTCTGGCCACTTTTCAAACAATTATGATTTGCAGCTGCTAATTATTGTCCTTAATTTGTATATTTTAGGACCTGTAATTCTGGAAGATGTCTTGATTGAAGTGTTTAGAACATTATATTCTCAGTGTAAAGCAGAATTAGATTTTCAAATGGAACCGCCCTTCAGCAAGGACCATGCTCAGCTAAGCAGGTAGTTGCAGTTATTTCTATCAAGTACATGCACACTTGAGCTCCTGGGGCAAGTCATAGGACAGTGTGTGCTGTTCCCTGTTATCTGTTGTCTTCTATATTTCTCTGCTTCATTTACGCAGACCACTTATTTTCTGATATCAGGTTGTTATCATATGACAAAGGTTCTAAAGTGATAGTTTCTTTTACATAATTTATATTTCAGTATTTCTTTGGTAACAGAGATAATCTTAGACTTTTCTAATATTTTTATATACATATAAAAACATTTGAATATAGTTGTTGATTTCTGTTGATATAATTACCTGTATGTTTTGTTAGAGAAGCTAATACTGATTTGACTTATTAGTACTGCTCTGATTCTGTATTCTGCACTCTGCCTGAGAATTTACACTGGCCTATAGAGTATCTAATTAGTCATTTTTGCTGTAATCTGTTGGTTGTATTGATAGTATCTCTCTTCTGTAAGGACAGGTGTTAGAAAAGATAGGCAAACATAGGTAATTGTCTTTTTTTCTGATAGAATTTTAGTAGTAATGGCTATTTATAGTAATAGTGCTTTTTGTTACTATTTTTCAAACTAAAAATGGTAATTTGAATGAAACTGGCAGTCAAAGTAAACTTTTCATTAACCCAATCCTGAGTAGCACAGGGAAATGTAAAATTCTTCATAATCAAGACTGTGAAGCACAAACCTATTTAATTTATAGTTGCCAAAGGAAACAAAATAAGTTTGGTGTCAGATTAACAGTTATTAACTTTAAAAATTCAAAAAGAAGCCACCTGTGGTGATGAATACCTTTAATCCAAACATTTGAGAGCAGAGACAGAAAATATTGTTGAGTTCAAGGCCTATTGGATTATGTACAGAGTTTCAGTCTAGTCTAAGCGAAACACTTAAAAACAAAAGCAAAAAAAGAGAGGGTTCTATGTGATTTTTTTATGCAGAAATTTTACAAGGCTAATTTCTGATCTTATGTGAATTATGAAAATTCATATTTTAAAAATTATTACATATAAGGTAAGAATAGCAATAGATTAAAAATGTTGCAATCTTTTTACTGCATATTTTTAACAAATACCTAGATATATATACTGGGTAATAGTCCACAGAATTTGAAACAATGGTGTTATATATTTTTGTTTCTCTTTCTTTTCTTTAGTAAATTAAGGGAAAATAAGAAAACAGCAGAGCTGATTAAAACTGCCAACCTTCTCTTTAACTCCTTTGAACCTTATTATATGTGGGATTACATTGCTCGTTGGTTTGAAGAATGTTGTAGGTATGCTAAACTTTTAATTTCATGGCATTCAAAACTAACCTTTGACTCTTTTAAGTTGTTCAATTTAATAAGAATGTTCTTTTTATATATTATGCTTCTGAAAACTAGTAATTATTTACCAGACATAGTATGACTCTACCTTGTTGGTGTAGGATATAAAAGTTGTTGGTCATGTCATCCTAGAATTGGAAAGTGGCTTGGAGATGAGTTATTCATTCCCCAAGATGGATGAAAAATTTTACTTCTTCACTCTACAATAATCCCTCTTTTCAGGGCTGGGAAGGTGGCTCAGCGGTAGAGTGCTTGCCTTGCATGCATGAGGCCCTGGGTTCAATTCCTCTGCACCACATAAGCAGAAAAAGCTGGAAGTGGCGCTGTGGGTCAAGTGGTAGAGCGCTAGCCTTGAACTGAAGAGCTGAGGTACAGACAGCTTCCAGGCCCAGAGTTCAAGCCCCATGACCGACAAAAACAAACCAAAAATAATCCCTCTTTTCTGTGATAGAGAAGATAGTTGATTTGTACTGTTAGGTCAGCACATTTGGCCTTAGTCTTCTCAGTTTTATAAACAACCTCTACTTAGTCATTCCTGTTTCCAAAGCCATTAAATGGGTCTACATTGTTACTGGGGAGTAATGTCTGCCCTTTATCCCTTCAGATACAAGGTTACAGCAGAGTCTGGAAAAGCCTAGGATAGGAGTGAAGCTGAGTGAAAGCTCTGGATTCTGACCCAAACCTTCTCAGAACCAGGGTAACCCCTGCAGCCTCAGGATCACATAGTCAAAAAGGAAACATTCAGCTGGGCACCAGTGGCTCACACCTGTACTCTTAGCTACTTAGGAGGCTGAGATATGAGGATCGAAGTCCAGACAGGAAAGTCCATGAGACTCTTATCTCCAATAAACCACTCAGAAAACCAGAAGTGGCACTATGGCTCAAGTGGTAGAGTGCTAGCCTTGAGCTGAAATGCTGAGAGTTAGCACAGAGGCCCAGAGTTCAAGCCCCACAACTGAGAAAAAAATAAAAAAGGAAACATTCAATCTTTGGTTTAGAAGGCTTTAGAAATATGAATGCTATACATGAATCCTTTAATGATTTGGGAGTTTGCTTACTCAGCAGATGTTAAATGTCTAGCTGAAAAACATGGTGCTAGGCATAGAGTCTCTATCTTCAAAGACCTGATAGTGGGGCTTGTAAGACGTGTGCACGTATGTACCTGGGTTAAATTGAGAATGCAAATGTATCATTGGAGATTCAAGAATGAAGATGAATTATGAGTATCTCTTACCCCCTGGCCCTTTTCTGCATTTTCATCTTCTCTATTGAAACATGCACAACCTACCTTACTCTGTTTATTACTTCTTCACAAACACATCCATGTTTCTTGAGCTAATCTGGACTCTTCCCTGAATACACATTACTTTTCCTGCTGCTGAGCCTTCACAATACTACTCTTCCTAAAATACTGTGCCCTTGTTGCCCTCCTACATCTGGTATGGTCCACAGAGAGGTCACCCACCTTTCACTAGCCTTCCTTGACTCCCTCAAGACACTCATCGGAACCAGGAAAAGCACGCTGGGTATTTGTCTATGTGCTTTAATTTCTTACTAATCAGGGACTGTCATCATCTTATTTGTGTGTTCCAAGTATAGGGTGATGAGTAGTCATATAGTATTAATATGACATATAAATGTTTGTTGGAGGAATGATCTCTGCTACTTGGAAAGGCTTCCAGGAAGAGGCAACATTTGATCTCAGATCTTAAAGGATAGGTGTACTCTAGATATGAGAAAATTAAGCTGGGGGAGACAGTTGTCCAGAAAGGCAATAGCCCCTAAGATTAGAAACCAAGAAATAATCAGTTTTAATTAGGAGATGATAGCTATAGTGAGTACAATGGAAAATCTCACAAAGGGAGATACATCAAGAATGCATTTCAGTACAGGAGTGACAGAGGTTAATTTTCCACATAGAGACTATTGTGCCCTGGGAAAGAGAATGAATGTCCCTAGAACACTACCGTATGTGACCCACTGTTGACTTTGCCTCCGTGAGTCACACAGTGATGTCACATGAACTCATATCACTGATAGCACACTTGATAAGGTGACTTTTGTCCTTGTAGGAGGACACTGCACACCAGACTTCAAATTGGACCTGGAGATAGTAGTGAGTCATCTGAGTTACAGCTGACCAATTTCTGCTTATTGGTGGATTTTTTGTTGGATATAGTTTCTTTGGTAAGAGACACTGGATTAAAAATTAAAAAAGAAAAATCAAGGCGATCTAGTAATATACTTAAGATATTTCATGTAGTTAAATCTCACCAACCAGTAAATTTCATGTTTAAATTATTTTCCCCTTTGGTATAGCTTTTTGTTATAACATTTTCCAAATATTTTTTCCTCTGGCATATATTTGTAATATATTTATAATATAAATGGAATATACTTCCTAACTGCATGTTGAAGTCCTTTAACTACTGAGTATATCGTAGTCTAATGATGCTTTTATATTCATTATTGATTCTTTCTATTAAATGAAGATTGTTGGAAATACTTCCCTTTGTTTTCTCTCCTCAATCCTTTGCTTCCTCATTTTGAAGCCTACTAGAAGTATGAGGGTGCTGTGTCAGGTATGACCTTCAGCCTGTTTTGTTTTTAATTGATTCTGTTCACTTCTGTTGTGTCATCATTTCATTAATGTATCAGAAGAATGGGGTATTTTGTAATGTCTGCTTGAAGTACTTGACCAGAGAATTTCGGGAAAAGAAATGTTATAAGTTACCAAAATAAAACAAATATACTAATTAAGGAGCATGATCCCTGACTAAAACTATAGCTTTGTTTGTATAGATTAAAAACCAACAGTATATTTGTTTCATTCTGTTCAATTTGCTTTCATTGTCAGGAGACGTACATTGAAATCCAGACAGAACACTTGCCACAGTTGCTGCTCAGAATGATTTCTGCCCTGACAAGTCATCTCCATACATTGCGCTTGTCTGAGCTCACAGATTCCCTCAGGCTCTGCTCAAAGATCCTCAGCAAAGTTCAGCCTCCGCTGTTATCTGCGGGCACTGGGGGCGTGTTGCAGTTCCAAAGTGGGCAGCGCAACCCAGTCAAAGACTGGGAAGACAAAAAGGTAAGTGTGGACCAGTCACATTTCCCCTCAGCAGAAGACTCATTTCAGTCACTTCTCCAGGCATTTCAACATCAGTGGATATAGTTTATACCTCAGTGCTGAGGCAGTAGACAGACATCGTGTAGGCATTTGGCCATCATGCAGCTCAGTTGTCTGTACTTTTCAGTAGAAGTATATTGTGAGTGACAGTTGTGGGCTCAGATTTTCTGGTGGCCACAATTCAAAGGAAGCTAGACACTGGTGGCTCAAACCTGTAGCTATTAGGAAATTGAGATAGGAGGATTGAGGTTTAAAACAAAAATTGGCAGAAAGTCTGTAAAACTCCATCTCCAAAATAGCCATCAAAATGCTGGGCCAAGCAAGTATGAGGTGTTCAGTTAAAGTCTAGTCATAGCCAAAAAAAAGTAAAAGGAAATAGTCTCAATTATATTTTGTTTAGTCCAATAAAGTTAATGTATTATTATAATACATCACATATATAAAGTGATACCATAAAAATTAGTTCACTTTTTTGTACTGAGTCCTCAAAATATGAGTATATTTACCCTGATAACATATATTCATTCAAACACTAATCATTTTTCATCAAAAATACTAAATCAGCATTGAATTAATAAGATTTATATTTGATAAATTGGAGCCACATGTCCAAGTTGTTTCATACATAGTTTGTAACTCAAGTAAAATTAAGATTTAGTTCCTCAAGAACACACATTTTATGAGTTCATCTGGTACATATGGCTGTTTGCTGACATATTGTACTACAGGTCTGTATCTGAACTTTTACATATATCAAATTCACCATGATTTTCTTGAAGTCCAGAATCTTTTTGCAACCTCAGTCAAGGAAAATTATTAAAATTTGGTAAAAATGACTAAAATTAAACTATATAGTATGTAACTACCCTATATACCATATAATATATAACGTATATGACTATAAAGATAGTATTGTATATAAATGTACAATATAGTTTTTAAACTATACTATATTTTAGGTAAACTATAAAGTATGTGACTTTACTGTCTGGTACCAGGAACAAACTCTTAACACCAATTAAATCAATAATTAGTTTTTAAAGTTTATAATATTAAAATTACCAGCAAATATGAATGAAAATATTCAATTGATTGATTTAGTAACATTGACAATATATTAAAATACAGATTTGAAAATTCCTAGAGTACTTATTTCTTATCTAATTCCTGGGTTTATAGAGCTGCCCTTTTCTTTTTTCTTTCCTTGCCTTGTTTTTCAGACTGATCACCCTAACATGATCTCATAGGATGATCTCATACAGATCTCCTTTCCCATCAGTTATTAATTCTCTTCAGTCCATCTTTGCATGTGAAATGGGGTAACAACTCGTGGCCAATATAAATGTATTGCAGTTTATATGTATCCTACATAAACTAAAACCAGTATTTCATTTTCCTTCCAACCAGCTTATTATTTAGATTTGATATATAGTGTCTCTACCATTGCTGGAAAATGTGTTTTGTTGAACAATATTTAGTGAGAGTAGGAGAAGAAAGCCTTTAGAATTCTTCTATAGCACATTCAAATATGTGAAGATTTACTAGGTAGAAAACATCTAAATAAATAGAAGTAAGGTAATATCTTACTAACCTTACACATTTCCATTCTCATTCTCTCCTGCCTCTCAGGCTATGTATGTGTTTGTGTGTGTGTGTATTTTTTTTTTTTTTTACTGAACTGCCATGGTGTTATCTTAGATGTCAGAAAAGTTATCATATTTAAAAGCTGAGACTGTTTTCTGTATTCCATTGTTTGAAAACCTGAGTAAATAGCTGGTTGTTAAATGTTATGTGGTTCTACAGATTAGTTGCCTTTTTATAAAATCTCCTTGCTCAAATACCCAAAATAACATTTGTTTTCAAAAAGACATTTTTATTAGAAAATAATTAGCAATAAATATTTTATATACAAACATACACATGCATGGATATCTAACATAATCCATACCAATAAATACTGTAAAGATATAGAGGTTAGTTGAATTTATTGCTTGAATTCTGTTAGCTTAATATTGTCTGTTATTTTATGATACTTTTAAAAGAGGTTAATATGAAAATAGTTAAGCCAATGATAGTTTTATCATTTATTCTTCTAGAAAAGTATATGATTTTAGATGCTCACTAACTTTCAAAGGAGAAATATAGGCAAATAAATTCAATCTGACAGTCACCTCTAGACTTTGGCATTATAATGTGAAAAGCTCTTCTATTATACGTGTGTATACTGTGATGAGATGAATATGAAGTTTAGACTCATCTGAGTCCTTCTAACTGCCAAGCTTACTTACTATAACCTTGGTCAAGTTTTTTTTTTTTTTACCTTTGAAATAAAAAGATAATCTGTCTTCATTTAACACCCAATCTCATCAGAGTTAGGTACACTGGCTTTCAAGTGGTAAAGTAGGCAATTTCTGCACTTCTCAACCTTTCTATTTAGGTGACACATATTAACAATAGCACATTTACTTGTAGTTGTGATGAATGTATGAAGAAAAGTATGCAGAGTTAGAATCAGGGAAAGGGGGTTATTAGCTAATACTGACTGGCAGCCAACAAAGATAGCTTTCTTTTTTCTTTTTTCTTTTTTTTTTTGGATCGGTCATGGGGCTTGAACTCTGGGCCTGGGCATTGTCCCTAAGCTCTTCAGCTCAAGGCAAGCACTCTACCACTAGAGCCACAGCGCCACTTCTGGTTTTCCAGTGGTTTATTGAAGATAAGAGTCTCACGGACTTTCCTGCCTGATCTGGCTTTGAACCTCGATCCTCAGATCTCAGCCTTCTGAGTAGCTAGGATTATAGTCATGAACCACTGGCGTCTGGCTTTGAAGAGGGCTTTCTTGAGGTAGGAATATTTGAAAGGAAAGGACTCACTCAGTGGGGTGCTGTGCTGGAGCCAGGCAAGGAGGAAGGAGAGCACATAAGTGAAAGGAGCATTTGCAGGGGCTCTGAGGCTTAGGAGCCTCAGTTACAATGCTATTCCTTATCCATATTTTCCTTTGCTATGGTTACTGGAGGTCAACAAAAGATCTAATATGTTCAATGGAAAATTCAAGATATAACTCATAAGTTTTAAATTGTGTGCTGTTCTGAACAGGATGATAAATTTTCATACTGTCCTGTTCTATCCTAAGATATGGATCATACTTTGATTCATCTTATCCATGCTGTTGATCTGTCTACCTATTAGGCATGTATACACCATCTTGGTTCCTAGGTGGGCAATAACCCTGTGCTTGTGTTCTACCTCTTGTAGTAGAGAAATATTGTAGCACAATGCCTATATTACTCATCTCACTTTTCAGCTCAGAGGCATTGAATGCTCTCCTATTATCACTGGAAGAATAAATAGGGTTCAAAAAGATATTTGAGAAGAGAAGGATGATAGTCACAGTCACCTGACTTTTATTATATTGTTATGATTTTTCTATTATATGATTTGTTATTTTTAATCTCTTCTGTGCCAAACATAGAAAAGTTATAAAATGCTATCCTATGCATGCATGTCATGCATAAAGTCATGGCATATCTACAGTCCAGTGCTGTCTGCGGTTTGAGGCATCCACCGTAGGTCTTGGGGTACAGTATATTGCCCATGAAGAGCAGGGAATAGTGTATATGAATTAGGACACTGAAGTGTGGAGAGATTAAATCACTTTCCTGTGCAGCTCCCTAGCTGAGTCTGGGACAACTTTAGTCACCAATGTGGATGCAGGGTAGCCAAGAGGCAGAGCAAAGTAGAAAAAATACCAAAAACCAACCCTGCTTTTCTGTCTTTTTTGATAATGATGAATGGTGGTGTCATTTACTGAAGCAAAAAACACTGAGCTGAAGCCCAACTGTGGGTATCACAGTGTTTAGTTCATATACTATCACTTCTTATGATCTTATTCAAATTATACTCCAGCACAGTCACCCAAGGAATTCATGATCTGCACAATTTTATTTACATAAACTAAGCCAGATAATACCCTTAATGGTTGTACTTAGCCAGTCCTCTTTTTTTTTTTTTGGTCCGGTTGTGGGGCCTGAACTCTGGGCCTGAGCACTATCCCTCAGCTCTTCAGCTCAAGGCTAGTACCCTACCACTTGAGCCACAGCGCCACTTCCAGCTTTTTTCTTTTTGCTTATGTGGTGCTGAGGAATCGAACCCAGAGCCTCAGGCATGCAAGGCAAGCGCTCTACCACTGAGCCAACGTCCCAGCTCCTTAGTCAGTCTCCTTAAACAAAGGGGAGCTTAATGTATTCCAACCCTGCTACAGGAGCTGGTTCTTTTGCGTGTTATAATTGATATAATTATATTATCTCTTCACCTGTATATCATAAGCTTTTCTTTTTATTCCTACCACCTAATACAGCATTTGGTGTATGATATGGTTCAGTGATGGCTGAAAGCATTCAGGGTCAGTGGCAAGCATTTAGTTGATACATACTTCAACAAAATTTCACATTCATGCAATCCTGAGCAGATAACCTGTTGATTTTGTTTCTAATTTTAAGATGTCATCTTTTAACCTTTTAACATCTTATTCCTTTCATTATTTAGAATTTACCCATGTTTAGACATTTGGAAAGTGATTCCACAAACTAGATTAAATATATTCATTTGAAAATAAAAACAGTATCCTAATTATTCATATCTATGTATTTTACCTCAAGATCCTAAGTGTATGATATATATATAGTGAATGATAAACACTTAGTGAATGAATGTGAATTAATAATAGTTATTGTAAGTTTACCAGTGCTATTATTATAACATGAGTAAATGCAGAGCATCTTTTAAGAGTCAACAGAATGTAAGTTAAGTTGTACACAGTCTAATCTAAAAATTCTCTCAAGAAAATGACCATTTCTAATTCCTAATAGGTACATGTACCTACTCGAATTTTTGCTTTTTGAAAAATCTCTACAGGTATCAACAGTTTCACTGGAAAATCCCACTGAAGTGTTTGAGGATGGAGAAAACCCACCTAGCAGTCAGTCATCAGAGAGTGGCTTTACTGACTTCATACAGTATCAAGCTGACGGAACTGATGACATTGACAGAGAGCTGAGTGAAGGACAGGGGACAGCTACTATCCCACTTGGGAGCACATCCTCTGAAACAGAGACAGCCTCCACGGTGGAATCCGAGGAAACTGTTACTCAGCCCCCATCCAGACTCGGTCAAGGGACAGCACCCCGGCGTGGGAAGACAGCACAAAAGACGGCCATGCAGTGCTGCCTGGAGCAGGCCCAGCCCTTCCTTACCAGACTCATCAACCTCTATGTCATTCCCCGCAGCACGCTCTCTCAGGCTTTGGCTATGGATCCCCAGGGAGATCTTGGCAGAACCCAAGGGGAGACTTCAAAATGGGACAGGGATTCACAAGGAGATGTAAAAGAGAGAAACTTAAATACACAAAAAACCTCAAAAGAACACCTGCCTGCCTTCCTTGCTGCCTGTCAGCTCTTCCTGGAGTGCTCAAGTTTCCCTGTTTACATTGCTGAGGGGACCCATTCATCAGAGTTACGTTCTGAAAAATTGGAGACTGGTAAGGTCATCTCTATGTTCACTATGTTATATAGCACACTTTCCTTAAGAAATGTTCAGATATTAAAACAGGGATACCTTTTAGCCTGTTGACTTTTAAACGGCCTGCTTATAAAATGTTTTAATGACTACCTATAGTCACCAGAGGGAAATTTCCATACTAGAAGGTTTTGTGATTTGAGGCTTTCTTAGTCACCTGCAGGAAATGTAACACTGGCTTCACTCCCTTTTTTCATAACAGTGTCATCTCTGTTTACTTGGACTTAAATTTTTGTGCACACAGCACAATGAGAACTGGGTAGCATTTTTAATTAGTAATCTGATTGGTCAGACAGGAGACTGAATTATATGATTTAAATAAGAAAAAAACCTATATTGAAAAAAAAAGTTGATGTAGGTCTTGCTGCTGCTTTATATTTCTCAAAACTGTAAATGTAGGAGAGACTGATTTTGTTAATAGATCATACTAAGGACAGGAAGTAGTGTTGTTTCATTTCTTTGAAATTAACTTAAATGTCTATGCGAAAGGCCAGTGTGATTAACACTGACAGCTTCTGTCTCTGTTCTCTTTCAGACTGTGAACATGTGCAGCCGCCACAGTGGCTGCAGACTCTGATGAATGCTTGCAGCCAAGCAAATGACTTCAGTATTCAGAGTGTGGCTGTCTCCCTGGTCATGGACCTGGTGGGGCTGACCCAGTCAGTGGCCATGGTCACTGGGGAAAACGTCAACAGCATGGAGCCTGCACAGCCATTGAGTCCAAACCAGGGCAGAGTAGCTGTGGTCATCAGACCACCCCTCACACAGGGCAATCTAAGATACATAGCAGAGAAGACAGAATTTTTCAAGGTAAATTCTGGGATTCCACATGACTAAGATAATCACTGCACATATGCTACCTGATTGAGGGCACCAACGCCAGGAAGGAAATAATGCCAACTGAAAAAGATGGAAACTCGTTCTATAGACTATTTCCATATTAGGTATCTGTGACAATTTAGCTTTTCATAGGGTCCAAAACTTTTATGAAAAGTTTTGTGATTATATATATATATATATATATGTATATATATATATATATATATATATATTCATATATACATGATATTGCTGAATTGTATAATAACATTCCAAAAAATCGTGTAGCCTTTGATTTCTAACACACTGGTTTAAATGTGTATATATGTATGTGTATATATAAATTTATATGTACATGGATGTATAATTTCTACATAGAACTTGAATTATACTACATCTTAACAGGTTATATTGCATCTTTATGTGTTTAAAATGTTGTTTTGGGTTTTATTCTTTTAACTGTGTTTTGTCAAATATAGTGTGATACACATCTGTAATCCCAGAACTCAGGAGATGGAAGCAGAAGGAAATGAAGGCTGGGGATCTAACTTAGTGGTTAAACGCTTGCCTAGCATATGCAATGACCTAGATTTGAACCCATGCACTGCAAATAGCCCTCTAGATATTTTCTCCTGCTTAAATGAGTTTTAACGTTCTGGTGAACTCTAAAAATTTTTTTCCTATTCTTCTTATTTCGTGTTAAGTGCTATGTTAACACACGTATGACACTTATAAGTGATTTTATAAACCTCTTTGGCCTAGTAATGGTACAGTACTTACTGTGCAAGTCCTGGGTTCAATTGCCAGCACTTGAAGAAAATCAAAACTCTTGTGTAATTTCAGTATTCAGAATGCAAAACTGCATTTTACTCGGTGACATACAAGAATTCAACATGAAATGTTTGTCTTGTTAAAGATAATGCAGTCTAACATTACTAAAATAGTAAAATGAGATCTTACCTGCATAAAGAGTTTATTACATTTCAGAGGTTTAAAAGAAGTACTATGAAAGTACTAAAAAGTTCAGAGGGTCTGGGTGGCCAGGAAATGATCAGATAGAAGGCTTTACTTCTAAATTTCATACCAGTAATACTTATTAAATACTTAATATTAAAGACTTCCCAAGTATGGTAGTCAGAAACTAGGTATTAGCTTGTCCATACTAAGAAATATATGCTAAATAAGATTTTGTCTCCTGTTTTTATAACCCAGTAACCTTTATATCTTTCCTGGCAGCATGTAGCCCTGACGCTGTGGGACCAACTAGGAGACAGGACACCTCAGCACCACCAGAAGAGTGTGGAACTATTTTATCAATTACATAACTTAGTACCTTCTTCTAGCATCTGTGAGGATGTTATAAGTCAGCAGTTAACCCATAAAAACAAGGTAAATCCTTCTCCTATCCTGCACCTACACATACCTACCTGCACACTATTCCAAAATGTTAAAAACTCTCTAGGAAAATTATTACACCTGGCGTCTGAATCACATCTGATACCACTTGGTTCAGTGTGTTATTCATATCTTTACAATACTATGTTCTGCTCTGTGTAAAGACCTTTTTACATCAATAGTATGAAAAACTAAGCAGTGTAGGAAATGATGATTAAAGCCCTTGCTGGTCTAAATTGTTGGGTTATTTACAGAAGAGCTAGTGGCTGTGGATTGAATAGATACACCTATTAATGTATGTGAAATTAAATAATATGCAAGTTACCTTTATAAGTGGATATTATTTGTTCTTGTGCTAACATGTAAGATTATATTATTTTCATAATAATATAGAAAATAAGATTTATGTTCCTAATGTATATGAAGTGATACATGAATCAATTTTGTTGACTATGACCGAGGGACCAGGTGGAAAAGATGATTTTGAATGGTAATGCTAGCTAATTTAATGAAGTTTGTTATTTCCTTATGCCTTCTGAGTAATATAAATTTAATCTTACTGGAGAGCTTTTAGAAGTGGATTAACCTGTTTTTAAAAAGTTGGAATGCTACTGGGTTGGGAACATATTTACAGAGGCATTGTTTTGAGTAAATGAGGGACTTAGCAAAGAGCAGAGTGGTGAGTGGAGTAATGATAGTAACAGTATTCTTAGAAAAGTGTTAAATTCTATTTCTCCACCATATTCTTTCAAATTTGTTCAGAAATAAGTTTTAAACAATTTGTTGTTTGCATATAATATCTATTAGTTGATGAACAAACAAATGCTTCACAAGAAAACCTTTACCAGAAACAGCAAACTTGCTTCTAACCTTTAAGATGCAATTTAAAAGTTTTAATCAGGACTCTGTTTTTTGCTTGAAAGATTCCATGAATGCTAGAAGAAAAGTGTAAAAATCTGATAATGTCCTAATTTCTACTGTCCATATATTAAAATATGTTGACTATTCCAAATATCTTCTTCCCAATAGTCCCAAAGTTGTTTAAAATATTTTTCTTAAAGAAATTTACTTGAGATGCATACTTTCTTGGGGAAAAAGTGATTTTGAAAGTAAATGTTTATATTTAACATGAGGAAAGAAAATTCTTAGCAGTGTGACCCTTTTTAATGTAATACACAGACTGATGAAAATCTAAGGGGGAAGATGAGTCTTTGATATTTCTTTCTACATACAGGTACTTTGTTTTACATTTATTGCAGTTGAGTTTTGTAGGTATTGAACATACTACTCAATTATTTCCTGAATTTTACTAAAATTGCTTTATATCTTCGAGAGAACAAAATAATCTCTCCCATTCCTCCTCAGAAAATACGAATGGAAGCACACGCAAAGTTCGCCGTTCTCTGGCACCTCACACGGGATCTCCATATAAATAAGTCATCTTTTGCACGCTCTTTTGACAGGTTGGTTATATTTCATATTCAGATTTTAGAGTCAAATGTCCTATTGTTGTTTCCTTTTGAATCCTCTTTCTAGTTTGGCAAGGGCAGGAGGTATACATTTACAGATTTTATGAAGGGAATTGGTTAGTTCTTTAGAAAATCCAAGCTATATTGAAACTTTATGTTGGCTTCACTTACAAGATTCCCCTTGGAATCTCTCAGAGCACCCAGTGCCTCTTGCTTCCATTGAACCAATATTCATCAAGTCCTTGCTATTCACCAAGCACCATTCTGAGTGCCAAGACAGGTGGCTCCATTCTAGATACAGCAGTGGGCAGGGCTTTCTTGAGCCTTTCTTGGATACTGTATATCAAAAGTATATTTTTAATCTTCAGCCTACACTGAACTTTACAGTATTCCATAATTGAAAATGTAGTTGCCTGAGATTAGTTTAGCTTTTCATCTGGATCTAAAAGCAACTGAAGTGATTTATATCTCAAATAACTTCCAAGGAACTGCTGTTCGTAGGTAGGTACATGAATTGTTATAAGATAGTTGTCTCATCTGCAGGTCTTACAGAGGTGGCTACAAATTGATGCGGAAAGCCTCATTTCTGATGAGATACGTGCTGTATGGGACTTCAGTTCAGCTAGTACTGAATTAATACATAACCATTTTTAAGAGATTTTCTATTGAGCCATATATTGAACTCCTATGGTGAACTAGGTACTTCTCAAATAGACAACTCTTGACTTCACATCTTTCTTCATCTTACCAATGATACAGTGAAGGTTCAGAGAAGTTAAGTTGCTTGGCCAGATCCCACAAGAAATTTAAATCTTAGGTTTTCTGATTTTAAACCATATTTCCATACCTTTCATAGAAGGTCTTTCCTGGAATTCATCACATATCTTTAAATACCTGAAGAGAAAGAAAACAGAGTACCCCTGATAATCATGAAATACTGCTGACTGACAAAAGCCTTGGTACTTAATATTAGTGCATCTGTTAACAGACATAAGTTTATTTCTATTCTTTAGTAAGTAATGTGGTTCGTTTCAAAAACAAAAGTATATTAGAATGGGAAAAATACTTTTCTCTTTTTTCGTTGAATCTAATAAGATTTTGATTCTAGAAATACTGTGGTCAAAATTGATCTTGAAATTTGATTAAGTAGTTAAAGTAGTCAAAAATAAACACAACTGCTAATTGCAGAAAAAAATGGTTGGACTTGAAGATGTTTTGTTCTTTAATTGTTTGTGTGTATTACAGGTCTCTGTTCATCATGTTGGACAGCCTTAACAGCCTAGATGGCTCCACGAGCTCAGTGGGCCAGGCTTGGCTGAACCAAGTCCTACAAAGACACGACATTGCCAGAGTGCTGGAGCCATTGCTCCTGCTCCTGCTCCATCCAAAAACACAGAGGGTTTCGGTGCAACGAGTACAAGCAGAACGCTACTGGAATAAGACTCCCTGTTACCTAGGCGAGGAGAATGACAAGCATTTCATGCAGAATTTTACCTGCAGCAGTGGTGAATATCACACAAAAATAGAGCACCTTTAATTAGAAAGGAAGCTAAAGAAAGGAGCCAAGACTCTGTAGACACACATAGAGATGGGAGCCATACATAGTGGTTTGGTTGGAGCTCACCAGTGTTGTAACTGGACTGTGTAAAAGGCTTCTAAACATGAGCAACCTGCTTAGTAAAAAATAACCTTTTTTATTTCTGACCTCAGAGGGATGTCAAGATGTATGGTACTCTTTGTTCTTACAAAATAGTCATCATCCCTGCACAGAGGAGATCCCTGGACAATTGGTAAAGTGTGGACTTTATAGTAAGAGGCCGTTGTTTAGCTTCCTTCCTACTGTGTCCTCTGTGTGTTCTAAATAATTGCCTTAACGTCTTGGTGGTAACCCTTTCCTTCCACAGCCCTGCTTATTGCTGAATTCTTACCTCCTCTTTGAAATCAGTCTCAGACAAGTTTTCTCATGAACTTGGCAGTGTGCTAATATGACACTGAGCTTCCACCTCTTTTAATAAATATGCTCCAGATAAGTGCAGAAGTGGGTGGATGTGATTGTGGTCTCCTGTCAGTATGGAGCATGCTATCTCTTTCCTGCTCCATCATTGTCTGCCAGTTTAGGATCTTACACTAATTAGATAACTCATTCACATTTATTGAATTTTTGTTAAAATTTTATGTTTGACTATATTCCAAACTATTTGCATTCTCGTAAACTGCATAACTAAAGGCAGTATCACAGGGAGGAAAAATAAAATTTTATCCAATAATAAAAAGAATATCTTAGCTGGGCACTGGTGGGTTGCACCTGTAATTCTAGCAACTCAGTAGGCTGAGCTCTAAGGATCAAGGTTTGAAGCCAGTCCATGCAGGAAACTAATGATACTCTTATCTCTTAACCACTGATAAGCTGGAAATGGAGCTGTGGCTCAAGCCTTGAGCAATAAAAGCTCAGGGACAGCCCCCTAGGTTCAAGCCCCCAAACTGGCACACATAAAAAAGATTGTCTTCTATGGCTTATTTTGGGTAAAAGGGGGTAGATTGTTATATTTGCCTCTTCCTGTTCTTATGAAGGTATATATTCTAATAGTTTCCACATGACTTCTGATATAAATTCCATATGATTTTCTTAAAAGATCTAAGATAATGTAGAGTATACTTCTAATAATAAAATATAGATTGGTGATGAGAATAATGATCAAAATTTTAATTTGATCTACCTTTTCACGTTTCAATTAATCCATTTTGTGTCTTTCCTCCTTTACTGTTTTTGTCCTATGCCAGTAAGCCAAGCTCAGCTCATGGCATCGAAAGGAAATGGTGAGAAACCACTTACCATGGATGAAATAGAGAACTTCAGTCTCACGGTTAACCCACTGAGCGACAGGCTCTCCCTCCTGAGTACCAGCAGTGAGACAATCCCAATGGTTGTCTCTGACTTCGATCTTCCAGACCAGCAAATAGAAATCCTTCAGAGTTCTGACTCTGGGTGTTCACAGTCCTCAGCTGGGGACAACATGAGCTACGAAGTTGATGCAGAAAATATGAATGCCCCAGAGGAGTCTCACATGCTCAAAGCGAGCTCCCCCGATGACGATGTTCAGCAGTTGGTGTTTGACCTAATACACCAAGTTGTGAGTGGCCTGGAAGCAGAGTCGACACCGGTAACCTCCGAGATGGACACAGAAGCTCTTCCCCCAGATGGTGGTGACTTGGATCTCGAAGAGGAAGTGGTGAAAAGCAAGGATCTGTCTGCTGCACGAGGTCAGAGTGCTTTGCTGAGTCATGAAAGCCCTCAGTTTCTGTCTGTGTCCTCAGAGGAAGCCCAAGAGTGCTTGGCAAATGGAATCTCCAGAAACAGCTCCTCACCTTGTATTTCAGGAACCACACAAAGTCCCTATGACTCATCGGTGGCTGCCGCAGAAACCAGGTCTAGGCAAAGGAGTCACAGCAGCATCCAATTCAGCTTCAAAGAAAAGTTACCAGAAAAAGTCTCTGAGAAAGAAACAATTGTTAAGGAGTCCGGTAAACAACCAGGAGCAAAACCCAAAGTAAAGCTTGCCCGAAAAAAGGATGATGACAAGAAAAAAACTTCAAATGAAAAACTGAAACAAACCAGTGTCTTCTTTAGTGATGGTCTTGATTTGGAGAATTGGTACAGCTGCGGAGAGGGAGAAATTTCTGAAATTGAGAGTGACATGGGATCTCCGGGATCCCGGAAATCTCCCAATTTCCACATTCATCCTCTCTATCAGCATGTGCTCCTCTATCTCCAATTATATGATTCATCAAGGACTCTCTATGCCTTCTCTGCCATCAAAGCCATCCTGAAAACTAACCCTATTTCCTTCGTAAATGCCATTTCAACCACAAGTGTAAATAATGCCTACACCCCTCAGCTGTCTCTGCTTCAGAATCTGCTGGCAAGACACCGCATCTCTGTTATGGGAAAGGACTTTTATAGTCACATTCCAGTGGACTCAAATCACAACTTCCGGAGTTCTATGTACATAGAAATTCTCATTTCTCTCTGTTTATATTACATGCGTAGCCATTACCCAACTCACGTCAAGGTCTCTACACAAGATTTAATAGGCAATCGAAACATGCAGATGATGAGCATAGAAATTTTGACTCTCCTCTTCACTGAGCTGGCAAAAGTAATAGAAAGCTCTGCGAAAGGTTTTCCTAGTTTCATCTCTGATATGTTATCTAAATGCAAAGTTCAAAAAGTGATTCTTCATTGTTTGCTATCATCTATCTTTAGTGCTCAGAAATGGCATAGTGAAAAAATGGCAGGTAAGAACATGGCTGCTGTGGAAGAAGGGCTCTCAGAGGACAGCCTTATCAATTTCTCAGAGGATGAATTTGACAATGGCAGCACACTCCAGTCGCAGCTTCTCCGGGTGCTTCAGAGGCTGATTGTTTTGGAACACCGGGTGATGACTATTCCTGAAGAGAATGAAACAGGTTTTGACTTTGTCGTCTCTGACCTGGAACACATCAGCCCCCATCAGCCCATGACCTCTCTTCAGTATTTGCACGCCCAGCCAATCACCTGTCAGGGCATGTTCCTCTGTGCAGTGATCCGAGCTTTGCATCAACACTGCGCGTGTAAGATGCACCCACAATGGATTGGCTTGATCACATCCACTCTGCCTTACATGGGAAAAGTTCTACAGAGAGTAGTTGTGTCTGTGACTCTACAGCTGTGCAGGAATTTGGATAATCTAATTCAGCAGTACAAATATGAGACAGGGCTATCTGATAGTAGGTAAGGGTGCCTTTTAACTTGGTTACCATTGATGTTTTTCACATATGTAAGTGTTGAAATGTCCCAAAAAGTCAGACTTTGAGCGGGGATAAGGGAGTGGTTGGAGTGTGCATTCAGTCCGAGATCAGCCCCTAATACCTCCAGGGTAAAGATCAAATAGACAAGTTACCAGCTTGCAGTAGTTCACAAGTCGTGTGGCATTTTCACAAGAAAACTTAGCTTGAAGAAGAATATCAGAGAATCTAGGATAAAAAAAAGACAAGGAATACTTATATTGGGATAAAATTGACTTTGATGATCTTTCAACTCAACTGACAAAAATAGGATTCTTTCCATGAAGAGATTTCCTTTTTTTTTTTTTTTGGTGGGACCTGGGTCCTGTCCCTGAGCTCCTTTTGCTCAAAGCTAACACTCTATTACTTGAGCCACAGCACCACTTCTGGCTTTTTCTGTGATTAATTGGAAATAAGAGTTTTTCACAGACTTTCCTGCCTGGGCTGGCTTTGAACTGTGATCCTCAGATCGCCACCTCCCAATTAGCTGGGATTACAAGCTTGAACCACCAGCACCCAGTGGGGTTTTTCCGTATTATTTAGTGTGTTATTTAAGTGCAAATTAATTGCAAGCTGGAATTTAAATTCATAAATCCTTCTCCCATTGGAATTTTGCCTCTTGTTTTGGATTTTCCTAGGTTGGTAGTAAATTCTACCTGTGTCTTTAGACCACAAAATTCAAAATTGATCTCTGAAAAGTAGGCCAAAAGTTTAGGACACAGATGCCTGGCTTATCTCCCATGTAACTCAGTGGCTTCCTGTAAAATAGTAAACTGTGGTGTTTAGTAATGGTTTTCCTGCCATTACCCAGTGGTCAGAGCCTTGCTGGCTGTTGTTTATTCTCTATGGAATTAGAGAGCCCAAAACAACTCTGGTGCATTTAGACCAATTGTTTAGGAAGCAAAAGGGCCCTGACACCTAGTCTGTGCCTGGCTTGTGATGGATATTTATTAGTGGTGCAGCACAAACTTCACTATCACAGAACCATTGTTGATATGCATGCATTTATTTCAGGCCTCCATGGATGGCATCGATTACCCCACCAGACATGATTCTCACTCTCTTGGAAGGGATCACTGCCATTATCCATTATTGTCTATTGGATCCAACTACACAGTACCATCAAGTAAGACTTCAAAACAACCTGCATGATTCCTTTTTTTTTTTTTTTTGCCAGTCTTAGGGTAAAAGCTAGTGCTCTACTACTTGAGCTACAGAGCCACTTCTGGCTTTTTCCAAGTAGTTTATTGGAGCTAAGAGGCTCACGGGCTTTACTGAGTAGCTGAGATTACAGGTGTGAGGCAATGATGCCTGGTTGTGACTCCTTTTTTAAAAGACTATAAGGTCCAGCAACTGCCTACTCAGAACTCAGTGATCGTGCGTCTTTTTTACTTTATAGCTCTTGGTCAATGTTGACCAGAAACACTTGTTTGAAGCCCGCAGTGGAATCCTGTCGATCCTACACATGATCTTGTCCTCGGTGACACTGCTGTGGAGCATACTGCACCAGGCTGACGCTTCAGAGAAGATGGCTGCCGCTGCATCCGCCGCCGTCACCACCATCAACCTCGGCGCCACAAAGGTTGCAGAACTCACGCCCCATCTGTAGAGCTTGGGGCTGAGAACTTTCCCCAAAATTCTCTTCCTAAATTTATGGATACTTTGAACAGTATTTTGCATAGATTAATGATCAAGTGAAAATTTCGCTGAGATATGATTGACAAGTCATCAAATTCTCAAGTATACAAATCAGTGATTTTTTTTGGTACATTTTGTAAAGTTGTCAAATGCCACAGTCCAATTTTCAAGTGCGTCCTTCCCTCCAAAAGACTCCTTATTCCCACTTGAAGTCGCTCAATCCCAGCCCCAAACCCGACTGGTTGCTAATCCAGTTCCTATATATGAGTTGATTTTTCTGGGCATTACATAGAAGTCAGTTAATACAGTATTTGGTCTGTTATACCCAAAAGCGAAGCAAATATTACATAATTAAGTAAGTATAGTATGTGAAAACGTTAACTATGAAAACAAGAGAGTAAAGGTAATCTCAGAATGATAGGATAAATGTTTATTTTCTTTATGCAATAGTATTTTTCAAGTGCTCTGTTGGTTTTTGGTTTTTGGTTTGTGTCAGTACTAGTGCTTAGATGGCAGGGTCTAGCACTCTGCCTTAGCTTTCTCACTCAAGGCTGGTGTTCTGTCACTTGAGCCATGCCTCCACTTCTGGCTTTTTTGCTGGTTTATTGGAGGTAAGAGTCTTTCAGAGTTGTCTGCTGAAACTGGCTTTGAATCTTGATCCTCAAACCTCACTCTCCTAAATAGGTCAGATTTATGGATATGAGCCACTAGCTTCTGGCTCTATTTTATTCTTTAAACGTGTGAATGTTGCCGTTATTTGTCATGTCGTGATTGTCATCCCTCCCTCAACAACCTCATTTTGCTCCTGGAGTTGATCGGCTTGATCTGAGATCTATAGGAGCTCATTTAATGAGTGAAAGGAGTAGGTTAAGACCATTAGAACATTATATCTGAGCATTGTTTGTATTTAAACTATACTTTTTCTATCTTTGTTTACTTGGAATTAACAGTCAGGATCTTCTATAATTGTAAAAGACTTTATGTCAAATTTAGTTTCGTATATTGTATTTTTTGAAAACTTGGGGGTTAGACTTGCATTTAGTTAATTGTCATTTTGTAAGGTTTTATTTTGAATTGAAAGTCATGGTTATAACCATTTTGCTTTGCTATGTTGCCCATGCTGGCCTCATTCGTTCTGCCTCAGCCTCTGCATTGTTGGGATTGAAGGCATGTTCCACACCTCTTAACACTATTAAAAGATTCCTCTAGTTAGGTACAGGTGGCCTAAACCTGTAAGCCTAGCAACTCAGAAGGAGGAGCTGAGGAGGAACACATTTCAAGGCCAGCCTGGGCAAAAGTTCTTGAAATCTCATCTCAACTAATAGCTGGACTAGGTGGTGGCAGGTTCCTGTCATCCCAGCAGAGTGTGAGATGAGATTGGGAGGGTTGCAGTCCAGGCTAGCCCTGGCAAAAGGTGTAAAGACACTGTCTCAAAAATAACCAACAACAGCTGAAAGCATGGCTCAAGTGGTATAGTGCCTGCTTAGTAAGGAAGAAATCCTAAGTTCAAACCCTAGTTCCACTGGGGGAAAAAAAGGAAAAATTCATACACTGCTATGGAGCTAAATGTTCTGGGGCTGGGAAGGCGGCTCAGTGGTAGAGCGCTTGCCTTGCATGCTCAAGGCCCTGGGTTCGATTCCTCAGCACCACATAAGCAAAAAGAAAAAAGCCGGAAGTGGCGCTGTGGCTCAAGTGGTAGAGCATTAGCCTTGAGCTGAAGAGCTGAGGGACAGTGCCCAGGCCCAGAGTTCAGACCCCACGACCGGACCCAAAAAAAATAAATAAATAAATGTTCTGTCTAATTAATGCTTTCAATTGTAATTTTCTTAAATTGACTTAGAACTTGAGACAACAAATCCTTGAGCTGTTGGGCCCCATCTCAATGAATCACGGTGTGCACTTTATGGCTGCCATTGCATTTGTATGGAATGAAAGAAGACAGAACAAAACCACTGCACGAACCAAGGTAGGTGTTTAAGGCTCAAGTGGTATGGTTTCTTATTTGGTAAGTACATGCTAATTTATTTCCTCTGTGAATGCCCACAGATCTTGAGCTCTGAGGTTACAGTTGGGCTAAAGTGGTAGGTAGAAAGTGGAAAAGCAAATTGGCCACAGCTATGGATAATGACTTACACTGAAACAGAGCAAAATTAGTATGATGATAAGCTTATCACTTCACAGTATATTTTTCATGTGGAAGGTATTTGGGACACAAACTAAGGACTTGAAGGAAGTCTTCCTCTTCAGTAGTTTTCCTGAATGTCAGCTTACATAGTTAATGCAAATCTTACATTGGTTTTGACTGTATGCAGGAAAATTCAGGTACTTGCTTTGTGAGCTTGAAATCTCTGACACTTTTCTAAATTGGAAATAAGTCATGACTTTAAAATAAAAATGCTACTAAACAGTTTACATTTATACAAAATATGTGATTTTCACACCCAAAGGTTTGTGATTTGTTTTTGTGCTAATGTCCCATGTAATATATAGTGATATTCATAAAGTAATAAAAATATTTCTGCCACATTATATTATTTTGCATATGAAGATTTAGTAGTCAATATCACATCAAACAGAGAGGCCATTCCAAAAATGAAGAACTTTTTTGGATGTTTTTTTATTTATTTTGATGGTACTTAGGTAGGTAACTGCTCAACCTTGAGTCCTGTTTCTGCTTTAGTTGTTTTTCAAATAGAATATAGAACTTTTTGTCCAAACTGATCTGATCCTCCGATACCTTTCATACAGCTAGAATTACAAGTATGAATCATCACACCTGACATGTTCTTTGAGAGAGGTTCTCACTAAATTTTTTGCTTAGGCTGGCCTGAACCAAGATCCTTCTGTCATATAGCTTGGATTACAAGTAAGAGCCTGTAGAGGCTATTGGATTTTAATTCTGTAGCAAAAACAAAGCAGTACCAATTGGGAAAATGGTTGAAACAAAAAGTAGATAAGTACCAGAAGTGAAATATAGGTTTAAAGATAAGGAAAACTGAAAAAGGAAGTGATACATACAATTTTCCAAGTTCTGATGTCTCACACCTGTAATCCTGGCTACTCAGGACCCAGAGATCTGAGAATCATGTTCAAAGCCAGCTGGGGCAGGAAAGTCCCTGAGACTCTTATCTCTAATCAACCACTAAAAAACTGGAAGTAGGGCTGGAAAGGTGGCTCAGTGGTAGAGTGCTTGCCTTGATTACATGAGGCCCTGGGTTCGATTCCTCAGCACCACATAAGCAGAAAAAGACAGAAGTGGCGCTGTGGCTCAAGTAGTAGAGCACCTTGAGCTAGAGCTGAGAGACAGCACCCAGGCCCAAAGTTCAGGCCCCACGACCGACTGGAAGTAGAGCTGTGGCTTAGAGTGATAGAGTAATAGCCTTGAGCAAAAAAGCTCAGGGACAGTACCCAGGCCCCAGAACCAACATGACAAGAGAAAATCCATGAGAGGAGAAAAATATTAAAGAAATAGAACATGAAAATCCTCAGAAATGAAGAAAATAAATTTCGATAGTATTCCCAGCATTGTATAAAAATGCCAACATAAAGATAAGCTTGTTAGCTGGGCACAGGTAGTTTAGGCCTGTCATCCTAGCTATTCAGGAGGCTAAGATCTGAGGATAGTGGTTCAAAACCAGCAGTGGCAGAAAAGCCCTGGAAACTATCTCCAGTTAGCTACCAAAAAAGCCAGAAGTGGAGCTGTGAACTAGTAGTTAGAGCACTAGCCTTGATCCACAAAGCTCTAGGACAGCACTCAGACCCTAAGTTCAAGCCACAGGACCAGCACCAAACAAAAAATAAACCTGTTATTTCAGATCCTAAAATCTTCAGATGAAAAAGAAAAGGAATGATTATAAGAATTACCAATAGGAACACTGGCAATCTTGATGGAAAGGAGTCCGAACTTACAATTTCATAGCCAAAATGAAAAGCAGTTTATTAACTCTAGAAAATAGACAGGTTGTATACAAAATGCACTGATAGTACTATATATGTAGCACATATATAGCACATAAATAGTCTTGTGGACACTGGATAATTTAAATAAAATTATGAATAACTACTAGGAAGATGGCAAAAACTGTGAAGAGCTAAACTTTTATTCTAACGAATTCAATAGATGTTTAAATGTTTAAATTTAAATGTGAGGAAAACTAGTATGTGTTGTTTAGAAATAATAGAAAATAACTGCAAGAATGGAATATAATTTGATTTTGGATGTAGGATGGGAAGGCCAAGGTAATTCTATCTTTCCCTATAAGACTTACTGTCCTATTTAACTTGACTTTTTCGAATTGATGTACATATACTGTATTGATAAGAAAATAATAAAAATTTACCCAAAGTGGATCAAAGGACTTCTTTATGTTACAAAGAAGCTATCATTAATTCTGCTAACTCTGACTCTTTTGAAAGCTCATATGTGTACCCAGAAGGTAAATAGTAATGTGTTGTCCAGGTTATTCCTGTGGCCAGTGAAGAGCAGCTGTTACTGGTGGAGCTGGTTCGCTCCATCAGTGTCATGAGAGCAGAAACTGTCATCCAGACTGTGAAAGAAGTTTTAAAGCAGCCTCCAGCCATAGCCAAAGACAAGGTAAGGAGGAGTTTCTTTGCTTTTGCTTATAATTCCGTGTCCAAAGGATGCTGATAGAAAAGATTTTTGGAAAACTTACCTCCTTTGACCTATGATACAGATAAAAGAGGTGACTGGATGTCACTCCTTTAATAAAACAATCTCTGCAGTGACTTTCTGTTCAGATCTCTCATTCCTGCAGGTAGTGAAGAGCTGTTAGCTGAACATGTCTCCAGCGTACGTCAGAGGCAGTCAGGAACAGGCTGACCAGATTCTATCTCTGTTTCATAAACTCAAATTTTGCCAGTCATTGGCTATATGATTTTAGTTCTAAACACTGTTATTTTTTCACCCTGTACAGTACTGTACTTTGTCAGGACTACTGGAAATGAGCAATATAGTCTCCCTACTCACATTGCTTTGTCTGATCAGGCTGAGAAGTGTATGAACTTCTCTACTTTCTGTTCTTTGCTCAGGCAGTACCAAGAGATCACATCTTCTTAAGGAAAGTTTTGCAAACCTAGACTGTGAAACCATACTAAAACTAACCTTATTACATCCCTAAGAGAATTATTACATATAGCTGAAATTTTTAATTCTTTTTTAAATCTTGATTTGCAAGAAGAAAAAGGGATTTTTGTGTATATGAATAGTCAGTATCCTTAGTCCATATGTACCTTGTGTGTATATGTGTGTGTGTGTGTGTGTGTGTGTGTGTGTGTGTGTGTGTGTGTGTGTGTGTGTGTGTGTGTGTGTGTGTGTGTGTGTGTGTGTGTGTGCCAATTCTAGGGCTTGAACTTAGGGCCTGGGTGCTGTCCTGAATTTTTTTGGTCAAGCCTAGTGTTCTATCACTTGAGCCACAGCTCCATTTCTGGCTTTTTGATGATTAATTGGAGATAAGAGTCTCACAGACTTTCCTGCCTAAGCTAGTTTCAAATTACCATCCTGGGATCTCAGCCTCCTGAGAAGCTAAGATTACAGGTGTGAAGTACTGGTGCCCAGCTTATTTTCAACTTTTTAAGTAGCTCTTTTGCTGTGAATTTTCCCTGATAGGATAAGATGGAATAGAGATACATTTCTTAAATAAGTAGATATTTTTGTTTTTCTTTTTTAGTAAAAATTAAGATACAAGAAAGTTGCAACAGGGAAAAAAATAAATGAAGCAATTTTCTTCTCTATAAATTGATTTCTTTTGTTTATAGAAACATCTTTCTTTGGAAGTCTGCATGCTTCAGTTTTTCTATGCTTATATTCAAAGGTAAGATTGCTGATGTAGGTCTTCCCTTACTACAATCACACTATATAAAGATTAGGAAATATAGAAGGAAAATCACTTGAATTCTTTCAAAAAGTATCTAAGAAAAGAGTTCCCTAAACCTAGAAAAACAAATTTGCTGCAATAGAAACGCTGTTTCTGGACTGTTAATAGAAATCATGAGTATACCAGTGATTTAACATATTAACCCTACAAAACTAAAGACATAAGGGTATTAAAGATATGTGGAAATGGAACACTGAAATTGTAAGAAGATCATTTAAATATAAGAGAAAAATAAAACCTACTCTTAAAATCATGCTTATTGCTACTGAATCAGTTTCTATTTTGGTACAAGTAGACATGTAGCAATCCAACCCAATTATTGGGGTTCTTTTAATGTTAGGAAGAACAAAAATATACCTTCCTTGTTGGCTGGCATTTCCTTTCCTATTGAACTGAGCCTTGAGTACAGATTTTCAGTTGTGAAAAAATTCTTGATCTTCCTGCAAAGGGTAATTCCACTTTAATCATAATGTGGGCATCTGTTTGTAATTTGTGACTAATAGTAACAAAATTGTGTTATTTATTATATTTAAATTGATTATAACTGTCTAAATTCTAGCTATAGGTACAGACAGAGATTGGGGTTCAACTGAAAAAAGTTTGTTTTTTTTTTTAAGTGAGAGACTGGTATTGAGGATATGTTGTAATTACCAAGAATTATTATAGTTTGTCTTTTATTTTTCAAAGTCCATGTGATACAAAATTTGTGTGCAAACTTTCTAGATTAAGAAATTGCATTGACTATTGTAAATTTTATTTTACACATTATTAGTAGAAAATGAAAATATTTTAGAAATTCTGCTCTGTCATAATCTATAAAAATTTAGAACATTTTTAAAGAAAGTAGTAGAGCAATGTGTTGAAGACTGCAGAGACAAAAATAAAATTTACTGTGGCTTTCCACATATACAAACTCATTTGTCTTGCAGAATTCCAGTGCCCAATTTAGTGGATAGCTGGGCATCACTGTTGCTACTTCTAAAAGACTCTATACAACTGAGTCTCCCAGCCCCGGGGCAGTTTCTTATCCTGGGGTAAGTAGTCTCACAAGTATTATTTTTTAAGATCCAGAAATGTAGGTAAAGCTGTGGCTAGTGTGTGTATGTTTGATGCTGGTCTCAACATCCAGCAACAGATGCACACACATGCATTTATACAGATCTTTACATGAGAACATCACCTTTGTTTCACTCTGATGGTGATTTTATAGACATGAATGTGGTTGTACATTCATAGACTTACCTCCTACCCTTTTGTCCTTAAGGAATTGACTATTTAACTTGGGCAACCAACCATGATCTATAAAAAAAAATTAAAGAGGAAGGTGAAGACTTCTAGTAAATGTGGAGTTAGTTTTCCACCAGGAGTCAGAGAGGGAGTGGTAAAGAGTGAAGCTTTAGGACCAGCCTGTGGTAGCTGAGTCACACGCATGGCCTTGCTCGACCATGGTCCATGGTGCATGGTTTGCTGGACCTACTCAGAAATGTCAGGAATCATGATGATGCCTGAATCTTCAAGTTGTGTATTTGAAGATTCTCTTCAAAAGCTGGAAGAATTTTAGATAGTAAAAGTGTAAGCAGACTAAGTATAATTCCCTGATAAAAGAGTAAGACAACTAATGTGCATGAATTTTAATGATGAGATGTAAATTTAGATGCTGGAAATCAAGCAACATTTTCATGATAGTTCTACTCTTGACCTTGTCTCAGTGACCTCCAGTAAATCAAGAAAGCAGACTATTTTGCCATCTGCTGGGCATGACTATCGTATGCCTACCTAACTTAGAGTTGATGGAAAGCTCATGAAAGGAATTTTATATGTACTATTGTTTAACTCATCCCCAAATAACCCTACAATTCACAAAGGTGAATTAAGAAATAAAACACCCGGTAGGAGCTGGCGCTCACACCTATAAACCTAGCTACTCAAGAGACTGAGATTTGAAGGCCAATCAATACAGTAAAGTTTGATAGGCATCTCCAAAATAATCAGCAAAAAGCAAGGCTGGGGGCATGACTACAGTAAGCAAGCACAAGGCCCTGAGTTCAAACCCTTGTACTGCCAAAAAAGAAAAAAAAAAAAACAACAACCAAGTATCCTTTTTGAACTATCTTCAATTACTATCCTATCTTCTCAAAGATAACCACTATTTTAATAACCCACAAATGGATTTTTGCATGTTTTAACTATCTGTATATGAGTATTTTAAGTATTTTATGCCTTTTCATTCAACATATGCAATTGAGTAAAAGCACTGTTGAAAAACAAAATCTATCCCTTCTTTCACTGTTAGCCATTAGATTTTTTAAGAGGAAAACTAGTAGCCAGTATCTTACTTTTATGAAGATTGAGCCATGTTACTCATGCTGTTGTGATTGCTTTTTTTTCTGCAATAAATTAACATGCAAAAATTTCTCTCTTTCTGTTGATGAATATTTGAGTTCCACTTAGTGATTCTTCCAAACGATACTGCTTTCGATACTGTTGTGTCTGTTTTTTCATGTGTATGTTTATGAATGTCACCTGAGTCACAGAATATGTGCATACATATTAGACATTTAATGAATTAGAAATTGAGTATACAAAACCATTTGCCACCCAGAAATTTAATACCATCTTTCTTTTAAACTAATGCTTTTTTGCTTGCTTTTTTCTATGACCCTTCTAGGGTTCTGAATGAGTTTATTATGAAAAATCCTAGCTTGGAAAATAAGAAAGACCAAAGAGACCTTCAGGTAAGACCATTCTGAATTCAAGGCCATTGCCAAAACCATGTTTACCGATGGCATCCTGTTGAAAATAGGAGTCCTGTAATTCCTGAATTTCTTCCAGCTCTGAGCATTCTATGACAGTCAGGATCATCTACTGTAGAATATCTGTTGTATGTGTATATGCCCACATATTCAGTGGCCCTTTCTCTTGTCTTTAGGATGTGACTCATAAAATAGTGGATGCTGTCGGTGCAATTGCTGGCTCCTCTCTGGAACAAACAACATGGCTGCGACGAAATCTGGAGGTGAAGCCTTCTCCCAAAATAGTGGTGGATGGAGCCAACTTGGAATCTGACATTGAAGGTATGGCTCACTTTTAGATTATTAGTTGTAAGCATGTATTCACTAGGAAATCATTTCAACCATCATTGGAATAAACTCCTCCCTTTTTTTATTTAGCAGGTGTTTTTTCCATGGAAATACTAACCAGTATCTCCTTTACCTGTCTTTTCTCTCACTTAGATATGTTATCACCTGCGATGGAAACCTCAAATATAACTCCCTCTGTATATAGTGTCCATGCTTTGACACTGCTCTCTGAGGTAAACATGTTATCTTTGTTCATGCGAAATTTCAACAGATTCATAATTAAACATTTGCAAGTTGTTCTTACACATTTTTTATTTCAAAAATCATTTCATACTTCTAGAAATTACTATAAAAATTAACAGATATAAAGTCTGATATTATATGAGTTTGGGTAATTTAAGCATGAGCAGTAACTTTAGATACATACTTTTTAAAATATATGGAATTTGGTTTTGCTTGTATGTATGTGCTAGGCCCAGGACTTGAACTCAGAGCCCAAATTCTGTCCCTGAGCTTTTATAGATCAAGGCTAATATTCTACCTCTTGAGCCACAGCTCTACTTCCAGCATTTGGGGTGCTAACTCGAGATTAGATTCTCATGGACCTTTCTGTCCTGGATAGCTTTGAATCTGTGATCTTCCTATCTTAGCCTTCTAAATAACTAGAATTACAGGCATGAGCCATTGGCCTCCAGTTAAAGTATGTGTTTTTAAGAAAGTGTTTTTGTATCTCATTATTCTGAGGATGGGTGGAAATAGTATAAGATACTTTTACTATGAAACACTTTCAGGTAAGGAAACATATATTTTCTGTCAACCTTTTTTGTTTGTGTGTTGATCATAGTGCTTGAACTCAAGGTCCCGGCGCTATCCCTGAGCTTTTTTGCTGAATGCTAGCACTCTTATCACTTTGAGTCACAGGGCTATTTCCAGTTTTCTGGTGTTTAATTGAAGACAAGAATCTTAGGGACTTTCCTGAGTAGGCTTGTTTCTAACCAAGATCCTCCAATCTCTGCCTCCTGAGTAGCTAGGATTACAGGCATGAGCCACCGGTGCCTGGCTCTGTCAGCCTTTTTCATAACCTGTTATATGGTAATTCTAAGCTGGCATTTTTGTATCTACATTTGTATCATGGTGAGAAAGAAGATTGTGACAGAAACCACTAATTTATAAATGACTTAGGAAAGTTTCAATTCAGGTTTTCACGATTTTAAAGTATCTAGGTTTTTCTTACAAACAACCAATAGTAACCTGTAGGTGTCAGTTTTCGCTCAGAGATTCTCCCGTTTCCTTTCTGTGTGTCACAGGTCTTGGCCCATCTTTTGGACATGGTTTTCTATAGTGATGAAAAGGAGCGTGTTATCCCCTTACTTGTAAACATCATGCATTATGTCGTGCCCTACCTCCGAAATCACAGGTACTGTGGTGACTTAAACAGGTTTGCATTAATTCATGGCCTTATTAGAAATAAGTTCTTTTGCTGTTTTTGGACTGAATCACAGAGTGGCACTGCTCTTACCATGCATGATAATGGTTAAACTATTCAGACATTATTTTGTATGGTGCTGTTTTGTGTCTTCATGTCATTGTCTTAGGTAAATGTGACCACTCACATAACTTAATATGATTAATGTTAGAACAGAGATTAAGGTGCCTTTCTTCCATACAGTGCACATAATGCTCCTAGTTACCGAGCCTGTGTGCAGCTACTGAGCAGTCTTAGTGGGTACCAGTACACACGGAGAGCTTGGAAAAAAGAAGCCTTTGACCTCTTCATGGATCCCAGTTTCTTTCAGATGGACGCCTCTTGTGTTAATCAGTAAGTCAGCCTCTTGTGCTCTTCAACATAGTAATACCTCTCACAGCCTAAGTAAACTACTATTCAGCAAAGTTAGAAGACTTTTTAACAGACCAGATCTTAATTACAGGTAATGACCCTTATCTCTTTCAGTTGGAGGGCAATTATGGACAATCTGATGACACATGATAAGACAACATTCAGAGATCTGATGAGTGAGTATAATAGGATGACAACCCAGTCTTCCTGTCCGTGATTCTATCTTATTGTTTACTCTTTTCTAGAAACTACTGAATTAGCTTTCTGTCTAGTTGTGCATTGTATCTTTGGGAATGTAATGTTAAAACTTACAGAGGATAACTTAGCAATAAGGAATATTCTTGTGGGGAAAATACTGGAAAGAAGAGAGACTGTCTAATTTGAGTGTAAATCACTTTCCCAGCTCACAGCAGAGCAACTGGCATATAATAGGTACTCAGTAAAAAATGATTAAATGAAAGACTGAAAACAGGTGAGGAAGTAAAAGCAGACAATTGGGTCTAACCTGTGAGACAAAGCACTACGAATACAGGGGGTACTGCTTGACAGAAGAAAGCAGGGAGAGAAAGGGAGAAAAGGGAGTGTAAAAGGGAGGGAAGAAGAGAAAGAAGACAAGGCTAGAGTCACCCTCTGCCTCCTTTCTACTTAGACTTGATTGGCTTTATATATTTGGGTTCCATTAAGCATTTATTCTTGGAGAAATAGGGCTTTTTGATTCTAAAAGAAGCTTTCAAGTTCCTTAACTAAATAAATAATAGTGAAATTCTATGAACCTAAGATAAATTCTTTAGCCCAAAGTATAGTGTTCTCATCTGGAAAAGACTATATTTTCTTCATCTTCATAGAATTACTCCAAGTTTCCAATTCATCTATGCAATAAATATTTATTAAAAGACAACAGTGGTCCAGGCATTTTTCTAACCTTAATAAAATTAAAGTTTATTTCAGGGAGTTAAGTTGTGCAGGAAATAAAATAGAACCTGTGTGCAAGGAAGCTAATTCAGATGATCCAGGCAAGATGACACACAGCTGTAATCCAGCCATCCAGAGGCAGAGGGAGAAGGCTCACAAGTACAAGTCAAGAACTTGAGCTATAAGCTCGGGATTTTGTATCCTGTGTCAAAAAAAAAAAAGAAACTGATCAAAAGTCCTAAGGACAGAATATTCCAGACATAGAGAACAATATTGCACAGGTGGGGCGGGAGGGGAAAAAATTTGCCAAGGTATGGGATGGAAGCAAACTTGATCACTTCATCTATAGCAGGTAAGACATGTTGGGCATGAGAAGGAGAGGTAGACTGAGCAAAGCCATGTTGGAAATGTCTGTGGCAGTCCTGGGGCTTGAACTCGGGGTCTGTACGTGATCCCTTCACTTTGTTGCTCAAGGCTGGTACTCTGTCACTTGAGCCATATCTCTACTTCCAGCTGTTTACTGGTTAATTGGACATAAGAGTCTGCCTGGTCTGGGTTTGAACCACAATCCTCAGATCTCAGCCTCCTGAGTAGCTAAGATGACAGAAGGGAGCCATCGATGCCTGAGTGGGAATTGTTTTAAAGTACACAAAAGCAGATGATACACAATTTAAAGGGCCTAGTAAAATGGTACTGTTTGTCATTTTTACCTTCTGAAACTCAGAAATCTGAAGGTCCTCTCCTTACATCTCGCCTGCAGCCACTGGGTATTTGGGTGTGCAGGCTCCTCTGTGCTGGGGTGCTCCCTCCCCCTCTCCATGTCATGGGATATCACCTTTAAAAAAAGAAGCAATTCATTTTCAGATGACCACCTGACTATCTGTGTCAATCTCTCACCTTTTTCCAGCTCGAGTGGCTGTGGCCCAAAGCAGTTCACTTAATCTTTTTGCAAACCGGGATGTGGAGTTAGAGCAGAGAGCCATGCTTCTCAAAAGATTAGCCTTTGCTATTTTTAGCAGTGAGGTTGACCAGTACCAGAAATACCTCCCAGATATACAAGGTAAGCAGTTAAACTTTTATTTTCTGTATCCTTTGAATTTATAGTATTGTTCCTGTTCCTTAGAGAATACGCTTTCTAAATTATAATTTGGAGTTAAATGATCCAAAGGTATAGAATTAGGATTTGTAATAAATAAAAATTTATCTTTAAGTATCTAAAAGGTATCAGTCAATGTGTAGGACTTAACCAAATGTAGTCTATTTTATTAAGTTCAGACTTTGTAGGAATTGGTCTTTGAGGATGAGGAGTAACTTGCACTTTAGATGAGCATGTCAGCGTTTCTTCATTGTGGACACAGGTCAGATGCCCATTAGGGCCGGACAGAGCATGCCTGAGCAAGTCAATGATGGCTGCAAAGAACACTGGGGGCTGTGTTGGGGGTGCATGAGGCTGTTGCATCAAGTAAATGTGGCGGCCTTCCGTGTCCAGAAGAGGGCAGCAGTGTGCTCCTGCCCTAGGCCTCAGCCACTCCACAAGGGGAAGTGTTTGCTGGTTAGTGTGCTGCCCCATTCCAGCCCAGGAGTCCATACGGGACACGATGGCAGTCATCTCCCAACAAGAATTTTCTCTCAGAAGGCTCTTCACCCATTATTCCTCCTTTCAGACATACAACATGAAACTGACCTGAGATTCATTGGTTTTGAGACAGGGGCCCACTGCATAGCCCAGGATACCCTGGAACCCACTGTGCAGCCCAGGCTGTGCTCAGACTCATGCCCACTCAGTACTGGGATTACAGATGTAAGCCACCAGGCCTAGGGTTGTTTTTGTTTTTGTTTTTTGTTTTTGTCAGTCTTGGGGCCTGAACTCTGGGCCTGGGCGCTGTCTCTCAGCTCTTCAGCTCAAGGCTAGCACTCTATCACTGGAGCCACAGCACCACTTCCGGCTGTTTCAGCTTATGTTGTGCCGAGGACTCGAACCCAAAGCCTCATGCATGCAAGGGAAGCACTCTACCACTGAGCCACCTTCCCAGGCCCAGATTTTTTTGAGCACATTACACTTCTATTTGCCATTTGACAGAATTTACTGAGAATATTTTTGTTTCAATATATTTCTCTAGTTTTTATAATATCTTTATGAAAGTGGTAGTCTGTACTTTGGAATTATTTTCAATGCGGACTATATGGAAATGTGTATAAGAGAGTAACTGAACTTATTTAGGCATTGAACATACACCACATTTCTTTCAGAGAGATTGGTGGAAAGTCTCCGTTTGCCCCAGGTACCAACTCTTCACTCTCAAGTGTTCCTGTTTTTCAGAGTGTTACTTTTACGAATGTCTCCACAGCATCTGACCTCCCTCTGGCCGACCATGATCACCGAACTGGTGAGTTCATTTTAATTCAGTTAACGCTAGTTACTATGTCAACATGACATCGTTAATTTCTATGTGCTTACTGGATAAAACTAATTTTAAAAGGGAACTCCATTAAACCATCTAATCTCACAGTTGTTCTAGTCCACGATAATAAAAAGCAAGCCAGATTCCATCTCCTCACCGTTTAACCTCCAGTTGTTCAGAGTAATAGCCAGCCGCTTGTGACTGCCGCTTCCTCTGTCTGCCTCATGGTTCCTTCTCTTTGGTGCAGTTGTAACTTTGTCACAGCTAGCAGGTGTACTCCCCCACCTAGTGTAGCAGAACCCCTTAGGAATGGAAGTAGATGAGTTGGCTTTTCTGGACTGACATAAGGCAGTGAGCGCATTCACATCTGGATTAAACTTGCTTTAGAGAGATTAAGAGATTTTCTAAATGCCAAACAGTGAATGCTTCAGAAGTCCTCAGACTCCTCCTCTCTGCAGTCACCCTCATCCACATAGGAATGATTTGGGGAGTTGGGGAAAAGTATAATAGGCAAGTTCTATCACTAGAACCCCAGCTTTACAATTTGCCCCCAAGAAAATTTGCTTTGTTTTCCTCTATATCCTTAAGAAAAAATAACTTACTCTGTTCCAAAGTCAGTGATCAGTACCATCTCACAGGACTCTTCACACACGCCTGCAAGCCTCTGTGCTGAGCTTGTGATTTTGTCCTCCCCAACTAACTTCCAGTTCAAAGATTCTGAATATGTATCAGAAAACTTGTTTTTCTATCAATGAAAATATAGCCTAAAGATAATATAAAGATTATATACACAGATTTAATAAACATTTAACTTTATTTCATGTCTTCAGGTACAGGTATTTTTATTGATGGAGCAGGAACTCACTGCTGATGAAGATATTTCACGGTAACATGTAATTTATTTAGTGCAATTTTAGTCCTTAATAACCTGAGGTTATCTAGAATGCTACTCAATACCTTAGGAAAATATAGATAACACTTTATATAACTTCATATGACTAGTCATATATGATGAAATTTCACTTGTCATGAAACAAACTGTTAGCATTCATGGCTGTGCAGTATTGTTTCAGCTAGGTGAGTTATGTTGCTTTGAGAAGGTTAGATCTGGTCAGGCCTGTTCCAGCAGGTTACCTGTAACCAAAGTAGCCATATGTGGCTAATATAATGCCTATATAATGTTACTCTTTAGAGTAGGCACAGTTTTCTAATATGGATATGATTTTCATATTTAGAGGAATTTATCAATTTACATACTGAAAAGTTCCTTTAAAGCCGTGTGTTTTTAATGTAGCCTACTCTTGAGTGCAAAGTTTATAAAGTCTCCTATTCTCAGTTTATTACAGAAAACATCGCACCAACTATTCCGAGTGACTGAATAGTATTAAGGTTTCTTGATTATAAAGTTTGTATTTTATATTGTTTTGTTTTGGCCAATCCTGGGGCTTGAACTCATGGCCTAGGCACTGTCCCTGAGCCTCTCTATGCTCAAGGCTAGCACTCTAGCACTTGAGCCAAAGCGCCACTTCCGGCTTTTCTGTTTATGTGGTATTGAGGAATCGAACCCAGGGCTTCATGCATGCTAGGCAAGCACTCTACCACTAAGCCACATCCCCAGCTTCATTTTTATATTTCTTTAGTACAATACAAACTCTGTGTATTCTTAAATTTTAAAGAACAAAAGTAACACTTTTGAAGGCGACAAAATTTAGTCATGACCAGTAATTTAGCAATTAGTGATGATGCAGTTTGACTATGGAAAATACTCGCTGGCCCTTCAGCTCTTCCCTATAGGCAGATGGTCCCAGCTGCTGACAGCATTGTCTCCTGTTTCCCTGTAGGACATCAGGCCCCTCCGTGGCCGGTCTGGAGACAACCTACACAGGAGGTAATGGCTTCTCTACTTCCTATAACAGCCAGCGGTGGTTAAACCTCTATCTCTCTGCTTGCAAATTTTTGGATTTGGCTCTGGCATTGCCCTCCGAAAATCTCCCTCAGTTTCAGATGTAAGTACAAGCAAAGATACTAAGTAAATATTTTTGGAAAATGCATTTGTTTTGACCACTGACATCTATGATTAAGTAAAACATTCTTTATGTAAGTAGAAATGTAATTTTTACTGAAGGAACTTATTTTGGTGGGGCAGTACTGTTTTTAGAAATAAATAGTAGATGTGGATATATTCAGAATAATAGCCCATCGTGGGAGTACCCTCTGGATGGAAAGCAGGGCATATGTACGTGACTCCAAGCTTGAAGCCCACTAATAGAGACATGGGAGGAGATAGCCACACAATGGATATTGTGATTGCACATGTACAAGATCCTCTGAGCCCATGGGGTAGGCCCCTCTTTGAACATGGAGGGTCAGAGCAGATTCTGCAGGGAGTTTTAAATGAAGGCAGTGAAAAGTGAGGGCTGAGGCCCATGTGTGAAGGCATGCACAGAAGGAAGCAGACCTCACAGGTCCGGGGCAGGAAAAGATCAGTATTGCTGGAGCACAATGCTGAGGAGAGCTGGAAGGAGCCCGTTACATAAAGCATTGTTGTGGTCATCTATAGGATACAATGTGGATTCCAGCCTAGAAAAACAGAAGCCTTTGAGTATCTTAAGGAAGCTATTACTCTGGCATTTTAGAAAGCTTATTTTGGCAGTGCAGTGTGGGAAAAGGACCAGAGAAACAAGGATGGGACGATGACAGGAAAGGAATGGAAAGAAAACTGGCAAGACGGGGCTGGGAAGGTGGCTCAGTGGTAGAGTGCTTGCCTTGCATGCCTGAGGCCCTGGGTTCGATTCCTCAGCACCACATAAGCAAAAAGAAAAAAGCCGGAAGTGGTGCTGTGGCTCAAGTGGTAGAGCACTAGCCTTGAGCTGAAGAGCTGAGGGACAGCACCCAGGCCCAGAGTTCAGGCCCCACAACTGGACCCAAAAAAAAAAAAAAAAGAAAAGAAAACTGGTAAGAGTAAATTCTCCTAGTACCTTGTTCTTAACTGCCCCCAATTATTACGTACAGTTCTAAATTTTAAAATAGCCAAGCTAATTTGAGAATGAATGCACAGGATCAAATATACATTTATTTAGGGTATTATTTTATTCTGGAATAAAATATCAATAGGATAAAGAAGAACATACCAGAATCTTTTACATTTAGAGATTCTTAAACCATGAAAAATAGCTTGTTTTTAATTAAATTTAATGCTAAGAACTAGAAATTATTTTTAGATTTCAGGTCTTTAAATTTTTTCAACTTGCATGTGTATTTTGATGAGTTTCAGTACTGGGTATCCAAAATGGAAGGTCTTCCTAAAGAAGTTTGGGAAGGGCACTAACCACAATTGTAGCGAAGCATCCAAAAAACCTGGATTCCTACACTCACGATGTACACTGCACAAGAACCAGTTCCTCTCTACTTAGGAAGCTATTGTTATACATGGAAGAAAAACAGGGCTTGGGGGCACAGCTCAGTGGTGGAACCCACACTTACTGTAACTGAAGCCCTGGGTTCAGATCCCAGCACCAAAGGAAAAAAGCTTCTAAACATCAGGAAAATATGATGAGCTATATCCGTTAGAGAAATTACACTTGTGAATGGTGAAATGTATTATCCTGGATCCAGAAGTACTCTTGTTCTTGTGGACATGTGCAATGATGTCTGCTGGGTCTCCACACAGTCACATTTAACTAACCTCTACAGCCACGGATTTATCCAACCACTATACTGACGTGTGCACAGAGCTACACGAAGATAAAGGTAGCATTTTTATATTACCAAGACTGCAATATCTAGATAATTGGTTAAATCAGTTCCTTCCTTATCAAGCAGTGTGGCTTAGTAGTATTTGCTTGGCAAGTATAAGACTGGGTTTAAAACCCCAGTGTCACCCAAAAAATTACTACCTGGAGTACTATGTAGCTATAGAAAGAATGAAGTTTAGTTTGATACAGGATGAATTTTGAGATAATTAAATTAAAACAAGTAGCATCTATCTCTGGTTGTTCTGTTCATTTCTGAGGTCTTTTGTTCTTTTTGGTGTTTTTTTTTTTTTGGGGGGGGGGGGGGGGGTCCGGTCATGGGGCCTGAACTTTCTGGGCCTGGGTGCTGTCCCTGAGCTCTTCAGCTCAAGGCTAGCACTCTACCACTTGAGCCACAGCACCACTTCCGGCTTTTTTCTTTTTGCTTATGTGGTGCTGAGGAATCGAACCCAGGGCTTCAGGCATGCAAGGCAAGTGCTCTACCACTGAGCCACCTTCCCAGCCCAGGTCTTTTGTTTTTGTTGTTTCCTTTTTCTAGAGCCCAAGGTCTATCACCTGCCAGGCCAGTGTTGTATGTTGAGCTTCATCCCACAGCACAGATAGGCTTGGGTGTTTTGTTGTTCTGGGTTTTGCTGGTAGGGGGGTATATAGCCATACTGACACTGAGCTTGGTCTAACACCTAGGCCACCCAGTCCTTTTATCTCCAGCTAACCAAAAAGCTGAAAGCAGAGGAGTGCCAGCTATGAACAGTAAAAGCCATGCAAAATCTCAAAAGACACAAGCCTCAGTACTGGCATCAAAAAATAATAATAATTAGCGAGGCACTAGTAGCTCATGCCTACAATCCTAGCTACTCGGGAGGCTGAGATCTAAGAATTACAGCTTGAAGCCAACTAGGCAGAAAAGTCCTTAAGACTCTTGTCTTCAACTGACCATCAAAAAGCTGTAAGTGGGCTGGGAAGGTGGCTCAGTGGTAGAGCACTTGTCTTGCATGCATGAGCCCCTGGGTTCAATTCCTCAGCACCACATAAGCAAAAAGAAAAAAGCCCGAAGTGGTGCTGTGGTTCAAGTGGTAGAGCGCTAGCCTTGAGCTGAAGAGCTGAGGGACAGCACCTAGGCCCAGAGTTCAGGCCCCACGACCGGACCCCCCTCCCCCCAAAAAAAGCTGTAAGTAGCTAGGTACCAGTGGCTCCTGCCTAATCCTAGCTACTCAGGAGGCTGATTTCAAGCCAGCCTGGGCAGAAAAGTCCTTGAGATTCGTTATCTCCAATAAACCACCAGAAAACTGAAAGTGGCACTGTGCTCGCCTTGAGCTGAAGAGCGCAGGGACAGCACCCAGGCCCAGAATTCAAGCCCTATGACCAAAAAAAAAAAAAGCTGTTATGTGAGCCAGATGCTGGTGGCTGGCTCACACCTGTAATCCTAACTACTCAGGAGGCTGAGATCTGAGGATTGCAGTTCAAAGCCAGTCTGGGCAGGAACATCCATGAGACTCTTATCTCCAGTTAACCAACAGAAAACTAGAAGTAGCGCTGTGGTAGAACACTCACCTTGAGCTGAAGAGCTCAGGGACAGCGCCCAGGCCCAGATCAAGCCCTAGGATGGGCACATATACAAAAGCTTCTGTGTTGAGAACAAAACTACCTCTCTTTGGTGTTCTTTCCATTGTCAGATATTTTACTTATTTAAGGCAAAAGCAGAATGAGCAAAATACAAGGGAAGCAGGAGAGTGGTCCTAAATCTTCAAATCTCTTCGCTCTCAGCCCATTATGTTGGAAACTCATCATCAGACCAAGTACAATTAAGACAGATAAGTGAAATAAAGCAATGTGTGATTACACCGGTAATCACAGTATTGAGGAGGCTCAAGGAAGAGATCATGAGTTCAAAGACATCCTGGACTGTATAGTAAGCAGATACAGTCCTTTAACAACCAAAGTTTTGCACACTGAGTACTTGCTGTGCGCCTGTGGAAAAAAAAAATAGCAATGTCAACAGGCATAGTGGCTCATGCCAGTAATTCCAGGTACTTAAGGTTGGAAAAGTGTGGATGGGTCCAGGCCAGACCAAGAAAGCAGCAGGAAGTATAAATAGGATTACGGTCAATTCTGGCCAGGGCAGAAAGTGAGCCCCTATCTCAAAAATAACCAGTGCAAAAAGAGCTGGAAATTTGGTCCTATCAGTAGAGCACCTGTCCAGCGAATAAAGACTTGAGTTCTGCAAAAAAAAAAAAGTTAGTGATTGTACTTTGCAGGTTTACATCATTATCTCCTGCAACATTATGATATGTAATGCCATCTTTACTAAGATGAAGCTCAAAGCTGGCAGAATTTTTAAGACTAGACCATGGTCATCCTATGTGCCCTATCTTATAGTTTGTCATCCTTACATCCATAGGTACCGATGGGCCTTTATTCCAGAAGTCTCCGATGACTCGGGTTTAGAAGTCAGGAGGCAGGGCATACATCAACGAGAATTTAAACCCTACGTGGTACGACTGGCCAAACTTCTCAGGAAAAGGGCAAAGGTATTAAACTTTTGGTTTTGTTTTATTATGTAACGTGCTGCTTGTGTACTCAGTGTTTGTGATATATTATGTAAATGCTATGTATTAGCTGGTATATTAGTGAGTCACTTATCAAGTATTTCCTGAGGAACTGAGGATATTATCAGGTTGAAATATTTTGAAAATATATCTCCAGTTTTGACAGTGTCCATAACCCCAATGTCCACGAATATGTTAAGATACTGTGTATTTTAGAGAAATATTTGGTTAACATATTAACTGTTTTACACAGAAAATGCTTTTTTACATCCGTGACATTATTCTAAATATTTTCTCGAAAGTAAAAAGCTGTGCAGGTGAAGACTTAATACTTTAGTCCAACAAGGTTTTCATGTCAAAACCTTGTGAACACCCACAATATTCACCTTACGCCATCATGAGAAATGGAAGATAGCTGAAAAGAATGCAGTGCAAAGAGGGAATTTGTCAAATTGTAAGAAGGAATAAACAGCAAATGTAACTGTACTTTTTAAGTTTTAAATGAAATGGCCATGGCGAGCCATGGTAATGCACAACTGTCATCCCAGAGGGATAGCTCACCAAAACTGAACTAACCATACCTTGATCAGAATAAGCATTCATTCTTTATCCATGTGTAGTAAAATGTACCTGGTAAAAATTTTCTAGCTGAGTCCTGATGGCTCATACCTGTAATCCTACTCAGGAGGTTAAGATCCTAGGGATCATGGTTCAAAGCCAGCCTGGGAAGGAAAATCTGTGAGATTCTTTATCTCAGAAACCAAAATCCAGTAGTAGAGAACAGCACAAACACAGAGACACAGACACAGATGGACAGACGGACGCACGCACACGCACACAATGCATGAGACAAGGTCTCACTACTTTGACCAGGTTGTCCTAGAATGTGCTATATAATCAAGACTGGCCTTGGACTTGAGATCCTTGTGCTTTAGCTCTGGAGTGCTAGACTGTGGTGAAGCCGTGACCTCTGCAGTGCTGGGATTACAGGAGTGTACCACCCCACCTGGGCTAAAAGCTGTTTTGAGTACTGAGGATTAAACCCAGGATCTCATGTGTGAAGCAGGTATTCTGCCCCCAGTCCAAAGCAGGAGGCCTTAAAGTGCTGTCACTTGAGCCACACTCCTGAGACCCTTTTCAAAGAGGGTCTCATTTTTTTAATGCAGGCCAGTATAGACTGTTTGCTAATTATATACTCTTCCACCACAGCTGTGATGACAGCTGCTTTGGACAGAAAATGTTGCTACTGGGTTTCCATGAGTTTTTACATGCATTCCCTTCTGACTTACGTACTATAAGATTTCTGGCTTTGTCTGAGGACCCTTTATCTATCTCCCCGGGGTGCAGCATAGTAAATGGCAGAGCATAGACCCCATTCCTTGACTCAGTCCATCTTCCTTCCCCCTTTCTGTGCTGCAGTATCAAGAGGAATCAATTCACTTTTGGACACTGCTATCTTGTGGCAAGATTAGGGCATTTGTTTAAAGGGAATTCATTTTAATACTGCTGGAATGTGTAAGTCCAGAAGTCTAGAGTATTGAGTAAATGCAAAATACAAAATAAACATCTATAAACATATCATGTTACTCCCTCTTTATAAACAGATTTGCAAACGGCATTAAAAAGACGTAGATGTGAAAGGTTTTTAATTAAGTCTGAAATGACATGCCCTCATTTCTGTTCATTTAACCCTTGATTGCTAATGTCTTATGTTCTTTTAACTTTCTTTTTCTGGGGCTTAAACTCGGGGCCTGTGGGTGCTCCCTTAGCTTTTTTGCTCAAAGCAGGGCACTGTGCCACTTGAGCCCTGTCTTCATTTCCAGCCTTTTTCGGGATAATGGGAGGTAAGAGTCTTCAGTTTGTTCTCTCTGGCTACCTTTGAACTCCAGGTTCTCTGCTCTCAGCCTCCCGGGCAGTTAGGATTAGTGGCATGAGCCACTGCACTGAGCCTTCACATACCTACATCATTTGTTAATATTTTTTCCCCTGCAGAAAAATCCAGAGGATGACACGTCGGGGAGAGCGCTGGGCTGGGAACCGGGGCACCTGCTCCTCACCGTGGGCTCCGTGCGCAGCATGGAGCAGCTGCTGCCCTTCTTCCATGTCCTCAGCCAGGTCTTCAACAGCAAGGTCACAAGCCGGTGCGGAGGCCGCTCAGGGAGCCCCGTCCTCTCCTCAAACACCTTCTCTAACAAGGACATGAAACTCGAGAACCACAAACCGTTTTCTACCAGAGCCAGACAAAAAATAGAAGAAATGGTAGAAAAGGATTTTCTGGAAGGGGTGATAAAAACTTGACCACACTGGTGGCTCCATTTAAATGTAATGTAAAACGGGACACACTGCTCTGAGGTGTATAGTTGTTTTTCTTTTGTATGTAAAACACACTTCAGGTTGTATTTAAATGTTTGTAAATAAGAGCTAATGTCTGAATGTGGCCTAAATCAAGTTTAAATATTATTGGCTCCTATTGATTATGGTGCCTAGGAGAGATCTATGAGTTGTTTTAAACCTGCAAAATACACACTGCACATTTTTCTACTGGCTTCAGGCTTGGTTTATTTTAGAGGCTGGGATTTTGCTTTCCGCTGCTAACCATGTTCTGGAAGCACTTCAGCATCCAGAGGCATGGGCACTGGTCCTCCACATCCGTGCCATTGGGGAGAAGAGCTGAAGCCAGATACCAGGTAAGTAGCGGACAGGCTCCCTCCCCTCCCAGCAGGCGAATGCTGAACGTGCTCAGGTCACACCGAAGATGCCGCAGCAATTACCACCTCCTCTAGTACCATAAAATTTAATTTTGTAGCATTCTGCATACACCTTAAATTTAAGGGCTGGATGACATAGTAAGTATTAAGGCTTACCTAATTCTAAAAATTATTCTGGTAGTGTTTAAGAAAAACAGATCTAGAAACAGTCCAGTAATGTGCACTGTAAACATTAGGATTAATACTGCCATCGCTGTGACAGGCATATAGAAACTTCACAAATTCAGTTTCTTAGAAAATAAAAATTATCTTCCAAAACCCAGTTGAGGTCTTTCTCCAATTCCTCCAGCCAGCTCAAACACTGCCAGGCTCACTTCATGTGCAAGGCTATCCGCGCTTTCCTGCAATCACACAAGAGATGAGATGAGATGAGCATATCCCTCTCCTCCTCCCTCCGCCCCACACACACAATGTACTTGTGCAGCTCGGGGTGGTGAGGTGGGGCAGTGGTTCCTGTTCTTTTCCCACTGCCCTATTTAAATACAAACTTCTCTTTTCACTTTTCAGAAACAAGACATTTAAATGAAAAGTCCAGACACTTCTAAATGAGGTAAGTTTCAGTTCGAGGTTATAGACTATTTCAAAATGAGTAAACTCATAAAACGAAATTCTTTAAAGGTCACAACTGCCTTCCATCCGAGATCCTTTAAAGGTCACAACTGCCTTCCATCAGAGACACTACTGGGAAAGTGTTGAGAGACAAAGCAGAGCTTGTGCAGAGGGAAATACAGACCACAGGTCTTTACTGTATCCAGAAAACAACCTGCCATTAAAGGAGAAACACATCTCCTTTAGATGTGCATTCAAAAATGCACAAGGCTGGTTTTATAAAGACATGGGGTGGGTTATGCTCACCATGCATAAAAATTAGCACATGTCCAAACTAAGAATTTGTCATTCCTACCACAAAATAGTACTTTAAAATATATGGGGAAAAAACCAAGAGTTTAAATTTGCCATGATTTGGATCTTAGTTTGACCAAACAATATTAAACTACTAGCCTCTCAGTGTCCATTTTCTCACTAGAACTATTCCAGCTTACCTGTGAGTCTGCTTCTGCATACACCCGCACAACGTCTTCCGTGCCCGAGGGCCGGACGAAGGCTCTGGAGAGCCTGTACTTCCTCACCAGGTTGTTGATTGCCGCCTGCAGTCCAGGTGGGGTAACTGCTTGCCGCTCAGCATCCGTGGTGCTAATCAGTCTCCTGTCTGCAACCTGCACACAAGGACATCCTGTGGAAGCCTCACCCCACACATGCCTATGGCTCTTTTATGTGTTTAACAGACTGACACCCAGAATAAGTGTGGGGTAAAATTGTCTTACTGCTTTGCAAGTTTTATTTCTCCAAGGCTAGTGTTAATAAGACTAAACAAAAACATTCCCACATTCTATCATTAAAATAATGGCCAATGTCAGGTTTACTCAAACCAAATAGCAGTTTGTTTGAAATGCAGAATACTCTGGCCCTGTATAGAGGTTAGCTAAGTTACACAGGCAGACCCTGGCTCAAAAACAAATAACTCATGAAGGAGATTCAAAGTAATGCAAAAGAAATATTTTCACTTGAAATAATACAGGGAGTGGTGTGGAAAGCAAATAGAGCAGCAGCAGGGATCTACTAAGGCTGAGTTCATAAGGGCCACTGATTTTGTTCTGGTATGAATCCTCCATACTAAAATCTTTTTTTAAAAAGTGATGTGCAGCCAGGCATCAATGGCTCATGCCTGTCATCCTAGCTACTCAGGAGGCTGAGATCTGAGGATCACAGTTTGAAGCCAGTCTGGGCAGGAAAGTCTGAGATTATTTCCAACTGACCATCTGAAAGCTGGAAGTTGAGCAGTGTGTCAAGTGGCAAAATGTTAGCCTTGAGCAAAGGAGCTCAGACAGCACCCAGGACCAGCACCAAAAAAAATGCCGTGCAGCGACGTGTGACACCATTCTTTGTGTAGTCAAGTGGAAGGCAGACTGTTCTCAGTAATACTGGTAAGTAAAATACTGGTAAGTAAAATACAAGTCATTCTGTAATTTGTGAAATGTCAGAAAAAAATAGAAACCATAGAGTTTTCTGGAGGTGCATGGCGTGTGGACAGTGAGGCCTGGGAACAGGTCGAGGTGGGTTTCCTACCTTCACTTTGACCTGTCTGTTCGGGAGATCGGAGTAGAGCGCATCCCACTGCTGCACGGTCAGGCCCTTCAGAGCCAGGATCGCCTCAATCACCAGCATGTCAGAAATCGCATCACCAGCTGTCTGCAGAGCGGGAGAGAAGCAAAACCTGGGTCTGAGATGTTCTCACCTCAGGCGGGTTCCCTAAGTTACTCTCCCCCAACCCACCCCCAAGCAGTGACCAGATGAGGGAAAACAACACGGGGAAAGAAAACCTTCTATCCTCATTACAGATGAGATCTAACATGTCCGGTATAACATCCCTACACTTGGTTTTTTTATTTTTTTTAAATGGTACTGGATTTTGAACTTTTACACTTGCTGAACAGACCTTAATCTACAACCCAGCCATGTTTTTCTCACTTTCAGGCAGACCTCATGGTTTACCCAAGGCATCCTGGACCTCGATCCTCCTGCATAGCTAGTCCCAGGGTGTACCACCATGCCCAACTTACTGTTGAGAAGAGGTATTACTAATGCTGCCCTGGCTGGACTCGAGTGGCCCTGCAGTTCTGAGGACCTGTGGTTCTTACTCACCCCTTCTCTGCATTGCTGCTAGGATTGTACAACAGGTACCTAAAGTGCACGGTACAGATACAAAATGCTCAATACTAGTTCCCACTCCTCTCCCTGGTGTCATTGTTGCTCATGCACAGCCACCCTCCACGCCAATCTCAGGTGATCCACGTCCTTTGACAAGCAAGTAGTTTCCTCAAGAAGGCAGGTTTAAAACTGGCACCATATATAGTCATGTTCAATATGTAACTAAATGCCGATCCTAGGTGAAACCCTTTCAATGTGTTTGGAATTTTCTTACCTTAACCTAAAATACCAAGTGTAAATACCGTTTCACCTTCTCCACTTGTTCATGCCACACCCTGTCCTGTCCATTTTCTGAACAATGTAGACCTAGCCAGAGCCTACCACCCAGTGAGTTCTGACCTGGTTAAACAAGTCAATGACGTTTTCCAGCATCTTAGCGGCTTTTCCTTTCTTATCTTCCAGTTTTGCTAGTTGTTTTATCTTCACTTCAACAGCTTTACTGAACAATGCCTGCATGGAAGCACAGGGAGTCAATCACAAGATAGCATCAAAGCCCCAGTCAGACTGTTTTCCTAGCTAAACCTCTTTCACTTTTAGTCCAAAGACACAGGAGAAAAACCTAAACGGTATTAGTAAAACTATCAATTATTAAACAGCTGAAATCAAAGAAGACACCACTCTGACAGAGGCGAGTACCATTCATCCTGTTCCCCGCACACGCCAGCGGAATCGGGGTGCAGGCAGGCTCACCTGCTGCACCCCTGGAAGGATGCATGCGAGGCGTGCTCATCTGTTTGGCAGAAAGTGCGTCGTAGTCAGGAGAGTATCTTGAAATGCCTTCCCTATCTTGATACACTCAAGAGGCCCATTACTGAGCAGCTCACTATGCTCAATGGTTTGATGAAATACGTATTTTTAGATAAAAGAAGGTGCAGGCTGGTCACCTGTTATTGTAAAGGAAGTTTTACTAGCATAGACATATCCATTCATTTCCATGAAACAAGCAAGAGTTGGCCCAGATATGATGGCTTGTCAGCCCTAATGTATTTATTTTAAAAACCATCTAGCCACCCTTGCATTAAGATCAGTAGTTATATTTGAATCACATTTTGTAGGAATATATTTGCCTTGTTTCTATAGCTTCCAAATCACCTTTGCATTAATAAGGAACAGGATTTGGCCTAGATTCAAATTTTCTGCTGGACCACCTCAAATCCATGAAATGAGGTGATAGACAAATTAAATGTGTATTTTATGGCATGTAAGTTGTATCTCAATTGTCTTCAAAATAAAGCCATAAAAAGCGCAACATGCTTATCAGTAATTACTTTAAACTCAACATGTCAGCACTTTTTTACAACTGCTGAACTCTCCCTCCTGTGGGCCACTGGAAGGAAAAGGCACACACAAGCTGAACAGCACTTCAGTGAATTTATCAAAAGACGAAACTAGTTTAGCTCTTTGCAGCCATACAGGAATCATTAGCGGAAAGACAAGAACCAAATAAGCTTATTACCAATGCTGTACAGTTTCACCTCTTACTACCGAGATACAGAACAGCTCCCTTTATAAGCAAGTGCTGGCTAAAGCCAGTGGTGATCTAGTGGAGAACTTACTGTGCCGTGGCCATTTGCTTCAAAGTAAACTCCAATATCAAACTCCTGGGCCTTGTGGTGCAAATGCTTAACACCCGTTTTAGTGCAGTGAACAGGAACCTGTAGCACACACACACATTCAGAAAAAAACAGCAGCAGTCATTCAGCCAGAAGATGGTGCTGTATACAGGGATACAAGAAACAAACCCTGGAGCTTACTGTAGTGAGGAAGATGGCTAAGAATGAAAAGACAGAATACCATAGGCATGCTGGAAGCACAGAGCCCGAGAAGATCAGGAGACACAGGTCTCCTCTATAGCACAATGGATAACTGCAAGTCAGGATACGACATCACCTCTCTTAGACCACTGTGCAGTACAGCCAGTACTCAGCAGGGCTAACCGCAGGGGGCTGCAGGCTTTTCCTGTAAAGGTCTACACAAGCCACAGGAGCTGTCAAATTACTCCCTCATCTGTGTAAAAACAGCCATACATCAACAGGCAAGTCCTGTTCCAATAAAACTATAAGAACACTGGCAGTCTGGATTTGGTCCTCGGCCCATCCACTATTTGCCAACCTCCGGCCTAACATGGGTAACAAAAGACCAACAAGATCTCCCACACTAACCCCAGAAAGATGTCACCAGGGCTGGACCAGCAGTCAAGGGGAGGGAAGTCAAGCCTGGGCTGGAGGTGTAGGAATGCATAAGGGAAATCTAGAGAGCAAGTGAGCCGAGTCAGCCCTTGACCGGACTAACTCGGGAATGGCAAGAGCCAAAAGGACTTCATCCAAAAAGATGGGAATTTGGTTTCTTACACGGAATAGAAGAAAATTTTAAGGCAAAAAAATGAAGTTATGTAACACTATTCTGGTCTGTGACATGCCCCCAGAGATTGTCAGATGACGCTGTAGCCATCTTAGTTTGCACTAAGTGCTCCATGTGTCCAGCCAAGGACACAGTTATCCACTGACATGTGTCTGTCTTACACAACGACCCCCCCCATTATTTTTTTAAAACAACCTGAAGTTGGAGAATTGCTGTGATACAGTAAGCTTTCTGTAACCACATTTAAGTCAGCATACACTAGCTGCACTGTTTTTGTTTTGCCCATCCACAGTTTCTATTAAAAAGCAAAAACTTCCCATAAGATTCAGATTCCCAGGTCTTTTGAATCTCACAACCCCTGGCAGGACCTCACCTGCATGTACACCCACCCTTCACATCATTTTACCTGACCACACCCTCTAGCACTTTGAAATGGGTTACGCAAAAGATGGAAAATATTAAAGTAGCCAGTGAGAAAGAGTAAAGGTAAACAGCTTCCAATTTTATCCATGAGCCCCCCTTTCCCTCAGCTCTGAGAAGAGGCAATGTGGACCATGGGTCCACATTGTCCACAAAAGCAACAAGGAACAAGTTCTGTTAGGCCAGACTTTATACTAAAGAAATTGCAAACACAAAGTTCACCTCCGCTGCTTGCATGGAGCCCAGCAGATGTGTCCCGTTCCATATATTCTCAACATAGAACGTCAGGGAGGGCCTGGGAAGGCGGCTCAGTGGCAGAGTGCTTGCCTAGCATGCATGAAGCCCTGGGTTCAACTCCTCAGTACCACATACCCAGAAAAGACCAGAAGTAGTGCTATGGCTCAAGTGGTAGAATGCTAACCTTGGGCAAAAGCAGCTCAGGGACTGTGCCCTGAGTTCAAGCCCCAGGACAAGGGAAAAAAGAAGTCAGCAAGGGGGATCCTCTCTAGATCAAGCTTTAGCCCAAGCTCACCTAGACACTGCACGGCATGGCCTCCCAGAGCCCACTTTTAACAGAACCCCTCACCCGACATCTGACCACCTCCACACATGGTCCTGCGCAAATGATCACCTGGCATGCCTTCATCAAATAGCCTATTTATCCAGAATTCAGCTGAATCCATGTATCACCAGTACACTCAAGGCTTCTTCTCAGCAATGTTCCATTACTGACCACAAGTGCACACATGGCTTTAGCATGGAATCCTGCCAGACCAAAAACCCAGGTCTTTTCGACAGAATTCTGTCACAGTAGTACTTGTACCTACCATAATAGTCCTGGAAAAAAACCTGCCTTACCATTAAAAAAGTATCATGGCCACTTTTTCGTTCACATTTGTCCTCAATAAAAGGACTTGACATCTCATTTCTCATGGCACTATTGACTTGATTCAAAGAACAAATGCTTCCTATCTATGGCAGGCAGACTTTCACAACCTGGAGCCAGGCATCAAGTTAAACTTGCCTGACACTGAGTGTCCGGTTGTCTTCCTTAAAAAAGTTACTCCTAGTGGAGCTGTTGAGCACAAGAGCTCTGAGTTCAAGCCCCAGAGCTACCATGCACATGTGAGCTGCATGCACACACACGTAAAATCCTCAGTTATAAAACTGATCTGGCCCTTACAAATATCTGTATTTATATTACAACAGAAGGAATTGACAAGTTTTCAAAATGAAAGAAAAAAGAGGGAGTTTCTCTACCTGTCTGTACCAGAGAACTGTTTTTTTATTTCTGTTTATACTTATCTGTACAACAGTTCAGATTGCTCTACACTGTGTCCACTTTTATGAGGACATTATTTTCCTCACAGAAGTATCTTAGACTCAAGAGACTACCAGCAAATGAAAATAATTCAATACCTTCATAACTTCTTCAAGATACCGCGTGGAACTTCCATTTGCATAGGCAGTTTGTACAACACCAATATTGAAAATTTCTCCAACCTGGGAAAAAAATGATGACACTGAACTTGCCATCAAAATAGTCTAAGACAAGCTCACGCAGGAGAGTGTAGAAGAATAGTTCCAGCCAACTCAGATGTGCATTAGTTTGTATAATTATTGAAAATACTCATGAATATTCAGAAAAAATGGCTAAAATACTTTTGAGCACTATTTAACAATGAATCCTCTTAAAGAAGCAGTGATCTCTGATCTTTGTATCTTTAATTTTTTAACTTAATTAGTTACTAGCTGGGCGCTGGTGGCTCATTCCTGTTGTAACACTAGCTACTCGGGAAGCTGAGATCTGAGGATGGCTGTTCAAAGCCAGCCTGGGGAGGAAAGAGCCATGAAACTCTTATCTCTAATTAACCACCAGAAAACTGGAAGTGGCGATGTAGTAAAGTGCAAGCCTTGAGCAAAAGAGCTCAGAGACAGCACCGAGGCCTTGAGTTCAAACCCCATGACAGATCAAAAAAAGTAATTACTGAATTCTTAAAATGTATCTATTCCAGATTATCATTTCCAGCTACATCTTAAAGCCAGCCTGAGAGAGTCTCCAAATAGGAAACCCCCATATTTTCATACTATTTAGCTTATCATAAAAATAAATCTCAAATCTTATAATCATAAATCTCTAAAAATGTTATTTTTCTATCACAACTTGGGAATTCTAATATGTCAGTCATAAACTACAGCTTCATAAAGCCCCAAATCTTAAGCCTCAGCCAGTGAATGTAGGAAGAGATGAGCATCATCTTCCAAAACCAAGGCGTGGCCTTTTCATCTTGGCTGAGATCACTGGAATTCTTTCCTGTATTTTCTGGCCCCAAATATGTGGAATTTCCCATAAACTGTGCCTCTGGGGGACATTCGCATGGCTGAGTAACCGATGGTAAGTACATCCGCACGTCTGGCCGCACGGGCCGCCGGGCCCAGCTCACCTCCAGGAGCAGCTCCTTCAGGAAGCTGCTGATCAACACGGCGATCTTGTCCCCGTCGATGAGATGGAAGGCACCGTTCACATCACAGTAGTAATACACGATTCTGTCCGCGTCGCCATCGAAGGAGCAGCATCTCTCGTTGGGCTTCATTTCCAGTCCTAGGACACAGAACAGAAAGACGTGGAAATAAAAACCTAAAAAGTTGAGGTAGAGCCAGATGCTGGCCCAGAGTTCGAGCTCCTAGACAGGTGCACCAAAATAAAAAGGCTGCAGTCAGCTTTCCTCTGCACTAGTAACTACAATTATTTTTTTCAATAAAGCATCAGAATAAGAATTATGTTTCATGGGGCTGGGAAAGTGGCTCAGTGGGTAGAGTGCTTGCCTTGCATGCATGAGGCCCTGAGTTCGATTCCTCAGCACCACATAAGCAAAAAGAAAAAAGCCGGAAGTGGCGCTGTGGCTCAAGTGGTAGAGTGCTAGCCTTGAGCTGAAGAGCTGAGGGACAGCGCCCAGGCCCAGAGTTCAGGCCCCACGACCGGACCCAAAAAAAAAAATTATGTTTCAGAACAGCATGTCCACTGTAAATACTTCAAAACATGTTTAAAACTTTTCCTTGCAAATAAAAAAGTGTTGATCTTAAATAGTGACAGACGGGCTGGTGGCTCACGCCTACAATCCTAAACTATGTAGGAGGCTAAGATCTGAGGATTACAGTTCCAAGCCAGCCTGGGATGGAAAGTCTGTGAGACTGTTATCTCCAATAAACTACTCAGGAAAAGATAGAAGTGGTGCTGTGTCTCCAGTAGTAGAGAGCTAGCCTCAAGCACAAAAAGGCTCAGGGACAGCTCCCAGACCTAGAGGTCAAGCCTTAGGACCAGAAAAAAAAAATGTCTAATTTATACACTATATAGGTGGTCAAATTCTTTCAAAACAGAGCATCCAAAATCTAGTTATGCTGAAACTTATAGCAAGCTTCACATAAACTGGCTTTAAGACAGTTTGCCTAAACAAATTTGCTGTAGGTGTTTTGAGACTTGAGATGATTTTTTTTAGATTTACAGGGATTCCAAATATAACTCACCTAATGACAGTTGTCTTTTATGTTTTGGGGGGAAAAAAAAAAAGGCCAGGCACTAGTGGCTCATGCCTGTAATCCTAGCTCTACGCAGGAGTGCTGCAATCTGAAGATTGTGGTTTGAAGCCAGCCCAGGCAGGAAAATGTCAGACTTTTGTTTCCAATTAACCACCAAAGAGCTGGAAGTGCAGCTGTGGCTAATGGAAGAGCTCAAACTTCAAGCAAAGGAGATAAGCTAAGGGACAGTTCCCGGAACCTCAGTTCAAGCCGCAAGACCAGCATATACACACATCATGCACGCACAAAATCAATGGATAAAATGTGTGCTTTAATCCTACCAGAAGTTAGTTTTCACTTATTAACTCCACCAATGATTAATAACACTGGCAATTAAGAGTGAATTACAGCCTGTGAGAGAAAACTGGCCGATGAAATCATTGGAACCCTAGCAACCATTAGCCCAAATTTGTTAGCAGTCTGGCTGCTCCTTAGTGTAATGGCAGCCTGATGAAGAGAGATGAGAGGATTTGGGGGGGGTGGGGGGAGGACGACTGACAGGTTTTGTTTTGTTCACACTGCAGTCCCAATGCCAAACTGGGAGTGGGGCTCAATATTCCGTAATGAATAAATGAGTAATACCAGACTGAAGAGTCTGCAAAGTCAATATCAACTGAGCAACTCAGTGGAGAGTCTGCAAGGTTAGGAGCTTCCTACAGTGAGGGAGAACAGCAGGAGAGCGGGAGCAACACAAAGGACAGTGGTTCTAGGATGTGGTTAAATGGGGTGGCACAGATTCCTGTGTAAATGTTTGTCACTGTCACTGTTTTGGGGTTTGGGGGTGTTTTGTTTGCCTGTTCTGGGGCTTGGAACTCAGGGCCTCTCACTCTTAATCGGCTTTTTTTCCCCCCTCAGATCTTGAGCCTCTTAAGCCACGCCTCCAACACTGGTTAATTGGACTTCTCTGCCTCTGCTGGCTTTGAACTTCTCAGTCCTTAGATCTCAATGAGGATCTGAGTAGCTAGGACTGCAGGTGTGACCCACAGGTGCAGCTATTTTGTGATGTTTAAAGAGATTTCAGGGACTCTGGTATTTGAGTCATTTAGGGAATTTCCAAACGGTGGCAACTCTGATGGCTAACTGTCAGCAGGTTTGGTTCCAGGCTGGTAACTTAGGATCAGTAATGCAGGTGACCCCAGAACTCAGCAACCAGCTCTTTCCCCAACAGTGACCCAGCTCGTAGCTGGGCAAAGTCCCAACTCACACACAGCAAGCTGCTGTGCTCTGGACGTTCATTCTGCTCCCCCGCCACACTGTACCCCTTTAAGCTCAGGGGAGAGGCTACACCCTGGCCAGCTTTAACCACTAGGACTGACTCATCAGCTACATCTGGGCACATAATGGAAATGCCAACTGCTATTCAAATTCTGATGCATATCCTACCCCAGATGTGTGTGCTCACAAGGCCACTCTGATGTGACCCTAAGTCTGGGAGCCAAGGCTCCCACACAGGCCGGCACACAGCAGTCGTGTGTCGAATGGCACTGACCATTGATTTCTAAATGTGTGAAATCAGCTGTGCGGTTCTCAGCTCACGTGGCCACCTCCACTCACCACAGGCCCCAAGCAGTTCTAGACCCAGCTATGCCCACGTGCCCACGCCACCTACCCTGAGGAGGTTTCTGGTGGCTTTTCACGAAGTCGGCCCCGCAGAGATGATTGAGCTTCCCTTTGGTCCCGTCGTTAATCAGCTGGACGGACAACACTGGGGAGAAGCGGGGCTCCATCTCCTTCAGCTTCAGGGCCCCGACGCCATTCGCGCAGTCCACCTTCACCGAGACGTTCTCATCTCCGCTGCAGGAAGCCTTCCGGGGTGAGCACGGGAGGAAACTCCCAGTCACACACGGGCATGAACATATACACACAGCCACGCGCACAAGTAAACACCTTCCATTACGTCTGCATATGCATCTACTTTAACCCAGGAACTTGTGACACACCAGAGGAAAACAGACAACACCTTGGACAGTGAGGCAGTAAATGGAAATGAAGTTTTATTAGAATTTACCCTTGAATAACATCCCTTAGAAATTTGAGTGTGTCACTAGCTGCCAGTCACCCAACAGGAGAAGAGAGATGGGCGTCCATCACCTTTCTTCTCCCCATAGGGTGTGGTACTCGGCATGTCCATTTGTGTTTTCTGGGGGGGGTTGGGGTGATTTATCAATTGTCTTTCTCTTCTCTCAACTTCCAACCCCCAAACGGTTCATTTTGGCTAGCTGTGACTATCAGTGAATCAACTCAGCCTAAGGAACCACACCCCTGGAATCTCTCTCTAGCTAAAGAAAATCTTTCTTGCTAGAACTCTCTCCAATACCAAGCCAGCAGCACCTACATTAACTCTACAATCCAGTGCATCGCCACACCTACTCAGGATGGCCTCAAGCAAGAGCCATGCTGTGCTTCGCCGGCAACTCCCTCCATACCAACACACCATTCGCTGTGTGCACGGGCCAGAGACAAAGGAGGGGCTGGAGTGGGGTAGGGGGTGATGAACTAAGCTGTCCAACCGATTGTGGAGGTGATTGGCTTGTAAGGGGTCCGTCACCTGCTTGGTGAGCTCCAGGAAGGCGGCAGCGAGTTTGTGGTAGTAGCCGTCCAGCGTGGCCTTGCCGTATCGCCCGCCTGTGTTTCGGCAGCACACCATGTAGTGCAGCTGGGGCGTGGTTAACAGGCCGTAATCTGTCACGAGATGCAGACACAAAACCACAGCAGCTTACATATATTCACACCGGAGGGACCGCAAGTGTCAGAGCTCTTGAAACCAGCACTTCAGAAAACAAAAGCTGACTTTCTAACTACCCAGATGCGAACATCCACTGAACTCATTCCCGGGCTAAGTCTCCCCTTCCTGAAAGAACCGGGCAGCCCCGGGAACAGACAGGAAGTGAAGAGCCGCCAGCATAAATATCAAATATTATACAAGTAATTCCTCGTGGTACTGCAAGCTACACAACTCACTCTGGACAAGAGAAAGACGACAGGGAAGAGAAACAACCTCTTTGGAAACAGAACTGCAAGAGGTTTCCAAGGCATTAAGTCAGACTCCTGTGCAGGTGACCCTATCCTCTGTGCTGAGTGCTGTGCTGAGTGCTCTGTGGTGAGCACTATGTGCTGAGCGCATTCCTCCTGGGACTCAGGGAACAAAGTCTTCCCTGGTCTGCAGGGCTTTGTACAACGCGGGCAGGCCCAGCCCCAGGGGTTCAGGGAAATGTCCACACGACCAGACTTGCTGAATGTGTTTGGTGAGATAGAGAAATGTGAGTGGCTTTTACTGAAACTATTACCTCTTATAATCTGCACATGCAGGATATAGAATGTGTTTCTCACATGGTGGTACACAGACTAGGTAATCAAAAATGTGTGAAAAGGCTGAGCACAAGGCCAGCTCCGTGGACAAAGCCTACAATCCTATTTGAAACACATCTGAAGGATTAGGGACATGGTTCAAGTGGTAAAGTACCTGCCTAGGAAGTGCAAGGTCTCAAATTAAAAACTCTGTGCTGCTGGAAAAAAAAAAATTAAGTAAATAAATCATGAGTAAAGGTAGCCTAGTGAGCTGGATGCTGGTGGCTCATGCCTGTAATCCTAGCTACTCAGGAGGCTGAGATCTGAGGATCGTAGTTCAAAGCCAGCCCAGGCAGGAAAGTCCATGAGCCTTGTTCCCCTGTAACCCTCCAGAAATCCAGAAGTGCTGCTGTGGCTCAAGTGGTAGAGTGCTAGCCTAGAGCTGAGGGACAGTGCCTAGGCCCAGAATTTAAGCCCCAGAACTGACATAAAACAACAACAAAAAATGTAACCCAAGCTACTCAGAAACCACAAGGAATGAGTGATCACAGAGAATAGAAGTGCCCTGTCTGCAGGGAGAGGGAGGAGAAGGCATGGGATGAGTGTAGCCAAACAAGAAGCTGAGCTGAGCTGAGACGGATCTGCATACAAAGCTGCACACTCACCCTCCGTAACAGAGCTGTGAATTCTTACAGGCTTCATTTAGGTCACAGGCCAGGCATACCTGCGAGGAGGCCCCAAGGCTCCTCCAGGACCAGGGCCTGAGCTCCAGTGCACATCTCTGCTCAGCATTCTGGCTGCCAGAATTCAGGAAAAAGAGACAGAAACTGACCAAAAGACAGAGAAACAGAGACTCGCCTGCAGCACAGAGAAGGCAAGCAAAGGCCAAATTAACCAAAAAAGGAACACAGCCAGAGCTTCAGAGCAGACATCAAAAGTTGAGAGAGGACTTAGCTTGTGTGTGTGTGTATGTGCCCATGCATGCACACACATGTATACACCAGTTCTGGAGCTTAAACTCAAGGCCTGTGCAGTATCCCTGAGCTTTTTTTTTTTCTTCCCTCAAGGCCAGCACTATTCTGTGACACTCTTATCTCCAACTGACCACCAAAAAGCCAGAAGTGGAGCTGTGGCTCGAGTGGAGATAAGGATCTCACAGGCTTTCCTACCAGGGCTAGTTTTGAACCTCCGATCCTCAGATCTCAGCCTTCTGAGTAGCTTGGATTACAGGCATGAGCCACAGTGCCCAGCTGACATTTTTTTTAATGAGAAAGAGCGATACCAGGGAGATATTCACCTCGTACCACAGTGACGTCCCTGCCTTCACAAATGGTGTGAACTCTGTGCCAAGAAAAGCCCAGCCTCCATTCTGCTGCCTCCAATTCCCTCTGCCTCTAAATCCCTCTCATTTCATAACATGGGAAGAAACACCTGTCAAAGACACAAGGACCAGCTAACTCCACAGATGAGAGCTATTAGGGACGATCTAAAATAGACTCTCAAAATTGGACTAAGTAGCTTCAAAGGTTTGTATAAGCAATTCAGCCTGACTAAAGGAAAAGGAGCTGGGTGCTGGTGGCTCAGGCCTGTAATCCTACCTATTCAGGAGGCTGAAATCTGAGGATTGCAGTTCAAAGCCAGCCCGGGCAAGACTCTTATCTCCAATAAACCATGCAGAAAAAGAAGTGGCACTGTGGCTCAAGTGGTAGAGCACTCTCCTTGATCTGAAAAGCTTGGGGAACAGTGCCCCGGCCCAGAGTTCAAGCTCCACGACCCACCAAAAGAAAAGGAGGAGGAGAAGGAAAAGGAAGCTGTTTCTATCAGTGGCTAATCCTCTACGGGTAGTTTTACCCCACAGGTGAAAGCATATTGCCTGCACAGGAAAAATATACAAAAGACTCAAAAAGTTCACCTTTATATCTAAGAATTAATGTTTAACTTTTTCTGTTCATTCATATCCTCAGACATGCACTACTTTTATAACTTTAAAATGCTGAACTTTGATCCCGAATGGCGACATACCGTGGAACTGGCCTCCTAAAGCAGCCACGCCTTCTCTCACGGACTGGCCAAGATTCTCACTGCTGGGCCTGGCCAAGAGAAAACACACACAGGCTGACCTCAGGGACGGGCTGACCTCAGGGACCAGCTGGCACAGAGCTAAGGTAGAACCACGTGCTACCAAGCCTAAAGCGGTAAGGCCGCCGCATCCTGGCTGGAAGCCACCACCTCCAACAAGAGACACCAGCAGCCCGGAAACACTTTACCCAGCTCTCACAATAATGGCTTGGGAAATGTCTGCCTCTTAAATGAACTCTGAAAACAGACAAAAAAGGATATCCTAACTCCAGCCACCTGGGTGCTAAAATGAGCAGCACCACTGGGCGCATGTCCCGTGCGGTACAGTTCAGCGTGTGCAGAGCCGTGAGCTAGCTAGCGCCATCAACGATACAAATCCTGAGTGCCATCCTACAAAGTCAAAAACTACACATCAGGCAGATCATTACAGATCTATATATACAAAAAATTCGTACTATATAGTTAGGTAAAAGCCAGTATTTTTCTATAAGGACAAAGATTTATAGAAAATGGTTTACAGTGAATTCCCGAATAGGGAAATGGAATAGGTAGCTCAACCAATGATAACTTTATTAAAAAAAAAAAAATCTAAAGGGGCTGGGAAGGTAGCTCAGTGATGAGTGTTTGCCTAGCATGCATGAAGCCCCGGGTTCAATTCCTCTGTACTACATACACAGAAAAAGCCAGAAGTGAAGCTGTGGCTCAAGTGGTAGAGTGCTAGCCCTGAGCAAAAGCAGCTCAGGGACAGCGCCAGGCTGTGAGTTCAAGCCCCAGGACTGGCCAGAAAAAAAAAAAAATCTCTAAAGAGATTCAACAACACCCCAGCTCTGCAGCAGATGAGATGCACCTACCGAGGGACACGGTGGACACGGTGTTTTGTATACATTACTTGACCTTAATCCACGTCTCAGCCACCATTACACATTTGCGGGCTGCACCACGCCAGGGCGGATATGAGGATGGCCACTCAGTCAGCGTAGGCACGCCCTCTGGTGGTGAGTGCGAACACACCTGTCCCCATGACCCTCCCCATTCTCCCCCTCCCCCCCAGGCTGTCACCTGGTGTCTCTGCCGATCACCACAAAAGCATCCTGTGGCAGCTCCACCGCCTCCTTCTCCATGATGTCCACAAGCACACGGGCCACGTCTCCGTCCTCGGCGTTGGCCAGCCGTGTGGCATGCTCCTCCCACGTGGGCGCCAGCATCTCCCCCAAAGGATCCACCAGTTTCACCCCATTGTCTTCCTTCCAAGAGAAACATGAGCGGTGTGTGCACCGCAAGATGGGAGGCGCGTTGGCTGATGCTCCCCGGCACGGCAGAGCGGCTGCCTGGGCTACCACCCCACGCCACACACCAACACCGGCCCAGGTGCACACCTCACACATCCACACCACAGAGAGAAAACTGGCCTAAAGGAGGTGCTCGTGGCAAGACAGCTGATAGGTGTCAATAGTGCAATGAAAACAGCACATCAACCCAACTCCTACAACTACCCACCACGCCACCAAACAGGTTTTTAAAAGGTGCCGTTTAAGCCAGTTGCTGATGGCTCACACCTTTCATCCTAGCTACTCAGGAGGCCGAGAACTGAGGAGTGCAGTTCAAAACCAGCCCCGGTAGGAAAGTTTGTCAGACTCTTATCTTCAACCACCAACGAAGTGGGAAGTGGTGCTGTGGTTCAGGTGGCAGAGTGCTAGCTTGAGCATAATAGCTCAAGGACAGTTCCCAAGCCCTGAGTTCAAGCCCCACAGCAGACCCCCCCAAAAAAAAGCTGTCATATACATCTCTGCCTGGCCATCAGCTGCATGTCTGCCATGAAGCGGAACACATAGATCCCTTCTCACTGCTCCTCTGGACAGCTCTGAGAAGGAAAGGCACAGCTCGGAGTGAGTGCCCGCTGAGCAAAACGGCTGTGAGCTGTTCTGGAAGAAGCCATCAGCGAGGGCTTTTCCTAAGTTACCCATCAGTCAATCACACTGAAGAGGGACAGGTGGGTATTTTCACATTTACAGTGATCACACACTTAGAGGCTGGACAAGAACTGTGCTCATTTTGGGGTAAGAAGAGATTATAATCAGTTACTAACCTACAGGGCTTCAACTTGCTGTGAATTTAGCTCCCAAGACAAGCTTGGTATGTCCTACAGAGAGAAGCCCAGCATTCAAGCCACTGCGGAGACAACAGCTAATAGAAAATAAAATCTAATCGTTATCATCAAAAGATGAGCCAAGGTACAGAAAATAAACTAAATGTCTGTGGATAAATGGGTAAAGAAAACATGATAAGTGGTAGACAAAAAAATGCTATTCAGCATCAAGAGAGGAAGAGGAAGTCCTGGCACATGCACGGACGGCCCTGGAGAAGACACGGGGCAGAGAGAGATAAAGCGCGAACCCCGCCCCTCCGCAGAGTGCCCAGCCCAGGTGCACTCACTGAGAGGAAACTGAGGCAGCTGTAAGCATGGGATGGAAGGAAATAAGACAGAGGTGGAAGGAACAGACCTGCAGTTATGGCTCTGGGACTAGATCATCACAAGATGGCACCTAGAGTTAGCAGTGATGGATCGCGTACTTCCAAGTTGTTACGCGCGAATCTTAAGTTTCCAAAGGCAACTGCGAGGTGAGGAGTATGTTCCCTCACTTGATGATGGCAATCACTTCACAATGGATACAACCATCAAAATGTGACACTGTGTAACTCAAGTACCTGCAAGATTTTGTAAACTGTACTTCAGTAAGACTGAAAAACTGCAAAGTGTTAAAAGGAATGAACACTTGCAGTGAATCCTGAATTGTCCTGAGCACTGGAACCTCATTCCTACTCAAATCTGAGCTCACTGTCAGACCCCAGGCCTCCTGGCTTGGCTATTTATTCAGAGCAGGAAGTGATTAACAACTGCAAGAATCCCAGTCTGAGAATTTCAAGGTCTGTCTCGAGAGTCTGCCTCTCACCCCCCTGCCTTCCCATCACTGTTCATCTCATTCCATTACTGAACCTCTCTCTCAGCAACTACTGACAGCCTGCTATTTTTCTAGTAGGGACTGTCTCTGACAGTGGTTCGAATCACACGTAAAAGAGAAGGCACAGGGCTGGAGCTGTGCATACCTCAGGGTTGTGCGAGGCTGTGACCATCACCCCAATGGTGGCGTTGGTCTGCTTGGACCTCAGAGCAGCTAGCAACCCCATCCGAAACATGATGTGGTCCAGAAGCTCGGCCTTCATCCGAAATCCAGCAGTCCCATAGTGGAAGGTGAGGCCGGGGGGCTTCGCATGGAGTGCTGAGTGCTTGGTAATAGCATCCAAGTCCATGTCTAGGAAAATCAAGACAAAGTAAGTTATTTCAGCTTGGCCATGCCTGTAATCCCAGCTATTTAAGAGGGAGAAATTAGTGGATCACTGTTTGAGATTAGCCTAGGCAAAAAAAAAAAAAAAGTTATAGAGACCTCATCTCAACTCTTAAATCATATGATCCTGCAAGAACTTATCTAACAAAGAACAAAAGCATGAGGACATGGTTCAAGTGGTAAAGTACCTGCCACTTGAGTTCAAACCCCAGTACCAAAAAAAGAAAAAGAAAAAAAAATCTCTGAAGAACCAACCAAAACATCAACAGCTCACACCTGTAACCCTGGCTCTTTGGAAGGTTTCCAGATTAAGGTTCAAGGCCAACCTAGGCAGAAATGTTTGTGAGACCTCCCCCCCTCCCCCCCCCCCCACACACCCTCTTCTCACGAAAGAGCTCTACCCAATGGTGCACCTATTTATCCCTGCCACAGAGAAGCCTCCTGGGTGGACCGAGCCCTAGGCTACACTCCAGTAGGAAGTAACACGTCTCAAATAAAAAATAAAAAGCAAAACTCAGGACTGGAAGTGTGCCTGTGTAGGTAAGCACCAGACCTTGAGTCCAAACACCAGTACTACTAGAAAGAAAACAGCCACAACTACCACCTTCAAGCACCACTTCAAAAACCTGCTGCCCGGACCTAGCAGGGCCATTGTGAGCTGCATCTGGCTTGAAGAACCGCAGAGAAGAAGGACCCCGAAGGTCCGGGCAGGCTGGGGGCAGCAATCTGGGGACCCCGCCCCTTCAAGTCCAGCCTTAAGGAAGGCTTCACACCTGGACTCAGAGACCCACAAGGCCGAAGCTCAGCTCGTCTTACAAAAGGAAGAAGACTGACCAGGCCAGCTCCCCACCAGGCCAGCTTCCCCACTGTGGCTGGTGGGAGGGATCCTAAAGTCAGGTTCCCAGCAATAGGCGCGGAATCTGACAGCCCCGAAGCTGGGGCTCCCCAAGCCCGCCCAGCTCCCTTAAACCCCTGGGCCGGGGAGCTTGCACGTTCTCCGGGACACCCCTGGAGGTGGGCGTCTGGGTGGAGAGACGCCGGCCTAGCAGCACCAGGCCCCGAGTTCGAGCCCCAGTACCGCCAGCAGCGGCTGCGTCCTCTCGGGGTGCTGTCTGTCGCCTTTCACCTTCGATTCCCTCCGTGGAACGCCAAGGGGGGTCCGGTCGCGGTCAGCGGGGAGCCCCACCCAGGCCCTCGGGGCCGGGCTCCATCCCTGCCCGCGTCCTGTGGCCCCGATCCGCGCCGACGCGGGGACCCGGCGAACCTCTCTGGCGCCCGGGGCCCGCGCCGCGCGCGCCCTCCCGGGAGGCTCAGGCCCCGGACGCGAGACGCGTGCCCCCTCCCCGGCCTTTCCCAATCACCGTCCCCCCTAGACCCGCCGCCCCCGGGCTCCCGCCGGACCGGAACGCCCGGACGCCCCCCCTCCCCGCCCCGACCCCCTCACCTTTGCCGGTCGCGGCTTGCTCCACCGGTCGAGAGCCTGCTCCGTGCACCGCCGTCTCCGGACCGCAGGGCTCGCAACCGCGGACGTGGCTCCCCGTGGCTTCCGGAACGAGGCCACGCCCCTCAGCCAATCCCGGCAGGGGAGAGCATCTGTCTCCGCCCATTGCGCCATGGCCACGCCCAGAACCCTGCCGCCCCGCCCCTCGCTCTGGCCACGCCCACGGCCCTTTGACCACGCCCTCGGCCCCGGGCTCGCGCAGCGCGCGCCCTCTAAGTTGCGGCTGCGGTTCGGCCCCGCTGCCCGGCTCCCTGGACCGGACGACTGGAAGGGTGAGGCCCGCGGTGGCCGGGTGTCGAGCCGGGGGTGGCTGGGGCCGGGCAGCCCAGCCCGTGGACCTGGGAAGCCTGGCCTCGCTTCTCCGAGAGCCCGGGGGCCGGGCAGGGTGCTGGGAACCGCAGGGCCGGGGCCTGGTGCAGCGATCCCGCAAGCTCCCGCCGGGCTGCCGCCTCCCCGATTTGCGGGGTCTCGGCCCGGACCTCCCGCATTTCATTCCGCTGGGCCCCGCGTCTACCGGGCTTTTATTCCGCTAGACATCGCGCCTCCCCGGGTCTCATCACTGTCCCGCACCTCCCCGGGTCCGGTTTCCGGGCCCCGCACCTCCCAGGGTCTCATTGCTGGGCCCCGCGCCTGGCCCTGTCCCCAACCCCCATCTCGTCGCTGGGCCCCACACCTCCTTGGATTTCATCGCTGGGTCGCTGGGTCCCGCACCCCCGCAACGCCTCCCCCCACCCTCCACCCCTGTCTCGCCGCTGGGCCCCGCACCTCGCTGGATTTCATCGCTGGGTCGCTGGGCCCGGCGCCTCCCCTGCCGCCCTGAGGCGGCGACTCCTGGTGGTCGGCCTGGTGCTGCCCAGGGCAGGCAAAGAGGTGGAGGCCTTGCTTGTGGGAGCTGGGGACGCAGAGCCCGCACCTCCGCGATGGTGCTGCACCATCGAGGCCCATCGGGGTGGCCTGGGGGTCCGGAGTGGGGTTGGGAGTCTGGGGTGGGCTTGGGAGGCCCAGTTGGGGCTGGGGTGACCGGGGTGGGGTTGGGGTCTGGGGTGGGGCTGGGAGGCCCAGGTGGGGCTGAGGGGCCAGCGTGGGGTTGGGGTTCGGAGTGGGGCTGAGGGTCCGGGGTGGGGTTGGGGGGGGCTGGTGATGAGCACGGCCCCCCAAGTCCGGAGCCGCTCACTGCGGGCTGGCTTGCATCCACCTGCTGCAGGGGTGAGGCCCACAGGTGGGAGCGGGGCCGGCGGTGTAGGGGGGTGTCGCATCCTGTGCGCGGGGCGGGGGGGGTGGTCGGGTGCGTGGAGGGTGGCATCGTGTGCGCGGCAGGGGGGTGTCGTGTGCGCAGCAGGGGTGTCGTGTGCGCGCAGCCCGGGGGTGTCGTGTCGTGTACGCAGGGGGGGGTTGTGTGCGCGGAAGAGGGGTGTGGGGGGGTTCGGACGCTGACTTCCCGCCGTGCCCCGGCCCCGCCTCCAGGCGCCATGGAGTCCTCGGTGCGGGACAGCCTGCAGCTGCAGCTGGTGGAGATGGAGATGTTGCTGTCCATGTTCCCGGGCCCCGGCGAGGTGCGGCTGGAGGACGTGAACGCGCTGACAGCCGTGAGGAGGTTCCTGGGCGGAGCCCGGGAGGCGCTGCCGCCGCGCATTGAGTTTGAGATCACGCTCCAGATGGAGGAACCCAAGGTGGGTGCCCGGGCCGGGGGCGGTGGGGGAACGCGTGGGGCCCCAGCAGGGGGGGAGCGGACCCGAGGAGCTGGGGCTCCGTCAGTACCGGCATTTCCCGTGAACGTGGCGCCAGTCAGCCAGGGCCCCGCGCTGCCACGGCCCCGTGCATCTCGCAGCCCGGCTGCTGCACCTGCGCTGCCTCCAGCCTCCTTCCCGCCCCGCCCTGCAAGAGGCGCGGGGACCAAGGCGCTGTCCAAGCAGAGGCCTGGGGACCCTTGGCGCGCATCCTATATACATCCTAAATGTAAATGGATGTGCCTCTGGGTCTGCTTTCCCCGGGCATCGGCACGTGGACAGGCCGCATAAGAGCTGCCCTAGCACCGGGCGCGGGTGCTCACGCCTGTCATCCCAGCTGCTCAGGAGGCTGAGATCTGAGGATCGCGGTTCAAAGCCAGCGGGGGCAGGAAAGGCTGTGAGACTCTTATCTCCAATAAACCACTAGAAAACCGGAAGTGGCACTGTGGCTCAAGTGGTAGAGCGCATGCCTTGAGCTGAAGAGCTGAGGGACAGTGCTCAGGCCCTGAGTTCAAGTCCCAGAACCAACCAAACACAAGACGTGCTCTAGGAGTCCACTTCGCCCTTTAGCTGTCACCCCTCGGAGCCTGGGCTGCCCTGGGAATGCCCAGTGGTTGCTGGTTCCGTGCGCCTGTCCTCCCCCACGGCCCCCCGCGTGTGGCGGGCCAGGGGGTAGCGTTGGCCCTCGCTCCTTCCTGCCAGCGCACGCATGCGTGGAAGGGACGGCGCGGGGAGCCCTCCACGGGTCCCGCGGCCGCCGTGGGGGGACTTCCGGGGACTAAATCCACTTGCTCTTGCTTTCAAGGTGACAATTGACCTGCAGGTGGCCATGCCGCACCTCTACCCGTTCGCGGCGCTGCAGCTGTTCGTCCGGTCCCCGCAGCTGGACCGCGCGCAGCAGCTGCTCCTCAACGACGACCTCACCTCCTACCTGGGCGCCTTCGACCCCGGGGAGCTGTGCGTGTGCGCCGCCGTGCAGTGGCTGCGGGACCACGGCGCCGCCTACTTCCTCCGCCCGAAGCCCGAGAGCGCGCCGTCGCCGCGCGCCAAGCCCGTCAAGAACACCTTCCTGCGCATGTGGATCTACAGCCACCACATCTACCAGCAGGACCTGCGCAAGAAGATCCTGGAAGCGGGGAAGCGGCTGGACGTGACGGGCTTCTGCATGACGGGCAAGCCGGGCATCATCTGCGTGGAGGGCTTCAAGGAGGGCTGCGAGGAGTTCTGGCGCACCATCCGCTACCCCAGCTGGAGGCACATCTCCTGCAAGCACGCCGAGAGCGTGGAGACCGAGGGCGACGGCCACGACCTGCGCCTCTTCCACTCCTTCGGGGAGCTGCTGCTGGAGGCGCACGGCGACTACGGGCTCCGGAAGGACTACCACATGGACCTGGGCCGCTTCCTGGAGTTCCTCAAGAAGCACAAAAGCGAGCACGTCTTCCAGATATTGTTTGGCATTGAGAGCAAAAGTTCGGACGCCTAGGGACGCAGGTGCAGAGGCCGGGCTGGTCCCCCCCACCCCAGGCCAGCCCGTCTGCCACCCACACCCACGACGAAAGGCCATCTGGACCCCAGAGACAGAAACCTGCCCAGCCCCAGACTTCTCCACTGCTCGTGGAACAAACAGGCCTTTTCCCCCTTGCTGTCAGCGCCATTGTGATGTCCCTCCGCTTCCCATGTTGTCATTCGAATACTATTTCCTTGTAAATTAATAAAAACAATTTAACCACAGAAGCTGATCTGATTGAGGAGCAGGACAAAGCCTGGCTGTCGGTGCAGTTAGGAATGCATCCACCGAATCGAATCTCCCCCTTTCATGATAAAGACACATAGGTGACACACCTTTTCCTTTCATCTCTTTCTAAACCAAGGATAAAATACGAGCACTTCTTTCCTCCTTTCTTACTGAAGTTGAACCCCTTATTTCAAGGTTTTTTCTTTGTAGAAAAACGAGATACATCTGTGGCTGAGAAATCATAGCAGTGAGTCCTCAGAAATAGTAAAACAGGGAAGTGGTGGTGCTGCGGCTCAAGTGGTAGAGTGCCAGCCTTGAGCTGAATAGCCCAGGTTCAATGTCCAGGCCCAGAGTTCAAGCCCCAGGTGGCTAAGCACCGGTGGTTCACCCCTGTAATCCTAGCTACTCTGGAGGCTGAGATCTGAGGATCACAGTTTGAAGCCAGTCCAAGCTAAAAAGCCAGAAAGTGGAGGTACGGTTCAAGTGACAGAGCATTAGCACAAATGAAATGAGAGAGCATGAGACCCCGAGGCAAAGCTCCAAATTCACATTCTCATACATACATACACACACCCACACACATACACACACGTAACAGAGGTACCACAACATCCTGTCAGTGCTTCCTTTGGCTGTTCTGTTGGTTAAAGGTGCTTGTAATTATGAGAGCACTTTTCTGAGTTCTTCTTTTAAGGTTCTTACTAACAGCAGTGGCAATGTCCCACCCTTTACCCCTGTGCTAGTGTGCCTTCCGTCTGCACCAAGAGGAGGATATGTGGCCTCAGTGGAGGGCTGAGCCATCTTGGTGTGTGGGGGCAGGGAGCGAGAGAGGTCACACTGTATTTTGGCTATAAGTCACTACTATCTCCTGAAAATCCCAAGTCTAGCCAGGTGCCAGTGGCTCACACCTGTCATCCTAGCTACTCAGGAGACCGAATGGCATAAAATAAGATAAAGGAGGTAAAACCCTCAACACCAGGAAGCAACCATCATTTCTCCCTGAGAATATCAAAGCATACCATGCATCAGTGTTACCATAATGAAATCTATGCTGGAGGAAGCAGAGATTAGAATGTTTTTGAGTGAGAATATTAGAATTGTACAGTAGCATATTATTTCAGAATACCTTGTTACATGCCCCCCCAAGACCCATTACCATTTGAAGTGTAATAATTCTTTTAAATAAGTTATTTTACCATTAATTTTTTTCTAAGCTTTAATAGACCTTTGCATAGGCAAATACATTTAGTAAGAGCAATCTGACAACATAGAAACAGACGAGAAATAGGCATTGTGTGTCTTTTCTAAACCACTCTATGGAAGAAAGCTTTAAGCAAAGGTTACCTTTCACACTTGAAACAATCTGTGTAACTTCCGCCTTGTGATAAAATCATTTCATAGTACAGTTGACTTATCGTGAGCATCTTGTCCTTAAAACATGACTTCAGACCCAGGAGATTCTCCACTATATTTTACCATACACATCGAGTGTTCGGCTGCACCTGAGCTTCAGAGTTTGAAACTGCTTCTACAAGTTCCATGATTGGCTTCTCAAGTCACAGCATACACACTGGGAATGTGGCCATTCTTCCTCACAGAAAGTTCTTGGTAATCAAAGCACATGACTATCTGATCCAGGATGGAGTCACAGTGGCTCTATCAGAGGAATGAGAGAGAGCCTAGGGAACCGGGTGAGCACACTGGGGGAGAACACTCCGGTGGACCAGGAGCTCATCCGGGAACTGCCCTGAGGCCTGGCGCAGAGGCTCGCCTCTCCTTCCCGACCTTGCAGCTCAGGCTGTGCTGAACTGAGGGGCAAGGCAGGCAGGGCGGAGGCTGGTGCGTGTGGTTGGGCGAAAATGAGGTTAGCAAGGCTTTGGAGTGAGGATCCAGTGTGAGAGCTTTATTCTATGAGGTGTCACAATGACCGAAGAACATGAAAATCCAACTGCGCAAGGTGTTGTAAACAGCAGTGATCTTTCTTCTCTGAGAAACAGTAGATTCCATGAGAGAGAAAAGGAGCAAATATAATCTAATAGGGGACTGGAATAAAAATACCTGAAAAGCTGCTTCTTTTCTCTAGGCAATAGAGTCATGTTGTTTCTGTTTAGCAAAAGTGCATGTATTCCTAAATTCATCTGCCTTTTATTTTTAGAAAGTGGATTTTTAGCAAAATGGTCAACGAAGGAATTGTGGGGTCTAATGTTGATCATATCTATTTCTAATTTTGGTCTTCCCATTAAGTTTTCTATACAAAAAAAGATGAGTTTCTCAGTAGTAAGAGCAATCGCTTTTTAAAGAGAATTGGGGTAAAATAATTAAGATAGAAACCATAAATTACCAAAAGGTAAATCAAGTGAAATCATCCAGTGTGAAGTTTGTCTTCATTTATATTAATGATCTTCCAGGAAAATTTCAATTTTTAAAGTAAAATTACCCTATTCTAAGCATATCATCGTAAAAGACTCCAACCTTCAGAAACTAGGAAGGACTGTTTCCAGCTCTCTGAGCTGCTGTGGAGAGCACGGGCTGTGGCTAGAGGTCGGCTTTGGTCTGTGTTTTCCGGGCATCGGCGGGCCAGGGGTAGCATTCGGGGAGCAGTTGGTCATACTCGGGAGAGAACATGTGCGCACGAACAAACGCTTCTTTGTTCTGCGGCTCCGGATAAACCGTGGCCGTCTCTTCTTGGTATGCATCTTTCACAATCTAGAAGGGAGAAGAGAATATTAACTATTGGAATAAATAAGAGGGCCACGGTGAGCACACGTCCATTCCAAGAATGAATTCAACCAAACTGCTCACAGAAATGCACAGTCAAACGAAGACGCAGCCCTCAAAGGCTCATGACAAGTCCTATTAGCAGGGGCGGAAATGACCCCAGCAGCTGTGAAGCATGCAGGGCCGAGGGTAATGCGATGTTTGGGAATGCCACGTGTGCAGAGAGGCCATCATGTGACCCCAATGCTAATTAGCCTGGACAGACGGCCTCCACTGCCCTGCTCAGCGTGCAGCTTGCAGCTGAGTGCAGAATCCCACACAGCCCCCAGGCTGACGCCGCGCACACAATGCAGCAGCCTGTGGTCCAGCTCCCACGCATCCCAACCCCAGGGTCGGGTCAGTGCTCCTGGCTGCTGTCACCAAAAGCACTTGCACCTGTGGCTCACCGGGCCACTCCACAGCCCGGCGCCCCCCCCCTCCCCCCGCCTCTTCCAAGGAGCCTCAAGGCTGTTCTTGTCCTGAGATAGACGGCCAAACAACGGTACGTGGACTTCCTGTGGTGCCCCCGCTCCGTGCTCAGGTGTGGGTGCTTGTACTGTGTGTGCCCACACGTGTGTGTGTGTGTGTGTGTGTGTGTGTGTGTGTGTGTATGACTGTACTAGGACTCAAACTCAGGGCCTCATGCTGTTGACTTTCTCAAGACTGGTGTGTTCCTAGACATGAGCCACACCCCCCACGCTCCACCGCCAGCTTTTTTGCTGATTAGTGGGAGATGAGAGTCTCACGGGCTTTTTGGCCCGGGCTGGCTCTGAACCACAATCCTCAGGTCTCAGCCTCCTCGGTAGCTAGGATGACAGGTGCGAGGCACCCCATCTGGCTTGCACGTTACACTTTCATCCTTTCAAATCCAACCGCCTCACAGTCCCCAGAAGGCAATTCCAAGCCCTGCCCACGTCACGCCTTCTCTGCCTCTCACCACTCAGAGGACACAAGCTCAGCCCCCCCAGCCCCACGCCGCCTGCTCCACCTTTCTTGAAGAAAAACAAAATGGGTTTCTTTCTCTTCAAATTCATTCTCAGGAGTTCTAAGTAGACCACAGAGGCGCGATCAATACACTAGACTTGCTTGGGTACGTTGGATTTCGACTATTGGAGTAAATAAGTATCCCTCTCAACGTAAAATTCCTCTTGATGAAAAATTACAAACAAATATCTATGATAAAAGGAACCACCTGGACAGTTTTGTATCCCTCTGGTGTTCTTTGCTCTCTTACTTTCTCCTCCAATCACTTGTTAACTCCTTCTCATCTATTTTGTCAAGATAAACTTACAAGGATGATATGCTATTAGTAATTAATAATTCAACCAATAGGCAACATTGGTACGACATAGGAGTCTAATCTGTCATAAGTAGATCACTTTGCAGATGAAAGAATCTGCTTCATAACAAGACATAATGATACATGCATAGTAGGCCGTGTTTTCTGCTTAACCTGAAAGCGTTATTTTCCAACTGGTAGCAGTATGAGCAGGCCTCAGGAGACACTTGCAATATTCCGGTCACAAATCTAGAGGAGGCTGCCATCTAATGGGCAGTGGTTATAAATGCTGCTAAAGGCCCTTTCTGCCTAGAGCCCTCTAAATGCCCAAGGGACCATGTAGAATCCCCACAATAAACACAGAACTACTGTCGTGGGGTGAATTTTGTCCCTACCACCTCTTATGTTGAAGTCCTAACCACTAAGCACGTAGGAGTTCAGTGAGGCTGTGAATTTGGTGTTTTGTTTTAATTTGGGGGTTGCGTGGCTTGAACTCAGGGCCTGGGCGCTGTCCCTGAACTTTGGCCTAAATCTCACTGCGTTCTTGGTCTGTTAATCTATAAATCAGAGGGGCCTGGATGACAGGTGGCTGCACAGAACTGTGCCCCCCATCTCTGTGTGGAGTCCACAGTTACAACAAGTTACATGTGTGGCAGGGAAAGGCGTAGCTGCGCTGAGAGGCCGAGGGAGAATGCGGCCAACTGACAGCAAACCGATGGCCGCAGGGGCGATTTAGGATGAGCCAGTGAGCAATACCCACATGCATTTTTTGTTTTTGGTTAGTCATGGGGCCTGAACTCTGGGCCTGGGCGCTGTCCCTCAGCTCTTCAGTTCAAGGCTAGCACTCTTACCACTTGTGCCACAGCACCATTTCCAGCTTTTTCTGCTTATGTGGTGCTGAGGAATCCAACCCAGGGCCTCATGCATGCAAGGGAAGCACTCTACCACTGAGCCACCTTCCCAGCCCCCACCCCCCCCAACATGCATTTTGAGGAAGACTCTCACATAAAAATACTTCATCAGCCAGGCACCAGTGGCTTATGCCTGTCACCTTGGCTACCCAGAAAGATGAGTTCTGAGGATCCCAGTTCAAAGCCAGCCAAGGCAGGAAAGTCCCTGAGACTCTTATCTCCAATTAATCACAGAAAAAGCTGGGAGTGGAGCTGCAGCTCAAGTGGTAGAGCACTAGCCTTGAGCAAAAGAAACTCAGGGACAGTGCCTGGGCCCTGAATTCTCACACACACACACACAGACACACACACACACACGCTTAATGAGCAGAGGGAAGGCAACAGAGTGCGTGTGGTTTTACCCTCACTGCAATCTTCAGCGACACGTCTCTAATGGTGTTGAGAGGCGGGTAGAGCCGGCCCTCCTCTAGGTGCTTGTCTGACACCTGCTGAGAGATGACCTGAGAACAAGAAAAGGGGAAGGAATGCTTTCCGGGGAGCCCTCCAGACGCGCAGGCCCTCAGCTGAGTGAACCAGCGCGTGCAGAAGCCATTCCTGTGGGCCACCCGCTGATTTCACCTCCTCTCACTGTGGACACAGTGAGCAAAGGCAGCGCGCTGTCCCTGTGTGGGGAATCACACCGCTAGGGAAAAGATGGGGAGACTCCACTGAACCCCGGGAGCAGGAAAAGAGAGAGGAGGAGAAAACCCAGATGAAAGGACGGGAGGGAAAAGAAGAGGGGGATGAAGTGATCCCGAGGGCGGGTGTGGGGTGACGGGGACACCAGCAGGAGATGTGTGTAAGGAACAGCCAGTACTGAAGAGGAGGAGCAGGGCGGGAGATCAAGGTCAGGCTTCTCAGGAACAGAGCTTAAGGACTAGGCTGGATTCTGGAAGTGCCCTGAGGGCACAGGAATTTTCCTGGCTTTCCAGGGCGGATGGGAGGTGCTATGGCTTGCACACTTTGATGGGCGGATGGGAGGTGCTATGGCTTGCATACTTTGATGCCTGCTTGGAAAAGTGCCACCACTAGAAACACCAATACTGACAGTGAGAGGTGACTGATACATTTGGGCTTTGCTCTGTTTCGTGTCAGTAGGAGGGCTTGAACTCGGGCCTCAGGCTCCCGTTTGGATTTGTAGCTCAAGGATGGCACTCTACTACTTGAAGCACACTTCTACTTTCTATCTTTTACAGATTAAAGAGTTTCTCAGGCTGGCTTCAGACCGAGATCCTCAGCGGGAACGACAGGCATGAGCCGCCGGCGCCCTCCTGACGATCAGGCTGCTTTTTAAGCATGTTGTGTTTGAGAATATGGCAGGGCCTTTCAGTGGAATTATCTAGCAAGTAACCGGAGTTATGGCAGATGATGAGAAATACACAGATTTGGTGGATTATTAGAATAAAGATGACAGAAATGAAGAGCTAAGATCATTGAAAGCGTGTGAAAAGGAAAGAAAAAGTAGGATTAAAACAATGAAAGCCAGGAAATAGACTTAGTTAAAAAGAGATAAAAAGAGGAAAGCAAACAGTAAATGACACAGAACTGATTTACAGGGGAGTGGCACTGACGCCGTGGCCGTGGCTGGCATGGCCAGGATACCAAGAGCACCCTTCAGATGACTAGACCCGTTCTCCCTGGTACCGCCCCCCCCCCCCCCAACTCCCAGTCATTTTCACTGAATGAGAACTACAGGACATTGCACACTATTGGTCACCAGGGGGCGCTAGAGGCATTCAGGAACAGGGCACTAGACTGGAGGAAGGAATGAAAGGTCATGATTGCTCTGATGTGCCTGTTCTGGAAGATGATGGAAATGGAAGAAATGTTGACTTGCTCTCTTCCCCTGGGGAGTACAGAAACCCTGAGGCATCCCTGCCACCGGGGGAGGGAGGGAAGCGGGGGGACACCTCCTGCTCTCCATTCCCCTGATCCAGGAGTCAGGCAGCGTGCAGGGGGTGCGGGCGTTCGAACCTCGGCAGTGGTGAGGAAGACCTTGTCGCTGATATGTTTCAGGCCGCACGTCACGACCCCCAGCGCCACGCCAGGGAACACATAGGAATTGTTGCCTTGGCCGGGGTGCAGGGTCTGTCCGCTCGGAAGAGTGACCGGATCGAAAGGACTGCCACTGGCAAAAATCGCGCGGCCCTGCAACACAGAGACACAGCACCAGATGACACACGGGGCTGTGGGCAGCGCTGCGGTCTCAGGCCGCAGTACTCAACCCCTGTGAAAACCGGAGGGCCCTGTGACGTGGACGTGGGCTCTGAAATGGTGGGGGTCCTTGACCCCCAAAATGAGCGAAGCTGGGAAGTATCATCGCTCTGGCCCCAGCAGCCATTTCCACACGCTCCCGGGACACACTTCTGAACGCAGGAAGGGCGTACTGGCAATCACATTTGAGTTCAAGGCACAACTGTTAGTGACAAAATGACTTCCAGTGTTTTCTGTCTGACAATACAGAGCATTAGGGGAGATCAGAAGAGGTGAGACCACATATCTTTGACGCATTCCAATCTTAAAATATACTTATGCAAGTTTGGCTAATTTCACACATGTGAACCACAGACTGTCAATTCTTGAGGCCTGCTGAGCTTAGATGCAGACACAATCACTAAACACTGGTTTGCTGTGCTCCTGTTTTTACATAGTAATATGCTAAAACTTTGTGATTGCACAAAAGACTGTGGGGGGTTTTTCTCTCCTCCAAGAATTTATCCAGATGCTGGTGGCTCATGCCTATAAACCTAGCCACTCAGGAGGCTGCGATCTGAGGATCAAGGTTTAAAGCCAGCCCAAGCAGCCAAGTCCATGGGACTATGATCTCCAATAAACTGCCAAAAAGCCGGAGATGGATTTGTAGTGGCAGAACACGAGGCTTGAGAACAACTCAGAGATAGCTCCCAGGCCCTGAATTCAAGCTTCAGGACCCATGCACACACACAACACACACACACTCACCAAACACACACACACACACACACACACACAAGTTAAAGAACACTGAGGAATGGGAGGCAAACTCCCCAATCAGACAGGATAAAATCAAACTTAATGAAGACCCCAAGATCACCCCAAATAAGAGCCATAAGCCATGTAGTGATTCCTTGTCCCCGAAAACATCATCTCTAGCTCTAGCAATGAGAAGCACAGCATCGACCAGACTCCAATTTGTGGAGTGACGTCACTGTGATTTCCCCTCTCTATTCCAGTTTGGATTTATTTCCAAAGTTAAATAGTTTTACGTAGCTAAAACTCAGTCCCTACTCTCTTATTCTGGCATTTTCACCTCTTTGAAGAGCACAAGTACAAAACAGTATCAGATAGGTGATTTCTGTAAGCAGGAAAGGACTGCCGCCAGAGGACGGAGCGTGTGGCTGGGCTGGCGTGGGGACAGCGGCCCACAGGCCCCACCCGAGCCCTGGAAATCCAAACCCAGAACTCAGCAAAGCAAAAATGAGGCTGTGGTTTTATACTGTGTGCTTCAGTGTTTGGGAAGAGCTAGTTAGAACTATTTTAATGACCATCTGAAAACCACAGGGCTCCTTTCTTCTTTCACTTTTATGTGTAAATCGCAGATACTCCTCCAAGTCCTCAGGGAAGATGGTCATCGCTGAAGTATGACAAGATTAGTTTTTCCATAGAAGAGGAGGAAGAGACAATAATATCCAGGGAAATCAAAGTGTTCTCCTGCTATGTTCACTGCTTTTCATCTCTTTGTCTGTCCACTGTGGCATTGTGAACTCAGGGCCTGGGTGCTGTCCCTAGGCACTTTTGCTCAAGACTGGTGCTCTACCACTTGAGCCACAGCTCCACTTCTGGCTTTTGGTCACTTTGCTTTTAACCTTGGCTGTACTGAAGTAAGCACCATAGCTACTCCCTCAGTGGATCGCCTCACCTGAGTGAACTTGTAGCACTGCTCCGCGGAGCACTCTGCTTTGCTGGTTGGATTACTCAAGGCGAAAATGATAGGTCTCTTGTTGAAGGCCGCCATGTCTTTGAGAATCTGTTCAGAGAATGCACCACCGATTGCAGCCACTCCTAAGGAAGCAGAGAAACCAGCGGTCAGGACATTCATGGCTGAATTCTTCCAAGGAGCACGGGTACCAAACCAGGAGATATCCCAGGCGTCTTCCAAGAGACCACACACGGCATAAGGGATATTTGTGCTGAAGGACGAGGAGGAAAGGAGTTGCCTGTGAATCCCAACGTTAGCCTCTTCATTAATCAGCAAGTTAAACCGTGTCCCAACCACAGACTGCTTTTGTAAGCAATTCTGCGTATATATTTCAGCCTGTTCAGGGTACAGCGCAAGGACATTTTATAAACAGTGTGAACACTTAAGATGATGATCTAAGTCCATGGGGAGAAGCAACCCGCTCTGAGGAGAATCTAACAGAAATGAGACCGTGGCCTAAGAAACAGGACTGAGAACTCAGTACCGGGGCGGGGGGGGGGGGGGGGGGGGGTCATTGTCCTTACGCTTTCAGCTTTACTTCAATATTATCAACAAGAACTCCTACAAGTACAAAAAAAAAAGAAAAAGAAATAAATGTAGCTATAGCTCAAGTGGTGGCGTGCTAGCCTTGAGCACAGGGACAGATCCTGAGTTCAAGCTCCAAGACCTGCACACACATCCTCGGGATCACCACTGGAAGACAAGAGCTAGGTGATAGGAGCTAAGTGAACCACTGCCCCATGGGAGCTAAGTGATGGGAGCTAAGTGAACCACTGGAAGATAGGAGCTAAGTGATGGGAGCTAAGTGTTCCACTGACCCATGGAGCTAAATGATGGGAGCTAAGTGTACACAGGCAGACAGGAGCTAAGTGATGGGCCAGCTTCCCAGGGATGCAGCTGGCTCTCCTTAGCCGACTACAGAAGCCATGACTGGGTATCTGATTATGGACGCTGGGATGCTGGGTGCACCTTAAGCCTCTCGCCCACCTACAATTACAGCCCTTAATAACCCTCCGCAAGATCACCTTTGACAACTCCTTTTGAGATGTTTTTAAAACACATGATATGTGGACACATCTAAAAGCAGCCTACTACCTGCGTGTAGGCACCACATTGCATGCTGGGGGCCAGGAAGGCACGTTGATGCCCACCTCCTCTGAGGTCTTTTTTAGCGTGCGTGACCCCCCCCCCCCCGCCCTTTGGCTGGCATTTGCACACAGGCTGCCACCTGACCTATGGCTTTACCCCACTTCCAAATTCCGTCCTAGCCATAGCCTGTGGTGGAGCCTGTCCTTGGGCACAGGACCGTCCATGTCTCTGGGGAGTCCAGCATGCAAAGCCCAGGGGTTTCAGGCGTGAGCAGAGGGCTGAGCATAACGTGCTCTCCAGCAGGGCCCAGAGCTCAAACAGTACCAAGCACCTACGGATCTGGGAGACTGGAGAAGGCTCTGTTGCTCAAGAGCATGCTCATCCGTCTGAATTCCCAGGGTTCAAGTTAGCAAGCAAAGGGGAGAGGGAGGAGGGAGGAGGAGGAGGAAGGGAGGTGGAGGAAGGGGGAAGGGGAGAGGGGGTTACCAATGAGCGCAGTCGGCTTGATTTCTTGCACAATGGCTTCTAAGCTCTTCATCTCCTCGTGTGCATGCGCAAACTGCTCCTTCTCTGGTGTTAAGGAAGCACGTCCCTAAGTGACACAGGTGGGAAGAAATGAACAAGCTGCCCAACATGTGGGGTAGAGACATTCCAGAATATTCTACCTGTGATGAGTACGTATGCTTACATTTTTGTACACTTTTTTTTTTTTTTTTACCAGAACCCAGGTTTGAACTCGGAGCCTCACCTTCGGCTATGCGTCACACCTCTAGGCCTGCTTTTTGCTGGCTCACTGGGGATGGGCCAGTTTGAGTTGTGATCCTCCAGTTCTCAGCCTGCAGAAGAGCTGAGGGCTTGAACTCTGGGCCTGGGCACTGTCCCTCAGCTCTTCAGCTCAAGGCGAGTGCTCTAACACTTGAGCCACAGCGCCACTTCCAGTTTTCTGGTGTTTAATTGGATTTTCCTGCCCGGGCTGGCTTTGAACCGCAATCCTCAGATCTCAGCCTCCTGAGTAGCTAGGAAGACAGGCATGAGCTTCTGCTGACCTTTCTTACAGTCTCTTCAAGTTCCCTTCTCTCACTCACTGTCAAGAGTATTTATTTCATTCATTTCTTCAACAGATACTCACGTGAGACCGTTTTCTACAGGTCTACAGTTAGGAAACATCTAAGTCAACACGCCGGTGGTGAGTTTTCTAACCTTTGACTCTATAATAGATCACTACCTAAGTTTACGTGGTCCGTTAGGACTTACAAGTTGGAGTTACATATTTCATTTGATCTCAACAGTTTGGGGAAGGATAAATTAAGAGTGTTTCATGTGAACCTTGGTTTAGGTTTGGAGACTTTAAGCCATAAGGGATTCCAACAGGGAGAATTCTAGAAAACGAGAACCATGTGAGTCTCTTCGTGCTTCTTTGCTTGTGTGTTAACAAGAATAATAGGAATTTCTTCTTTGTGAGGCTAACAGTGGGTTCAGGGAAGCAAGGCATGGAAAGCACCCAGGAGCAGGCTGGTCAGTACTAACTGAAATTCTTCTGAACAACACCAAAACAAAACCAACTCCAGCAGTGAGGAGCTTGCTCTGTGTCCTTCTCGTCTGTCGTGGATGGCTCTTGCCATGAGTGGCTGCGTAGCATGGAGCTCACCGCCTGTCAGTTCTGGTTTCTAAGAGATCATTTTCCAGCTTTCTCTCATGATATATCCAAGTACACTGCATCCTGGCACTGAGTTCAGGAGCCCTTGTTACCATGAAAACGCTGACCAATGGCAATCGATCCACCCAGTTGGGAAGGCATGCCCTGGTTGCGTGATGGTCATCAGGTGGAGGAGCTGGGGCTGGAGCAGGCGGGAGCCAGGGCCGCCTGGGCCTGTGGGAGCCCCGGAGCAAAGCTCCCAGCAGCCTTCCTGTGCCTTTGCCTGGCTTTGGAAGCCTCAGAGCTGGCCAGCTGCTGGCCTCGAGAGGCTAATGTGACTCTGCCCTTCCCCGGCTGGCCCAGGAAGGCATGAAGGACAAATGGTTATGGTCCAGCAATGGGAGTTTGTGGCTAGCAATGAAGCCATAGGCAATGCTTTAATGTTCATTATGTTCCACCAATTTTCGCTCCCTGTCACTCTGCTCAGTCCACACTTTCTGGAAGCAGTGCAGGCTAAGATCACGACTGTTTTGCTTCTTCTGCAAGAGTGAAATTCCAAGGCGGATACGAGAGACTGCCCCACATCTGTTCCAAACAAACCACAAGCTTAGCACTTTTTACCAGAAACGAATATAGTCTGTAGCGGGTGTGGGAGAGAAATGAACCTCGCACCCAAGAGGCATCAGACAATCCCACGGAACGGCAAACACATCCAGCGGCGACTTTAGAGCGAGAGGGCTCCCCGCACTGCCCGACTTCCCCAGCTTTCTCCCCCTTAGCTGCCCAGTGTTGGCGCATTCACGCACTCAGGCCAATCACCTTCACACCTGCCAGACAAAGGAACGCAGGGAGCAGCGGCCACGAGGCCTGCCTGCCAGCTGGCGGTGGAGGTGCTCGGTTCTTCTGAGGTGGACAATGCAGTCTTCAGCATCCAGTGTTCCACTGCCCCATGGGAGCTAAGTGATGGGAGCTAAGTGAACCACTGGAAGACAGGAGCTAAGTGATGGGAGCTAAGTGTACACAGGCAGACAGGAGCTAAGTGATGGGCCAGCTTCCCAGGGATGCAGCTGGCTCTCCTTAGCTGGCTGCAGAAGCCATGACTGGGTATCTGCCTATGGACACTGGGATGCCGGATGCACCTTAAGCCTCTCACCCACCTACAACTACAGCCCTTAATAACCCTCGGCAAGATCCCCACCCCCCATATGTTAACTATCTAAGTCACCATACTTGGAGGTCTGCTTGTGTACAATTTTATAACAAAGTTCCTCTGTTCCAGAATCCGAGACAAGCAGCCAGAAGACTTACTTCACCTAGCAAGTCCTTACCTTCCAGGAAAGCCAGTGACAAAATCAACGCTAAGACAGTGTCTTGGCCAAGCGTGGTCCCTAAAATCCCAGCACACGGGAAATGGAGGCAGGAAGATCACAAGTTTGAGGCCAGGCTGGACTACCTAGTGAGAGCCTGTCTCAAATCAAAGGTGCTCACGGTTTCAAAAGATCTATCATTGACAATTTCAACCATCATGCCACATTTAAGGAATTACTTTTTAATTCTCAAATATCTGCTTACTGTTGTTTAATCTAATTTCGTTCTGTTGAATTTTATGTTGTGACCATTCAACCATTTGGGGGCGTGGCAGTTGAACTCAGGGTTTCATGTTTGCTAGGCAGGTGCCCTGCTATTTGAGCCAGGTCTCCAGCAGTTACGTAATTTTGTGTACACATGAGGTCATAAGAGGAAGCTAGTTTAGTTTGTTCTTGGGGCCATGTCTCTTCCCCATAGCCCGGTCACCTGCCCATCCACAGAGCTGGAGTGGCACTCTGTCAAAGAAACGGCCGATACTGGACAGTCCCTGGAGCATGTCCTGTTCCATGTCCTGTTCCCAGAATCAGGTTTCACTCCTAATAACGGTAAAGTCTTATAATTCATCTCTACTTTATGGTTTACCTCAAAACAGAAAAGAAGAAACTTACTGAAAGGATCAGAGAGAAAAATATATATCAGAGATTCAGAATTATTAACAAAGAAGAAATTGTAAATGGTGATATATATATATATATATATATATATATATATATATATATATATGCCACATTCTAAGAGGTAAATATTGGTGTCCTTTTATTTTGAAAAAAAAAAAGGTGCTTAGGCACCAAACGTGATCCAAAGAAGATTAGCAAAACTGTGCGACCAGCAGCAGTTACCCCACAGCCAGCGACTAACAACAGCACAGAGTAGCGAACAAATGTGCCTAAGCTGTCCATAAAAATAGAAATCTGTGCCTTTTCATTACATTACCAAACCACAAAGTAATCACCCACATGAGACAAGAAAACTACCAAAGAAATCTTAGAGATGATTGTGTTAGCAGCTGAAAATAACCAAATCCAACCTGGCAGAACACAGCCTGGCTGCTTCAAATAGCACAGAAATAAGAGTCGGTTTATATCAAGTGCAGACTGTCATCTGAAATGCAAAATGATTTTGAAAGATGTGAAGGAAGCTGAAAATGACGAGAAGATAGTCTTCATTTTCCTTCATGCAGGGCTTCCAAAGATTTGTCCCCGTGCAATGCCTGATTGTCAGGCCAGCAAATTTAAAGTATTTTAGTGCATAGTTCTGGCCCCATCCGTTAACGATGGCCTCGCCATTTTAGTAGTTTGTGACAGCTTTGGTTGGGTAGAGACAGAAAGGACAAGAAGTAGAGCATATTCTCATCGCTGATAGCAAATAAATGAATATTTTTTTCTGAGAGGATCTTGTGGTCCCAACAAAGAGAAGTGCTGCAAGGAGACACTGACCGTGGCATGCACACGCAAGATGGAGCATGGGCCGGACTCGGCCTCTCCCATCCCTGCACCCCGCTTCCCGGAACTCGGTGGCGAAGCTGGTACAGATGAAGCAGATGCCGGCTTGCCAAAGCTAAGTGGGCACCAGTCCTCGATGGAGGGGCGGATCCCGAGCCCACGTCCAGAGCTAGCTCTGCTCTACTCCACGGTGAGCCCAGGACCTAGGAGTGGATTTTAAGAAGCTTCCAGGTGATTGGAAACAATCAGCCAGGTTTGAGAATCATCACCCTAAAAGAGCCTTCCAGATTCCTATCAGATATAGGCTAAAAAAAGCTGCATGTTTTCAAGGGGAAAAAAAGTATAAAATGATATGCTCTGAAGAAGGAAAGGAAAGCTAAAGAACAATAAATGGGCAGTCACAAACTTCTACTGCTTCTTTCCTTTTCTTTTTTTTCTCTCTGTGATTCACAATCTCCTTCTTTGTGCGCTTCAAAACCTCTAAAGAGCTTGGAAGGGCAGCAAATAAATGATCAAGGAGACAGGGAAAGGCGGGTGGAAGGAAGCACCGCCAAACTGTCCTCAGGATGCAGTTTGAATACATTTGCCTCTGATCTCTCTAGAAAAGCTGTGTGCTCTATCACAAACATCACATCGCATAAATCACCGCGATGCCCGCAGACCCTGGCGAGAGAAGACGGAACTCGGGGCCCGCGCTGTGAGTCCCCCCAGCACACACCCCAGGCTGCCAAGAGCACCCAGAGGAGCCAGGACCCCAAAAGACAGCATGAGCAGCACCGGGGCTCACTGCACACAGGCAGAAGAATCCAGGGCAAAAAGAACAGGCCTGCCAAGGATTTTCCACCCCGTTTTCCAAGCTGACTGTATTACGTGTGGCCGCTCTCCTCACGCTCGTAAGACCGCCGCAGCTGCCTCCACACTTCCACTTTTGCACACTCATGGCTCACCAGCTCTCAGAAACCTGGAGTGACACACAAATCCCTTAGGCTGATGACTTAAACCCGACAGCAAAATCATTTCTTCTGCCTCTTTTTCCCTTTCCAGGATTCTCTGCTGAGATGCCTTCCACCTTCTTTTGGCAAAGCACTTGTGAACACCTCTTCATGCGCGGATATCCCAAATTCCTTCCTTATCTTCTCTCTTCCCTTCCTCCTTCCCTGTTTCCTTTCCCCCTTTTTCCCCTTCCTTCTCTCCTCAATTAGTGCGAGCGAGGAGACACAGCAGACTGAATGAGGGCTTTTGTTTCAGCAGTAGGCAGTGATATTAATGTGCATCTGACTGTCTGAGAGACAAGGACATCTGCTCTCTGCCTCTGCCTTTCTTATTGGCTGCACACGCGGTGTCAAACACCACGTGAAATGACAAGCAAACCATCTCTCTGCAGCTCTCTCCAATCCGCAAAGTCTCCTGGGAGGCAGTCTGTTCAGTGTGTGTGCAGAAATGCATTGGGTGTCACTCAAAGAGTGGTAGCTCCATTGTTAAATAGCTAGCATAACAATGGGAGGAGGAAACTCTTCTCCAGGCTGGGCTTTGGAGCCCTAGTCCGGTATTGTGCACCACAGGGGAGAAGATAGCCTTACACAACTGCCACTGCAGCACACAGCGTGCCTTGGTTCATGATCACTATAGTCATTATACATTTGTTCTTTGCAACGGAGCAAAATAAAAAAGCAAATTTCAAAGCAATTTCTGATCTTATTCTGGGTGAGAATCGGACATCCTAACAGAGCTGAGTGGAATCCACTTCAGAAGTGCTCTATCTTAGCATTAACTTGGTTTATTGGTGGGAGCAAAATTATATTTATCTGAGAAGTTAAGCATGGATGAGTTTGTTCTGTGACTTCCTGTCCTACTTGAAAATGTTCCAAAGTCACCATTGCACAATGTGCAGACTACCATGCTGCTGATACCTCTTCTTTCCTCTCTTTTCTACCTTCCTTTCCCTCTGATTTTTATTTGAGGAGGTTCTACTTGTTAAATATTGACTTGTTTCTATTAAAATGTATTTAAAGCCGGGCGCCGATGGTTCACACCTGTAATCCTAGGTACTCAAGAGGCTGAGATCTGAGGATCATGGTTCAAAGCCAGCCCGGGCAGGAAAGTCCGTCAGACTCTTATCTCCAATAAACCACTAGAAAACCAGAAGTGGTGTTGTGGCTCAAGTGATAGAGTGCTCACCTTGAGCTGAAGAGTGCAGGAATAGCGCCCAAGCCCAGAGTTTAAGCCCCATGACCCACAAAAAAAAAAAAAAAAAAAGAATACTCGTTGACTAAATTGATATATCCATATCTCCTGCTACAAAATATTAAAGATTTTTGCATATCATCAATGACCAAGTGATTGATTTCAATCAACTTATTAGCACTGAGGTTATCAATGACAATACTGATATTGTATATCACACCCCTTCCATTGCTGATATGGTTCTGAGATCAATTATGGGAAATGCTATAATGCGTGCTGAAATAAACACAGAAAGCATGCGCAACATTAGTAATCACCATTCCTTAGTAATAAAGTTCCAAGGATGAGTCCATTACGGTTAGCATTTGAGGCTGGGATTTTTATATCTTTAAAATGTGAAGGGGCTTTCCCAAGAAAATGTTCTGGTTAAAACTTCATGATTCTTTTAATATATTACAAACAATCACACTTTAAGCTCATAAAATGGCTATGATTGGCTCTCGACAGATATTGTCTAAGGACAAAAAATAACAACTAAAAGAATCATGTCAATTTGAAAGCAAGATTATCCTAATTTTTGTTATTCTAAGATATTAGTTTGTAACAAAGCTCAATGTAAGAATTTTGACTTCAAAGACATGAAAAAAAATCCATCACTTGAAATTTACTGTCCTATGTCAAATAGTAAACAAGCTATTAGATGTATAACAAGCTTTTAAAATGGTACTTTTCTTAGCAATCATATTTGCACTTTTTTATTTTGGCAAGTAAAAGACATGAAGGAGGAATGACTGATTAGGTCTGGCCAAAAACTTTATTCCATAGATTATAATCCATGGAACTTGAAACCTTTGCTAAACTTATGCTGTAATCTATATGTGTATATACAAATTTCACATTAAAATATCACTAGAAACATATTTCTGGACTTTTTTTCAGGACTGTTTTATACTCCTGGGTCAGCACAATTCATGATGTCTTTGCATAGAAGGAGGATTGATATCTTTTTTTTTTCTATCAGTTTAAAAAAGAATGATATATGCCAGGCACTGGTGGCTTATGCTACACAGGGGACTGAGATCTGAGGATCTTGGTTTGAAGCTAGCCTGGACAGGAAAGTTCAGGAGACTCTTAGCTCCAATTAAACAACAAAAAGCTGAAAGTAGAGATGTGGCTCAAGTGGTAGAGCACTAGCCTTGAGCAAAAGAAACTCAGGGACAGCATCCAGGCCCAGAGTTCAAGCCCCAGGACTTGCTGGCACGCGCGCGCGCACACACGCACACACACACACACACACACACACACACACGAGTGGTATAAATATACCAGTGCCATGGGTTGCAACGTGCTCACATATTCTTACATACATATTCTTACATAGTTCTCACAATGACTGAATAAAGCTGGTCTTATTTATTATCTCTGTTAAAGTTGGGAATATGAAGCTCAGGAAAGTTAACATTCAAATGGCCTACTTACTAAAGTCTTTCACAAAGTCCCTTTCAACCCCTCAAGAATTGCTGTTTTGTTTTTTTTCTTTGAGAACGTAGCAGATGGAGGGCCATTTCATTTTCCCCTCCTCCCCTTCTCACCAACGCATGCCTGACAGAGCATGCTCACTAAAGGGTCCGCCTGCGTTTCGTCTGCCTCCATTGCACTGCCTCTCTTGGAAACCAAGTAACTTCAAAGAGACAAAGGCCTGTACTCTCAAAATGGAATCTCTTCCTAAGCCATAGTTCTCTCATGCACCTAAAATTAGTGTCAGAATTATTTGTGTAGCAGCATGGTTCATGTTTAACAACAACTCTTTCAACACAGTGTATAGGTAGGGACAGGACCACTAGGAGTCTTTAAGACTGACACACAGGCCCACTGCTGGTGGCTCACACCTATAATCCCAGCTACTCAGGAGGCTGAGAAATGAGGATCACAGTTCAAATCCAGCCTGTTCAGGAAACTCCAAGAGACTCTTATCTCCAGCTAACCACCTTCCAAAACCAGAAGTGGTGCTGTGGCTTAAAGTGGTAGGGTGCTAGCCTTGAGCAAAAGAGCTCAGGGACAACGCCCAGGCCCTGAGTTTGAGGCCCCATGACCAACAAAGAAAAAAAAAAAAGACTGTTACTCAGAAAGGCATAACTGATCTTCATGATGATTAAAGGGCCATATTCTTACCTTCACTATTAATCCTTTTGAGTCAACCAGCCATATCTTTCTGATCGCTTTCTCCTTTGGCAAACCTTCTTTCTCCATGGCCATCACGATCAGATGAGCAATGCCCAGGGCGGCCTGAGAATGGGGTCAGGGAAGCAAAGATTTCAAAACCCATCCCACGCCAGATTTTATCGGGAGTTACATTCATTCACCTCATGTTGCCTCTGTTAATAAAACATTGCTAAAGGCTCTCTTGACCTTAAGAGCTGTAGTGACCTTTCACAAAGTAATTTCATCACACGTGGACTGAGTTCTTCAGACCACAGCACAACCATTATTTCACATTTTGCAATTTAGCAACAGATAAGTCAACAAAATCCCTGGTTATCACTATTTCAATCCTATTAAGAGGAGACTTGCTCCAACAGGAAATGACTGAATGGAAATAAAGCACGTTTCAGCCAGGCCTGCTCACTAGGCTCAAGCTTCTCCGTCTCAGGTGATGAGGGGAGTCTGGTCACCTGGGTGGGAACTTGCCCAACTAGGCCAAAGGGTGAAAGTGACCCCCAAAATAATGCTCCCTGCCATTTACTTGTTTTCTTAATGTGAACACAGAAAGGGCTGTGAAGTCTGAAAGTTTGTCAGGTGATCTATCTATAGAGAGAGGCATATAGATACAGGCAGATATTTCCAAAAGTGTTTTTTTTTTTTCTGATTTATTATGTTCTGTAACTCTAGAGAGATCTTGACAGTTTTCCTACAAGAAAATGTATAACATCGTTCCTATTTCTGGAAGTGAATTACTACTAATGGAGTCTAGTTTTCTCTTTTCAAATGATTTGATTATAGACAATGACAACAGAAAACAGCATAATCTGGTCTTGCTACACCTCCTTCCAGGAACTGTAAGTGCAGGTGATATGCAGTTTACAAAGGTAGCACTTATAAATCAGTTCTTTTCACGTGAATGTTTATAATGTACTGTAAGTCTCTTAATTGCAAATACTTTTTCTTGAAGATAAACAGAGTTGCAGATGTGCAGGTTGAATTGAACAACGTGGGAAACTTGAGATGTGGTGAGAGGACAGTGCAGCCAGCAGCAGCTGCCCCAGCTGCGATGAAAACCCATTCTCATCTCGCCTCCCACTGACAGCTTCTCAGGACACCTTACATGTGCACAACAGAAATCCATGGCAACATCTGGTAACACTACAATGTAACCCTGTAAAACAATGCCTTCCTTATTGATCGAGATGCATTGTACTCATATGGGGACATGTTGAACAGTAACCCCCTTTAGTACAACTGCTTCAAGTTAATAGAATAAAAAAGAAATGACAAAACAATCAAAAAGTAAAACCTTTCTACTGCTATACTCAGAATAAGCCTCAATACTTGAGAACCACATAGTTAAGCCTAGATTTTACAATCCATGAAACCATGAAAGAACACATGCACCCTGGAGAGGAGAAGTAGTTACAACTGGCTACGTGTTCATTCGTTTAGGAGACCACAGGCATCATTGTGCAAAGTAGGTACCTCTCCAGCGCCTTGGAACAGTATCGTCTGATCAGCCAGCTTGTTCTTGGTTATTCGAAGAGCAGCAAGGAGCCCAGCCACTGCAACAGATGCCGTTCCTGCAACAAGTAATGAACACCCTTGAGTGATTCTGCCAAGCTCCAGGCCTTTATTTAGGTCCTGAATTTATCACAGACTAGGTCAGCTGGCACACAAGACCCTCCACCCGGCATGGAGGAGGTGACATTCGCAAGCTATGACATCAATGTTCTGCCACAAAAGCTCACTATGCTGTTACAGAAGTTCCCAGAACATCTTGTGACATATCTGATGCTGCAAAGAATAAGAGAACAGAGTGTGGCCCGACCTGTGAATTGCAACTCAATGAGAAGGGATTTTGTGCATCATTTTCCTCTCAGTTATACCGTATGAGACAAAAGAGTCATTAATGCCATTAGATTTTTCTACCTAATTAATTACTCTTGGAGTCTTGAAATCTATGACAAAACTCCATTCCATAAATGAGGCACTCAGGAAATGCTTGCTTAGAATTGCGACGCAGCTCGTGAAGTTTTGGATATGTTTGGAACTTACTGTTTTAAATTTTGCAGTGAGGCTAAGCTAAGGCTTTACAGTTGGACATCTGATTTTACTGTATGTGCACATGCACACGCACATGTGCTGGTCCTGGGACTTGAATTCAGGGCTTGGATGCTGTCCCTGAGCTTTTTTGCTCAAAGCTAGCATTCTAACACTTACAGCACAGATCCACTTCTAGCGTTGTGGTAGTTAACTGGAGATAAAAGTCTCAGGGGCTTTCCTGCCTGAAATGGCCACCCAAACAAGATCCCCACATCTCGGCCTCCTGAGTAGTGAGGATTACAGGTATGTGCCGCCAGTGCCTGGCTTTCTACCTGTGATGATGCCGGGTAGGCCCCATGGGTGCCAGATAAAATTAGTTTACTTAGGGCAAAACCTGGTCTTCATCGCCTTTCCAGCATAGAAAGGGCATCAGTTCTAACTACACGGCTGCACCACATAGGCTTTCAGGGAGGGCAGAACTGAGGTCCTGCTGTGGACATAATTACACAGCTCCACTGCTGTTGGTTCATTCCCGAAGAAAACCTTTGCAGAGTCCTGCCCTGGTTTCCAGCTGCATCTCTATTTTACCTACAATGACGCCACGCCCACACAGAGGAGCAGTGAGGCCAAGCCACGCCCACTCAGGAGATCCATGGGGCCAAGCCACGCCCACTCAGGTGAGCCGCGGGCTCAAGCCACACCCATCAGGAGCAGTGAGGCCAAGCTAAAGCTTAAATACTCTGACCTAAAAGATGTAAGCACCATACCACTTGGTGTGTTTTTTCTTTTCAAACTTGTGGGGTGTTTCCTTTTGAATAATCTGGGAGTCATCATTATAATATTTAATAAATAATGAATACTTGATACATAGTAAATAATACTTGCTGTGGGCCCACGCATTTCTGTGTGTTTTATCAGGAAACACAAATGTGGACTGCAAAAATAAAGTGCTTGCAATTTGGAACTATCACAGCAGAGATGATCATTTGAGATAAATCCCATCTTATGGAAACCCTACCGACTAGATATGTGATTTTAAATGGAAGCTTGTGCAGAACAGAGGTGATCTCTGTAGGAAGTTATCGTGGCAACTCTGCTGGTCCCATGCACCAAGGCAGAGTCACAGGCTCCCTTCACAGATTAAAGACAGCTGAAGTCAGAGAGGAGACATACCAGGCCTAAATAAGCAAACACTCACACATAGCACCTTTAGCGGTCTCTATTTCAAGTTTTTTGAGGTAAACGGAATAAGAGTCTCACCTGCTTGTCAACTCAGTCAAAAACCTAGCTTAGAGGAACTCGAAGCTTCCTTCCACATCTGAGGCTGTGTACAGATTCTACCCACACCACAAAACCTCAACAGCTGAAGAGTCAAAGGTGAAGTGTTAGCAGCAGTCAGCGTTTTTGTACCACTATGCTGATTTGAAGCAGAACTGGACACTTGCAGACAGATAGAAAAATTTCCAAAATAATCTAACCATAATGTGGTAACTAATTCTCATGTGGCAGTGATGCATCACTCTTGTTAAAACTCGAAGTGCTTTAGGTTCAGACATATTACCCCAACTAACGGACATAAGTCTGGTTTTTCTACATGCAAATCAAAGCCCTGTTTTCATAGAATTATCCACTAAAATAAAAAAAAAAGATGGCTTTGCACAGCCAAACATTTCACTTGAACAAGATATTTGTACCTGGCCTGCTACCCTCCACCTTTAAATTTCACTGTGGAGAAGAAATGTAGAAAACTGAGATCTCACTAAAATGTTACTTCATCTACTAAGTTATTCCGCAATAGTTTTTGCTTTGAGATTAAAAACTAAAATTATAGTGAACAAGATAGAGAGGGCTTATCCTTGGACTACTGGTGTTGAAGAAGACTTAAAGCTATTAAAGCACTAAATAGGACAAATTGTGTTTAGAATTGCTGGGTGTCAGTGAACCAAATTCCTGTAATCCAAATTCCTTGAGAGGCTGATACTAGGAGGATCACAGTTCAAGGCTGGTGCAGAAAAGGTAGCAGGGCCCCACTCTCAAGCCATTCCTGGGCAGTCTGGTACATACTGGTCATCCCAAGACACACGGGAGGCTAAATTGTGAGAATAAGCCTAGGCAGAAAAGTCTTGAAACTCTATCTCCACAGAAGGAAAACTAGACACGTGGTACACAATCTCTGGGATCACAGGACAGGGAGCCAACAGTAGGTGCATCGTGCATCAGGTACATGCCTGGGTGGGAAATAAGATGCTATCTGATAAATAACTAGTAAGAAAGAGGCTGGAGATTCAGCTCAGCAGAATCGTGCCAGCCTCAAACACATCGGGCCTGGCCCTCCCATCCCATTTGTGCCATGGGTTGAGCATCTCTAATCCAAAATCCAAAATGCTCAAGAATCTGAAATCTTCTGACTGCTTAAGTGACATCACAAGTAGAAAACACCATGACTGAACTTACGTGATGAGTTGTAGCCAGAATGCAGATACACTAAATGTATTCTGTGAAGTTACCTCAGCCTGACCTGAGAATGAGAATGAGACTACTAATGACTAATGCAGTATTTTATTCAATCGGAGCAGATTTCCATACACATCACTGAGAGCCACATGTAGTCCACAACTGCAATCCTCACGTGCTGTGAAAGACACCGGGCAGGCGACCGGACCAGCAGCTGTGGGCACGCATTCAGGGCAGGCCCAAGCAGGGCAGTGCAAGAACTCACGGAGCAGGACAAGCGTCAAAGAACCAACACACACCTGAATTCCTCATTCCTGACCGCCCAACTCAAATCACAGGAAAGAGATTGTAAAATAATCACAACTCCGAACTGTAAACAACAGGCAGAGCTAGGAGGATGCAATGAAATTTATATTCAATATGGAGACTTCGATTTACAGATTCAGTATAGAGACCTTCAATGTCTTTCTTGGCTCAAAGAAGGAAAGCTAATCCTAGCAGAAATGTAATAAACAGGAGGGAAATTAGGAAAACCCACTCCCTGGAATCTGAGCAGAAAAAGAGAAAAAAAAAAATCCAGAGATTGGCACATGGCATTCCCTCAGGAATTGCAGCCTTAACAATCTAAAATGAACTTTAAACCCCAACCTATATAAGATTATTTTACATCAGCCATAGAATGATTTTAAGAAGTTTTTTTTTTCAAATGCTTTTCATAAAATATTGCTTTAAAATAACACATCTGCTTAAAAAGAAGAAGCTATTCCAAGGCCCAGTGCAAAAGCATGTATTTACATGGTGCGGCTTTGATGGTTACAATATTATTTTTGTTGGCAAGGGACTGGGATTTCTGTGCCCACAGAGGGGAAAGTATTACATCCATGGACAGAATGGAAAAAGTATTAGGTTAAAAGGGTAAAAAAGAAATGTAGTCCTAAAGACAGGGTTGGTATATGGAGAGACGCACCAATGATGGCCTGGTCATTCCAGGCCCCAGAAACCCAACTGTCTCCTCTCAGCACAACTGGATTGTGTGTGTGTGTGTGTGTGTGTGTGTGTGTGTGTGTGTGTGTGTGTGTGTGTGTGTGTGTGTGTGTGTGTGTGTGTGTTTGTCTGTGTCTGTGTCTATGTGTATGTTCATGTCTATGTCTGTCTATGTCTATGTCTATGTCTGTGTCTGTGTGTGTATGCCAGTCCAAAGGCTTGAACTCAAGGCCTGGGCACTGTTTCTAAATTTTTGTGGTCAAGGATAGGTTCTTACCTGTAATCCTAGCTACTCAGAAGGCTGAGATCTAAGGATCGCCATTCAAAACCAGCCAGGGAAGGAAAGTCTGTGAGACTCCTATCTCCAGTTAACCAGAAAACCAGAAGTGAAGCTGTGGCTCAAGTGGTAGAGCTGAAGCCTTGAGCAAAAAAGCTCAGGGACAGCACTCAGGACCTGAGTTCAAGCTCCAGGACTAGCACAACAAACAAACAAACCATACATACATACATACATTCATACAATTAAATTAAGCTGTCTTTCTACAGCTCACATTTACAGTTCTAGAAATCCCTAGTTTATTTCCTTTGTGAAATTTTCTAATGCTCCCTTCTCATGAATAAATACACAAGGAATTTTAAAATTTAATTAAAAGTTTAAATAACTTAAGTGTCACTGTCAGGAAAACAGGAAAAGATGTGAACAGTGTAATTAACATCACAAAGGATTTAGGGAAAAGAGGTTACCAATTTTCTTAGGGTGCCTCAAAAGTCACTTTTTTTCTTTAGTGGGGTGGGCGGGCATAGAAATCAAGGCTTCATGTTCACTGTGCGCGCTGTGTGGCCCTCTACCACTTGGGCATAGCTCCTATTCTTTTTGCTTTGGTTGTATTTGGAGACAGGTCTCACTTTCTACCCAGCCTGCGCTGGATTCTGTTCCTACTATGTATGTTTTACACTGCAACTGGGATGGCAGACATGTACCACCACACACACAGATGGGTTGAGATGGAGGTCTCAAAGTTTTTTGCTTGCCCTGATCTCTTGATTTCGGCCTCTCAAGTAACAAGGAGTAAAGTATAAGCCATCGATCCTGGCTGAAACTTGTTATTTTAACATATATTCCATTTAAGTAACTACTTCATACTTAAGGACTTACACTCATTTCATACTTAAGCACAATGAACTTTAAATATATATATATATATATATATATATATATATATATTCATACATACATCTGTATGTATGTATTCATATCAACTTTTTTTTTTTTTTGTCCATTGCAGGGCCTGAACTCTGGGCCTGGGCACTGTCGCTCAGCTCTTCAGCTCAAGGAGAATGCTCTGCCACTTGAGCCACAGTGCCACTTCTGGCTTTTTCTGCTTATATGGTGCTAAGGAATCGAACCCAGGGCCCCATGCATGCAAGGCAAGCACTCGACCACTGAGCCAACCTCATATCAAATTTTTTGTTGCTGTTGGTTCTAGGGCTTGAACTCGGTACTTCATGCTGCTTATGGCAGGTGCTCTACCATTTGAGCCACACATCCAGCCTACTTTTTATGGTTGGATAATTATACTGGAGATCAAGTCTTCCAGACTTCTCTGCCTGGGATGGCTTCAGCTGTGACCCTGTGATCTCAGCCTCGGATCCAGCTAGGATTACCGACGGGAAAGCTACTGACGCCTCGCTCATTTCTGACATCTGTCTCTGTTCTTCTGTGGACACTTTCCTCGTAAAAGTCCTCTCCACGCCGGCCGCCATTCTGCATGAACCCTTCCAAGAAGCACCAGAAGACCTCATTTGTGGTCTCCAAGCCTATCTCCCAACCTGTTTCCCTCTAGCAATGTCACTCCATCCCCTCTGGCCTCGGGCGGGCTGAGCCTCTGTGTTTAGCAGACCCCACGCCCCAGCGAGGACGATGAGCTGTGGGGTCCAGGCTGGCCCTGCTCCCCTCAGCTGCCCGCAGGCCATGCGGACACAGACAATGCTGTGTTCAGCAGATGTGGACTGAATCCATCCACTGGCAGGCAGACTCCGGTGCTCGAGTCCTCCTCAGCTGTCTCTGCCAATCCTGCTTTATTCTTGAACAGACAGCCACACTGATGAACAAAGGAAGAGGAGGCTCATAGCTTCCTGCATCGGTGAGAAAACCCCATCCAGAGGCGAAATCAAGTTGCGGCTGGCGTCATAGGAAGTCGGGTACTCCACGCAGGCCCTGCCCAGCTACAGACAGTCATGTCTCTCAGCTGTGGTCTTGCCAGTCATCTAGTTCCTCAAGGCAGCACTGAGTGCCATCCGTGGCTCTCATCACCTCCACCAGCTACAACTGCCATGCCCTCTGCCCCCACTGGGACTTTCTAAGACGACAGCAGAGCATTTCATCACCCCTGACCACAGCAGCCTTCGGACCAACGCCTGTCCAGTCCTGGAGTCTGAGCGATCTTTCCAAAGGGCAAACTCACCCTCCCCAACCCAGCTCCTCAGCCCGGCTCTTCCCAAGGCTTCTGAAGGCTTCAAACGCAAGCCTTTAGACCAGTGGCACTTGGATCTGCCGCTGGCGAACTACAGACACACAGTGCAGAAAACACGCAAAGGAGAAGCGACGCAACAGTGGACGTGGACAGGCTGCCATCCAGCCAGGCACCAGTGGCTCATGCCTGTCATCCCAGTTACATGAGAGAAGGAGAGCCGGAGGGTCACAGCGTGAAGATAGCCATCTCCAAAATAACCAGCAACAAGCTGGGCTGGAGGTGTGGCTCAAGGGGTAGAGTACCAAAAGCCAAACAAGTACAAGGCCCTGAGTTCAAACTCTCCAAAAAAAAATATCAGTTGCTTAGGGAATTTTAAAAGATGATAGACAATAGCCTATTGCAGTGATAAACAGAACCAGACACAGACTTTGTGGCAGGGAATCTGGAGGACTGAGAGGTTAGGCTTGGTGGGGAATGCTAAGGAAGGAGCTATGCGGAACTGAGAACTCTGTGAGGCCAGGCTTGGTTTAGAAATAAAAGTGTGGGGTAGGTGGAGAGAACTCTGAGCAGATGTGAAGGGAGCAGAGGGCCCTGGAATGCAAGACATCTGGACTGGACTTGGAAATATGCTCATTGAGTGTGGGGACACCAAGTTTTCCCCAGAACAAAACCCGAGTGGCTGGGTCTGAGCACGGAAGCCTCTATCCCTGAGTGGCTGGAGGGAAAGGCCGAGGCCGGGAGGGGACTGCAGCAGAAAGAATGCCTGCAATCCACAGGGCTGAAAGGCTGTGCAGTAGTCAAGTAAGACAGACACTCGGTGCAGCTAGTGAAATGGAAATCATTTGAGATTTGATTTCATGCTGCTAGAACCAACTGTGGTCAGGACTCCTGCCTGTAACCAAACAGCAGCCCCAGGACTCTCAGAGTAAGGTGCTATGTGTGTGTGCATCTGTGTGTGTGTGTATATGTGTGTGTGTATATATGTGTGTGTGTGTGTGTGAGAGAGAGAGAGAGAGAGAGAGAGAGAGAGAGAGAGAACGCTCTCCAGGAAATGGAAACAGGGATTTTTTTTCTTTGTTGTTTTTTTTCTTTTCTTTTTGTCTTGTTTATTTGTTTATCTGCCTTCAGGAGGGTAAGGGGACACAGAAATGGAAGGACAAAGGGTGACAAATGCAGCAGTGGCAATCACTAGACACTATGTTGAAAATGAACTACACAATTTGTGGGTGGGAATGGGAGGGAAAAACTGGGAGAGAGCGAGGAAGTTTGACACTATCCCAAAAGAAATGTACTCTTTACCTAATTTATGTAACTGTAATCCCTCTGTACATCACCTTTACAATAACAATAAAAAATTAAAAATTAAAAAGCGAGGATTGAACTGGAAAGCCACAGGCAGCTTGGATGAAGGCGGGCCGCAGGCATCTGCGCTGTAAGGTGGATATGGCATTAAGACAGTCCATATTGGCATGGGTTTAGAAGCTGTGGCTAACATGAAGCGGAAAAGTATACACAATTTTATCCCCAAATGATGGGCCATGGATTCTGCCCATTTCCCTCCTGGCTTAGTAATCAGCTCCAGAGATTTCATCAACTTGTCTTCTCCAATACAAGAAATTAAATGGCAAGTTATGTGACACCAGGCACAGGGTCTGGCTTTTAGGAGCCCCAGGTTTAGATCATACACTGGGGTCCTTACAAACCTACGAACCAATGTGATGTGCTATGCACAAGGCACGTTTTATTACCTTGAATGTCATCATTAAATGTGCAATACCGGTTTCGATACTTGTTCAGGAGGCGAAATGCATTCATATTGGCAAAATCTTCAAACTGAATAAGGCAATTCATGCCGTATCTATGGGACAAAAACACGAGTTACAGAAGAAGGTCATCGAGTAACATTGGCAAACAAACAGTTCACATTGTTCACAGCAAAGGCAAGATGGGGGGATGGGGCTGGCATGTTGCAAAGAGGAAGTCTTCTCTTTTTTCTGGTCATACTGGGGTTTGAACAAATATCCACAATCCCTTGGCTTGCTTGCTCAGCTGGTACTCGACCACTTGAGCCTTGCCTTCAGCCCTGCTTTTTGCTGGTTATTTTGGAGATAAGTCTCACTGTCTTTTCTGCCCAGGTTGGCTTTGAACTGTGATCCTCCAGATCTCAGTCTACTGAGTAGCTAGGATTACAGGGTTGAGCCTTGGTGTTTGGCCAAGTTTTTTTTTTTTTAATCTCCTACAAATTCCTTACACACTTGCAATCGGGATCTTGGTATTCCACGCCCTGGCATTTGCTGTGAGGTGGAGGTCAGTCCCCTGGGATCTAACAAGGCATTGGGTCTGGTGGTTTCCCATCTGACTTGCAGATTCTGATCTCAGAAATCAGGCTCCTCAAAGCAATGACTGAAGAGTGAACGTGTGGTTCCTATAGAGAGGGTGGACCGTAGATCCCGTACCCTGTGTGGAGGCTAGGGGATGCCAGCGGTACACCCCGCACCATGCCTCTTCAACTCACTCAGAAAGGTCTGGCTAAGCTGGTCAGCCCACTGAACCTCGCTCTTGATGTCCAGCAGGCATCAAAGACTTGTTTCTCTTCCACCCTGCCCGTGTTGTCTGGCACCGAGCTGCTGGTACAGGGTGCTGGGTGGGCTGGCCAAATGTGTACTGCTGTGCCAGGGTGGAGTGGGCATGTGGTGTGGGGAAAGGAAGCTGGAGGGACACGGAGCGCTCTGGGATGGGGAGAGCCTCCAAGGAGTACAGTTTGTTCTGAAGGATGGTTCTGAATGGACAGAGAAGGATCGAGATAAAACTTAGAAAGTTTAAGTCGCAGAATGTATGAGTAGGTCTCAAGTATATGAAAGATGGTGCTTATCAAATGCTTATGCAAGTGATTGACTTGGCTATGGTCTAAGAGTCTCTAAATTTTCCTAAGGTCAAGTTGAATGTAGTGATGCAAAACTAAAACCTAAAGTTCTGTCTGTAACTACAAGGCTGACTTTAATATCCTGTTCTTAGCTAGGCTGCGGTGATTCCTAGCTACATTCCTAGCTACTCAGAAGAGAAGGATTGTGGTTCAAAGCCAGACCAGGCAGGAAGGTCTATGTGACTCTTATCTCCAAGGAACTGCAAGAAAACTGGAAGTGGTGCTGTGGCTCAAAGTGGAACAGCACTAGCTTTAAGCGCAAAAGCTCAGGGACAGCGCCCAGGCCCTGAGCTCAAGCCCCATAACTGACCAAAAAAAAAAGACTCTAAAGTGAACATGAAGTATTATATATGTAGCACTGTTCTTAAAGCTTGTGTTCTCGGGTTTTCTCTTGTGTCTTTGTTTGGTAAGCTTCTGAGGAACACTAGATGTCGAGTTCCTGTTGTTCACGTGGGGGAAGCACTGGCCCCAGTGCAGCACAGGCACGCCCAGTGTGCACAGCACACCTGGGTCCTGCCCTGTCTGGGCCAAGCCCTGGGTATGTGGTTGAGTAAGGAAGAACGGCATGTGCTGCATCCCTGGGACCTGGGTGGGATGGAGCAGTCTTGGCGAGGACGTGGAGGTGCCAGCAAGCTCCTGGTAACTGGGTTCCACTTGGGTGAGAAGGCGCAGGGTGTGCTGGTGAGGCAGAGTTATCCACCTGCCTGTCAAGCACTGGCCCAAGGCCACAACGCCACCAGATCCTAGAACAAGAAATCCTACTCCCTGCTTTCATACAAATGACACTGCAAGGCATCAATGTTTCAAATCATCAGCCAAGATGTGGGCAAACAAACTCTTTGGAAGTCATGCCTGTGAAAACCCGTTCTAGAACCTTCCACCGAGACAAGTACTGCATAGCTCCAGGCAGACCCCAGAACCTCCCAAATCTCTCAAGTGCAAATAAGCGTCTTTCTAGATTGCTTTCAAAAAGGCAAAACAATATTCTTTTCTTTCAAAGGCCCCATCCAGATGTTTAGTATAAAGTGTAATACAATCCCTGTTCAGCACATATCTACCACACGCTACCACAGAAAAGTAAGTAGTCATTACACTAGCATTGTGAAATCATGTGAAATGGCAACAACTGGGTCCAAAATAGGATCCTTTTCCTCGAGGAATTTAAAATTTAGTAAAAACAAATCGTGTGTGTGCACATGTGTGCACATGTGTGCATACATGCACAAGGAATTTAGGGGCGGGGGGGTCACAAAGCAAATGACAACTGAACTACATTTTACTTGACAGCTGTGATCCCCAAAGCAGACCTGTGGTGCTTTCCACGCCGAGGAGAAGTAGAGCAATGCCAACAGGCAAAAGGCAGGGGAGAAAAGAACTGTTTAAACACGGCAAACCCAGCAGAGGGTCAGTGGCTCACGCCTGTCATCCTAGCTACTCAGGAGGCTGAGATCTGAGGACCACGGATCAAAGCCAGCCTGGGCAGGAAAGTCTATGAGATTCTTATCTCCAATGAACCACTAGAAAACCAGAAGTGGCGCTGTGGCTCAAAGAGGTAGCGCACAAGCCTGGAATGAAAGAAGCTCAGAGACAGCGCCCAGGCGCCCAGAGTTCAAGCAGCAGGACTGGAACAACAACAAAATGTGTCAAACCCTACTGAGCTAAGATATGATGGCAAACAAGAGTGCAGTCAAAAATGAGGGTGTGTCGCGATTCGGGGCCTCGGTCCTGATTTAGGTGTCCTCGCCTCTCTCTGCTTGTCAAGGGCAGCTATTTCAATCACGTGCCAGCAAACTCCCTGCCTCCTCACTTCCTCTTCCTGCTCCAAAAATCAGCCTCTCTCCAAGACAGCAGAGAAATTCATGCTACGGAGTCTTTCCTATTTGTTTATCTATTGTTATTGTGTATGCGTATGTATGTGTATGTGTGTATCTGGTGTATGTATGTGGTGTGTAGATGTGTGTGGATGTGTTGTGTGGATGTGTTATTTGCGTATGTGTGGTATGTATTGTGTATATGGTGTATTGTGTATTGTGGTGTGGATGTTGTGTGTGGATGTGGATGTGTGCGGATGTTGCGTGTGTGTGTTATATTGTGTGTGGATGTGTGTGTGTGGTATATGTATGTGTGTTACGTTGTGTGGATGTATGGATGTGTGTGGATGGATGTGTATGTGGCATATGTGTGGATGTGGATGTGGTGTGGTGTGTGTGTGTTGTATTGTGTGCTTATGTGTTGTGTATGCGGTATATGTGTGTTGTGTGTGTTGTATGTGTGGTTGTGTGTGAATGTGTGTGGATGGATGCGTCTGTGGTATATGTGTGGATGTGTGCATGTGTTGTAGATGTGTGCATGTGCTGTATATGTGTATTGTGTGTGTGGTGTATGTGTGTGGTTGTGTGTGGATTGTGTGGATGTGTGGATGAGTTGTATATGTGTGTGTATGTGTTATATGTGTGTGTTTTGTGTGTGTGGTGTATGTGTGTGGTTGTGTGTGGATTGTGTGGTTGTGTGTGAATGTGTGTGGATGGATGCGTGTGTGGTATATGTGTGGAGGTGGATATGTGTGGATGTGTGCATGTGTTGTAGATGTGTGCAGATGTGTGCATGTGCTGTACATGTGTGTTGTGTGTGTGGTGTATGTGTGTGATTGTGTATGGATTGTGTGGATTGTGTGGAGGTGTGCATGAGTTGCATATGTGTGTTGTGTGTGTGGTGTATGTGTGTGGTTGTGTGTGGATTGTGTGGATGGATTTGTGTGTGGTATATGTGTGGATGTGGATTGTGTGGATGTGTGCAGAATTGTATGTGTGTGTTGTGTGTGGTGTATGTGTGTGATTGTGTGTGGATTATGTGGATTGTGTGGAGGTGTGCATGAGTTGTATATGTGTGTTGTGTGTGTGGTGTATGTGTGTGGTTGTGTGTGGATTGTGTGGATGTGTGGATGAGTTGTATATGTGTGTGGAGGTGTGCATGAGTTGCATATGTGTGTTGTGTGTGTGGTGTATGTGTGTGGTTGTGTGTGGATTGTGTGGATGGATGTGTGTGTGGTATATGTGTGGATGTGGATTGTGTGGATGTGTGCATGAATTGTATGTGTGTGTTGTGTGTGGTGTATGTGTGTGGTTGTGTGTGGATGTGTGTGGATGGATGTGTGGATGTGTTTGTATATGTGTGTGGAGTATGCATGAGTTGTATATGTGTGTTGTGTGTGGTGTATGTTTGTGGTTGTGTGTGGATTGTGTGGATGGATGTGTTGTGTGTGTGTGAGGTGTGTGTATGTGCCTTCCTCGCAGCAGGCAGACTGCCTCTCCACGGGCACCGGCCCAGCCCTCGACCCACTCCTGAGGACGCCACGACACTGTCACAGTGTCCACCCACTGTCATCTGCCTGGGCCAGCTGTCAGTCACTGCAGAGTGGCCATGGGCATGCTCCCGATGGCACGTTCTAGAAGGGCAGGGCAGGTGGGCCGCTACTGCCTTCAGGAGGAGCAGAGCCTGCGGCCTCAGTGTGCGGAGGAGTGGCTTCAGGCCTCCAGTCTCAGGACTCGAGAGTCTCCTGACTCTACCCCAGTGCCTCCGCCCCCTCGGGCGGGTGGTCTGCGGTGGGCCACGTTTCCCTGTGCTTAACGTGAAATCCACGGGCGCTCTGCCTTCTGCCAGCACGCGTGCAGTCAGTCATCACTCACAGCGCTTCCTCCATCACTGCCCAGGGGACACACGGCCTCAGTTTACCTCCTGACCCCTCTCTACCCAGTACCTCGGGATTCCACAAGGGCATGGATCCACTTGCCCATGCACGGGTGCGTGTCCTGTAATGAGAGGAGGTGCCTCTCACTGTGAAATTATATGAAAGAGAACTCCAGAACGTCAGCTGAGGCAACTCTACATGCCCTGAAAAGAACCTACTATTTAGTGATCAAAATATGGCATAAAGT